TGAACCCTGCATACGCACGCACCATTCGACAAAACAGGACTAGCTCAAACCGGATTGGCGCCGTTGAGAAATTCTTGGATATACAGCACGTCACGCCCCTCACTGTCTCTGTCGTGCTTCGAGAACCGCAGACCAATCACTTGATGGCATGCAAATGATTCAAGTTGTGTCCCTGTCAGTAAACATAATGATTCAGCCATGTGCAACGACGTAGTTACCTGCTGGTCTGATTTTATCTTGTACCAATGTTCAATTGTGTGACCGCCAATTGCTCTACAGCTCAGCTCCCTCAGCCGCTGAGCCATGCATTTCAGCTACTGCTCTTGCCATGTCAATAGCCCATAATCTTCCCGCATGACCTCATCTACAAGCGGTCTGTGAGTAACCGCCTATCGAGTACATAGCCACGACCGCCATTTTCCATGTCACCGCGAAGTTCTCGTCGCGAAATCGAGATCCTTACCCAACATGGAGATATGGAGAGCGCCAAATTCATGAAGAACGTAGAGAAAAAGTTAAATAAACCGGCGGGCAAAGTTTATAGTCAGTGGTCTCTCATTACAAATACTACAGTACTACGTGATTGTCCAAGACTTCCGACGGAGACGGAGACGGAGATGATATTCAAGGTTAGTCTGTGTCTCGGCCTCGGGGTTCGGCGCGCGTCCCGCGCGATGTAGTCAAACAAGCTTTAAACGAGGCATGTTCAGGTCTGGCCTAATTGGTCGCCGCCATCAACCAATATAACGGGCCATAGAGATTGCGCACTCGCAGGCGGGGATTGGTGACACCGGCGTAATTTCTGGCCGGCGCTGAGCTAATTAACTCGCTGATTACATATGGCCGAGCGCTTATCGTGGTTGTGCCGTGTGGGATGCTCATCCCACACGGCAATTATGTACTACTTATTGAGCAAGTGCAGTCTCACCGCTACCGGGGAGATACGTATGTAAGGCTGAATCTTGAAGCCACACCACAGGAGCACTCCCATTTAGCTTTAATTGCATTCATGATACGTAGACATTGACATTTAAATGATCGCGGCAAAGATAATGTAGTCGAACGTACAGTACTACAGTCCTCGGCGTCTTCAAGGACCGAGATGGCTCCACTGTCGATTATTAGAGTTTCTGGGGAAAGCGGGTCGTACAATGTTGACGTTTTCGTGGGAACGTGTCCGTATCACCATACCGATACATGATACCAGCACATAGTGAATACCCCGTAATTGACATCCATGGATTCGAGATTGAGAAAATGAATTGTGAACAATTAAGCTTTTCTGTATTTTTGTAGCGAAGTACTCCGCACATGTAAATTTGAGTGGGTATACCTGCTATAGCATCAATCTGGGACTAAGACGGTCAGACTCAGCGGAGATATCGGAGGACGGCAAATTCTACCAAGGCGAGATAGTACAGATACTACTAAATGATATCGAGAGCAGGCGGCAGACACTCTAGTCCAATCAATCAAATCACAAGGACAACAACTTACAAGTTGGATGTACCAACGTGTGTACTCCCTTACTCCATATCCACTTCAAGATAAGCGAAAGTGACTAACTAAGTTTAAGCTAAAAACATTATTTCAAATTATACTGAATCGAAGCGGTGATTGACTGCATTAGGCGCGGAAATGCACATCCGGCAGACTTGCTGGCAAATCGTTAAGGTACCGTTCAAGCGCGCAACAAGTGGGTCCCATCACGTCTGCATGGGTAGGCGTACTAAGATGTCTACGTCTCGCTTAGTGTCACAACTAGGCTACTGCCTCAAGGGCTACTAGAGGGCTACTAGAGGGCTGTCTCAGTGCCTCTGTTGGGACTCGCTAGCGGTCAGGCCGACACGACCGTCTGGCATCAAATTACATAGTTGCATGTTGTCAGAGTGCACTATGTGCGACTATCGATAGAGGGTACATCCTTCATCCCTTCTATGTTAAGATCACTAAGAGACAGCGCTCGAATTCCAAACCATACATTATCAGCTCCAATCGAGTGGTTCATGTTGGACGTCGTAGACACAATTAGCCGCCACACTACGTCCCCGGAAAGTGGACCTGTGATTTCCCCGCGGAAGTGACAGGCCAGACCTGATCTCCTCTTAGTCCAGTGTAGTATGAAGTATAGATTTTGTTTCATGAATCAATTCTCGAATACAAGCCTTACACGGCCCATAGCAATCTCGGCCTTCTATGTTTTGGGACTGAATTCCCCGAGATGGTGCCGGCATATCTTTCAAGATGGTGGGTACTCTCTAGGCCGTACCGAGTCCATGTCACCGCTTAACACCGGATGTCCGAGTGGTTTTCCAATCTATCACCAGGATACATGACACAAGGTCGACCTGCAAAGTAAGCGATCAGCGATGCGTGTGCCACAAGACTTTTCCGAACTCCAACGTCACTCACCCCGTGCAATTGGAGAAGATGAGCCAATGATTTATGTGTCGAAAGTCTATTTGCGCTTTTACCTCGGGATTTATCTTGAAAAGACTATGGTGGATTGAGTGCGCCCTGAAATAGTTTGTAAATAGGTACGTAGCGAAATGCAGGATCGACTCGAATGACTCGAATAATCGTGCCATTCGTTATTCCCGAGTTCGCGAAGTTGGGTAGGTGTTGGTTTTCTGAACACAACGCATACGCTTAAGACTTATACAGCTCTCCATCACTCGCAACAAGCTATTGTCTAGCACTCAATCCATCAAGACGCTCTCATTCAGACTAAATTGGGATATTAACCTCGTAGTTGAGTTAGGGTTACGAGGTGGGTCAATAGATACGAGCCATATAGTTATAACTTTGTCACTTACCAAATCAATCGTTAGATCTCGATCTGATCTAACCATTAAACCTATCTTGGATTGCAAACCCTGTCTATAATAGAATGTGTTATGGTTTGGATCTAGTACAAAGAGAATTCCAGCAGAAGAATATCATCAATTCCCGGTTCATCCTTTGTGTGAGTTGATGAACACCTGATAATGAAATTGTGCTGTAATTCATTTTGTTTCGGAAACCTGGTCATGCTTTAATTTATCTTTCATTTAATACTTCTGCAGCTAGTTGGAAAGGGTCTAGAATGGGGAAGGATCTTTTGGTTCTATGTTGATTGAACAGTTTAGGGCAGCCAACCGAGCCAATTGCGGTTGAGTACTCTAGTGTCTATGTACAAATGACAGTCTGTCTGTGATAGTGTCGCCTTCCAGAGCAACTATTGGAACCATCTTTCCGTCACATATCCAGGCGTACACTATACTCTACGCAACCCGGCTTACAAGTGTCAAGCGAAGACAGTAATACCAGCCGCGGCGTACATACGTACTCCGCATGCACGTATTTTACTAATTGAACCTCACATTTCAATCCGGACTGACCGGGATCCTTGAAACATGGGTAGGTGCTAAATCAGCTGCACGAAATATTCGCATTTTTGGGTGTACCATTTACCCAAGGCGATGGTTAGGAGGGTGTCACAAGCCCCCATCCCATGCCCAAGTAGTCTCAGAGAGTTGAGGAGGATGATCATAGTACGTATGTATTAATTACCACTTAGCTTGACTCAGTACCTACATGTAGTACTAATATCAGTCGGCACTTACTCGCACAGGGATCTCCCCTGAAGAGCAGCGATTCGTAAACCCATACCCATTCTGTTGGTTTGCCTCATTATAGGTTCGGGGAAGTACGGGAGCCGTTGACATGACGGAAAAAAGTGCCTCATCTAGTTACTCTCGTCATCACTATCGGAATGTCCCTTTGTACTACCTACGTAACCTCGTGTGTATAGATATGTTGGTTACGTGTCGTTAGAAGAGAGGAAATTTACATTTCGGCTACGAAATTTAAAAGGTCAAGCTTAGAGAAAGACACTCATGTGCGAACTCTATCAATCGGAAATAATACGTATTGTGATTTTGATTAGCAAAATTTTCTATTCGCAGTTCAATGCCACCTTCGGGCCTTCGGGCAAGAAGCGTAGGTCCGGGAATGAGAGCCATGTTGATCAAATATCGTTGCTTTTGCTATGCTCCGTAGTAATTTCCGCGATGGCTTAAGCTGTCACTTGATTCTGAATGACGGGAGGATAATATGATCTATCAGATTTCGTTTTTGCTTATAATTTGCGGTGAAGGCTAGGCTACGGTTGTGTTCTACGCGAGGTAGCCATGTATATACAGATTATTTTGATGACTCTATGAGTAAAGTACCGAGTAGACTAATTGACAATCAATTTTCAGTTCGATTGGCGTGATGGTCAATGTTTGTATAGAGTCTTTGGCGTTCCGTTAACCCTGGAGGGAGTTCGTATAACCAGATCAGAATATATCCAGATATTGAGTTTGATTTATAGATATAGAGATGTAGTCGTAGCCTTGTAGATACTCCAGACCTCCGTCATTGGACTTGTATCACTGGATGCATCAATCGATTGCCGTCGAATGATATGACACCCTTCACACTTCAAACACAATCACGCAGAAAAAAGGTATGACAACCCAGATTCCATTGATGGCATTTGTACTCCGAAACCTGGCAAAGACTTACACAGTCCAGTCCGATTGAGAACATGACTGTCCTAGCCTACACATATTCATGTTCTCAGTTCATGCAAACAGACATCCCAAGCAGTCAGTAGTACGATGCATACACCAACTGGTTACCCTCGGAGCATTGATCAATAGTTCTATAGATGTAGGAAGGTGACATATCTGTGCATCTGTTCATGCAGCTTTACGCAGAGGTAGGTATACATCGACAGGGTCCAGAGGCCTTTCTCGAGATCTGTATGTCCAACTTGAAAGTATGGCATAACTGTTCTAAGCTGAATACAACTTCAAGTAAGAAAAAAAAAGACGAACGATTCAATTGACGAATGTATAATACGTCCTCCCATCTACCCAAGTAATAAAAAGGTTATACTCTAGTCATATGCGATACATGCTTTTGGGGAAAACCAAAAGAAGAAGACGAAGAAAAAACAATATGATCAAATATTAATGCCCGTTCATCCCATTATTCTGGTCCTGCGTATTCGGGACTGGACCGAGAGGTGGTAGAGTTGACTGTGGGTGTTGTTGTTGTACATTATTCGAAGATGGTGGGTTCCAAGACGATAGTGGTGGTAGGGTCGTGCCGGACGCCAACTGATGCTCGCGCTGTCGACGGCCTTCTTGTTCTGAAGTCATCATTTTGACGGGAGGTGGAATGGGCGCGTCTACGGAGCTGCGTCCCATGAGTTTGGGGCTGGGTTCTAATCTGTGGATTGGAGGTAGGATCGACGCACTGCTCACACTGCTCGCTGTAACGGGTCGTGGAGAGTCGTTCTTGGTCGGGCTAAGACCGGATAGTGCCACGTTATTGTTCTGAGACCCCGCTGGTGGCGGGGTGTGGGAAGCGAAGGAGTCGGAGAATGAAGTCGTGCGCTGGTCGAAGCTGGAAGAAAAGGACGGGACGCCTCTATCTTGTGGTCGCACAATCGTGCGATGCTGACCGTATGGTGTCGATGGAAGTGACCCGTTGGGAATATTTGATGGAGGGAACCCGGCCAAAGGTCCGACATCACGATTTCCCTGAGTGGGTGACATGGATGGGCGGTTCTGAATGGGCGATGGGTGGGCCTGGCTGTGAACAGAGTGTGACGACGATGGACGGTGAGACGATAAGGGGTTACCGGAAAGAATGTTTTGCAAAGCAGCTGTTGAGTTCTGTGCTGGTTGTTGTCGTTGAATGTATGCGGGCTCAGGCAACGAGCTCAATGGGGATGATGCAGGACCAATACTCGCCTTGGATGGCGATCCAGGTGCTGCGAATGGATGCCCATTAGCAGCTGGTTGGAAACGACGCTCGGGAGATGCTGGTGCACCGCCATTGAATCGTGGTTGGGCCGGTGGTAACGTCGGCTGCTGGAGGGAGCCTGTTGCGTTTGATGGTGTAGGTAGAGAGACTTTCGACGCCAATGGACTCTGTTCCCCTTCCTTGATTGTAGCAGGGGCGGTAGTTGCTGGCGAAGCAGATCCAATACGGAACTTCAAAGGTGGTATCTTTGGCCTCTTGGCTTCCTCCTCCTTGCGCTTACAATCGGCACACACAAAGTGAAAGTCGTCTTTTTCGGCCTCTGCCTGAGAAATACCCAAGCATTTGCTGTGTTGCCAGACGTTGCATCGTTCGCAAGCAACGCAATGTGAGCCATCGTCCTGTTAGGTTGTTAACAGACTGCACATAAACTTCGTAGAAGAGAAACTCACTATGTTTTCGCCATGAACACCACAACCAGCGCAATCAAAAATCCACTGGTCCTCTTCCGCAAGCTCCTCCATCTCCTTCTTGCGTTTATCTAATTCAGCCTTGATCTGTCTTTCCGACACTCGACCCTCTCCAGACTCAAGTTTCTTCTGTTCCTCCTCTAATCTAGCCATTTCCTCTTCATGTAATATACGTTTCGATTCTCTCTCCTGGATACGACGTTCACGGGTCATGATACGGTTCTGTCGTTCCTTTTCCATCTTGCGTTGAATTTCCTGTTCCTTGCGTGCAGCAGCAAGTTCTTGTTCGTGCTTGCGAGCGGCCTCCATGGCTTCTCTGTCGCGTCGCTCTTTGTCCGTTTTTTCAGCGAGACGACTAGACCGTTTGGCGCCAGCCAGTAATTGCATATTGAACAATTCCTTCTCTCGTTTCTGACGTTTGCGTTCTTCTGCCTCTGCTGCTCTTCCAACGACGGGCAGTACTCCTTCTATAATACGATCTCGAAGGGACTTTTCGTTTGGATCTCTAGTCTTTTGTAAGGTATCAAGGAATGCCTGGTATTCGGGTAGGTTGGTCGCCAGACACTCCCACTTGAATTCAATCGTTGTTGTTTCAAAGGAAGTCTTTTCAGATTCAGCGGCATCTTCTTCTTCATCATCTTCTTCTTCGACTTTGGCGGAGACTCTTCTGCGCTTCGCGGCTCTGGCGGCAGCTCGACCTTTCTTCGAATTCGCCTTGGGCTTGGCTGGTGGCGGCGGAGGAATAGGAGGATCGGTGCGGCGATATAGGCGATTATCATCTAGGACGTAGTAAATTCGGTCTTTGCTGTCCCAGCCAAACTCTTCAATTCTCTATGATAGTGGTTAGTGGAATCATGTTGTCAGGGTAGTAGAGAACGAACCCATTGCGTCTGATCTATTTCACGCTGCTCGGGCATCTTCTCCCGAATGCGATCAGGATTCCAAAATGTCCAGAGCGACAATTGATGTAACACTTTCAACTTCAGAAAAACATCAAAGTCTCTAAATTTATTCGGTTCCTCATCGTATCCGAACGGGTTGACGTGTTGAGGGGCTTTGGCATTGTATTGGCGACGCGTATATTCGTCAAAATTGTCGAATCTGTTCGTAGAAAAGGGGCTATAATTAGATATCTGATTACATCAAATCTCCGCATAGATTCGTTACGTACGTTAATCCGCGATGCGATGAGACGAATTTGAGTAGCGACAATCCAATCTCCATAAGCTTCTCGGAGGGCTCGGGCTTGAGACATTCCATTTCCAAATCCTAGGAGTACAACATCAGCTCAAACATACATTTATCCACTTCAATCATCATTAAAGGGAAAAAAACATACCTCAACCCCCAGATCCTCATCAATCTTCATAACCTTCCCAAAAAAGAAGATATACTGCATTAAGGAAGCGAATTCCCAGGAGTTGCGGATGCGTTGCAGTAGACTTGGTTCTTCTGCAGCTGGCTGCTCTCTTTTGGGTGTCGCCGTCTCCATTTCGGAGTGAGCTCGCTTTCGCGATACCATGGTGGATGGTGGCGGGCGCGGCGCGCGATACCTATCTCAAGATTTCTTTTTCGCGGTTGAGTGGGAGCTTTCAGATCAATGACGTTTTCTTTTTCGTTTTCCAAATAGGGTTTGGGGAGATGATAAGTCGAGGCACGGAAAAGAGAATCACATCGATCAGCTTGTCGAGGTGGCTCAAAAAAAGACGCGGATGATCGATAAGTGACCGATCTTCGTAGCGCGACGAGATCCTTGCGGGCTGCTCGTTCTTCCGCAGTTTTTCTTAGCTTTCGTTAGGGGCGTGTCGGCCTCGTTGCCTCATGTCTTGGCGCGATTACATTGACGCGCTAGTCCTGTTTCGGTTATATCAGGACTATGGAGGCACGTGATATCGTGCCTCCTTCGCAAGTGAAGACGTACCATAGTAGTTAGGGGTCGGAGTAGTTGTTAATATTGCGAGAGACTATTGTAGCAACTAGACTATTATATTTAATAAAAATAATATGACAATATTGCGGTTCACCGCAGAAAAGGATGTGGTTAGCTGCGTGGAAGGCCCAACGAGCTAACCATAAGGAACATAATAGACGCCGAATTGAAGAAGAGAAGCTTGTAGACATGAAAATAAACCACCGAGCGGATAGTAAAGTGTTTCGTGTCCGGTCTGCTTCCTCTCATAATGTTGACAAAGTCACAGGGAGAAGATTTTGATAGAGTACAGCAGAGCAAGTATTCTTTTGTGCAAGCAAGAAAAGATAAAGGATGAAACAATTTGTAGTAAAACGCCAAGTCCTCGTCAACCTCCAGAAAAGATTCATGTGGTCTTTTTGCCCTGAACAGTCTGAAAAGCGGAACAGACAACTGCACCACGATCATCTGTCTCGTTGTCTTTGGCAAGACCTCACGTGAAAAGAATACATAATCAGAACAAACAAAATGCAAAAGCAGACATCCTGGTATCTCTCGTGTAGCGGAACTCTATAGCGCAGGAGGGTAAGTGAAATATCAATGAACACAATAACCGTATGATGCAGAGAAGAAGGGAAGCAAAGATCAAGAATAAAACAGGAGCACCCCGAAGAATCATGTATAGGATAAGCCGACCCTTCACGAGGAAATCCAACCAACGAAACAATCCTAGAATGATGCATATGCGTACGAGGTAAGTAGTCTTCCAGATTGCAATGCGAAGCTGCCAAGTCAGCCGTATCCGTAAAAAACATGCCATCGCGTGTGTCAAATCGAATGTATGACTCGATCACAAAGATTGAGTATTGACGGCCAAGTTTCGCGCCTCGTTTCCGAAAGGGTAGTAAATCCGATAAGAAAAGGACAAATAGAAGATCAAATGAAGAAACATAAATCCGAGTTCGCCGATTCCGTCCCATGCAGATCGTAAAAATCCATCATTCTAGGATGAGGATATTGTATGCGTTAAATTGTCCGTTTACATAGCCGCACCGGCAGCACTTCCAGCATCCACATTGTCCGACAGATTGATTAACAGCTGCGCCAGGCAACGTTTAGTGGCAGCATCGTCGCGGAGGACAGAAGAGAAAGTCGCGTCACGGAGAGGTTCTGGAAGGCACTGTCTCAAGGCCTCGCGAGCGCGGCTGTTGTCACTAAGTCTAATCCACAGTTAGCAAATATTATATTGTATCTTGGCCATCTTGCAAACCGACCTTAAAAAGCAACGGACTACATGTTTTAGTAGTCGTACGGTCTGCTGCTCAACAAGTTGAGTGACCATGTTGCTCAAAACCGTGCCGACTGCGTAGAAACGCTCATATGTGGCGCAAATATAATTCAAGCCCAAATCATCTAAAAGAATCTTCTGAACAATGAAAATGGCAACAGTCTTGCTGAGCTCTGAGCCGGTCTCCATGATGCGAAGACAAAGAGGAATGATCTCGGTTGTGAGAAGAAAGTTGATCACATCGGAGGAATCATTCTTGACGAGCGCGCCAATAACACCGAGGGAAGTCAGGCGCAAATATTCGAATGGACGAGATTTAGATGTCGTATTGAGGAAGGGGTAGAGGAACAACGGGATGTGTGCTGAGAGCAAATCGTGATTAGTCATTGGCTACAGCGAGATGGTGAAAACATACCATTCAAAAACAAAGTACGAGTGTCGTTGTGTGACGCAACACACTGGAGCAGCGCCAATGCGTTACAGACCCGGTTCGAGGCAGCGGCAGTCAGCTGCGAAGGATTCAATAAAGGGTAGACGGAAATGATCTCTTGTAGCAACGCAGTCATGACACCTATGACAAGTCAGTTGAGACTTCAATAAGAAAATCAAACAACATACCGAAAGAATGCCAGATGACAAGAGCGAGTTCCGGGACTTGTTCGCGCTTTTTACTGAGTTCCATCAAAGCGGTTTCTCGTCGGTTGGGATCGAGCAACTCTGCGACCCAAATAAAGACTTTGCGACTCTCTTCGCTTATGTTTCCATCAATACCAGCACCGGCCGAAAGGGATGAGCCATCTGCATTCAAGCCTGCCGCGTTGTTGCCTGAACCCTGTGCCTGGTTACCACCGGCAGATCCGTTTCCCCCTGCCATTGCGATGCGGTTGTAGTGTTGCTGCTGAGCGGCGGCGGCAGCGGCAGCGGCAGCCTGTGCCTGGGCATGTTGTTGAGCGGCGAGCGATGAATGCTGTTGCTGCTGTTGATGATGCTGGGCCTGGTGATGTTGCTGCTGCTGATGCAACCAAGACGGCTCGGCTTGCGGATATTGGTGCTGATGGGAAAAAACGTGTTGAGTCTGAGTCTGCAACATGGCTGCTCAGACTCGCTGTAGAAGCGAAGCGATTTTTGGGTTGTCGGAGAGTTGTGCGATGATTCCGAGGGGAGCGAGTCGAGGTTGCAAGAAAAGCCAAGAAAAGAAAATCGTAAATGTGCTCCTAGATCGGATACCACTGTCAGGAGTAAAATGGGCTGTTTGTTGGATGCATGAAACGAGATAGATCCTAACAAATGTACTTGGTGAGCGAGTGGTGAGTAGATTGACGAGGACTAATCACTGTTGGTGGCAGGAAGATGGGTGGTGGGAGTGTGAAGGTGAAGAAGTGCCGAGACGCAAGAAGATCGGTGAGTTCGGGATGTCCTTAGCGCCAGGCGGGGCGGTTTGCGCTGGCTGCCTCTCCCACCCACGCGTCTTTCGAGCCTGGTCCTTTATTCAGCGACTGTCATTACATGAATGCACAGCCAAGCCAGGTCTCTGGTTTCTAGGCTTACTTATTAGATAGCTTTGACCGTGGTAAGTATTCCAACACAGCGTGTGTTGCTCTCAGCGTGATGTCAGTTTCCCACGTATGCTTGCCGGTATCGCTGCTTCCTTTTTCCTAACTTATTCAACAACATCACTCGTAAATAGCTCGACTGTCGGTAGACTGAGAAGTCAATAAATTATTCTGATTATTGGCTAAGTCTCATTTCGACCCCCAAGGTTACTACTAGACGTCTGTATATATATCTACTATTGCGTTGATCGGCGCTGTATTTTCTGTTGATCTGGGTGCAAATATTTTCTCGTGATAGTCTCAGTATACCTTCTGCTGTATTGGTATACACAAGTGGCCAGCAATCGCTATCTCTTCCTGTCCATTTTCATGTCAATTCTTGGGGCTCAATACTTTCTCCCTGCTTCGTCGCTTTTGAGGCCGTCGGGTACTTACTTTCAGCATGTATGCCAACTGCAATCATGACGGCATCGCGTCACCATGATACGCGAGATATGAAAGTACTCTGACAACACTGAACGCTCACAGCGTGGTGTTTGATTGCAGCCGCCTGCACGAGCACGTACTACGTACGCACTGCTGATAAATCTTCATTCGACGATCTACGTGGGAGGCGCTCGATTTCGGCCCCTACTCAGTCTAGCTCTCAGCTCGTCAGCCTGTAAGATTTCTTTCTCCGTCTTTTTACTCCGTGTTCATCTTTCGTCCGGGGTGATGTGCTCGAGTCTCGACTCTCGAGTCTTGACGGGATCGGCGGATGTGCCAGGAGTTGATTCTAGTGTGTGTTGTAAGTGCTCTTAATAATTTCATGGCTATTTCTTAGATTCTGCAAATTATCTTGATCAGGAGAAAAGAGAAATCAATGACTGTCTGAACAGGCACTAACCTGATATGGTGGCACTAAGCCACATGCGTGTAGCGTATCGTCATGCAGAATCAGCCAATCACAATACAGATTTCATGCACTCTTTTTTTGAATCCGAATAAGCACCCTTCTCTGCATTGCATCGCATCTGGAAAAGTTGATGATGGATTGATATCTTCAATAATCCTCATTCTCGTTCCGGTCATAAAGCTAACATACACAAGTCCCAAGATTCCATCACATCAAACCTATTTTGAATCATTCACACAATATTTACATCAGTCATTGGCAACATCGAAAGAAAAACAAACATGCAAGTCATAGAAGGAAAAGATAGGAGAATCTTCAGGAGCACTTCCAGGTCGACAATCCGGTCTGAGCAGGAGAAATTCATAACGCCTTCATGCAATATGTATACGATCGTAAAAGCAGCGAGTGCAGCGTGTCTATCATCGTTGGGATCGAGATCTTCTCGAGTCGCGGGTTTGTCGCGTCTGTCGATCGTCTGATTGTTCGCTACCTGATTGTTGTGTTAGATCATGCTTCAATATAGCTCAAAACAGGGGATTGCTTACTGCCACTGTAATAGTCGCTGTAGTAGTAATAAGAACTGCCAGGACCATAACTGTACTCGCTCTTCTCCTCTTCGTTCCTCCGTCTCCGAAGGCCCAGACATAATGCCACTGCTCCAGCAATGATTGCAAACCATCCCAACCAACCCAGTCCAGATCTATTATTGTCATCAGTCCGAGCTGGTCGAGATGGCCTCGTACCGAACCACGTCCGTCTTGGAGGCGGTGCCTCGCCGCCGTGGGAATGGTGCGAAATGCGCTCCTCGACATAAGTCGTTTCCGTGCGTCGTCGGGGTCGCAAACCGAGAAGCGCGAGTAGACCATCAAGCATGCCGCGAATACACAGACAGGCGCATAGCAAGATTAACAGGAATACGCCCGCAACAACACCGATGACGATTCCGGCAATGGCACCGCCGCTGAGACCGCCGCCCTGGTGCGCTTCGGAGATGACAGTGGTGCCATTCGTGGAGACGGGAGCGATAAAGCCTACAGTTGTAGTGGCTGATTGAGTCGCTGTGACGGTCTCTGCGCCGCTGCTCGTTGGCCGAGTCGCGGGTGTCGCTGTGCCGGTTGCTGATTCCTCGGACGAGACGCCAGCTACACAGACTCCATTGTCGCAGGTCTCGGAGGCACTGCAGCATGTCGTGCCACAGGTAGATTGACCAAGGGAAGTAGCGCATGTAGTCGTTGAGGATGGTGCAGTAGTGACATAGCTGCTGTAGACAGAAGTGACCGTCGAAAGATCTGTTTGCGTGTATGTGGTGGTGTAGTACTGCCACGATCCAGAGCCGGAATTACTATCGCTGTTGGAACATTCGGCCTGACCTAGGCTGTTGGTGATGCATTTTTGCGAGGAAGTGCAGCAGAGTTGTGAGTAGTAACCACATGGGTTGGAACAGTCACGTTGCTCTAGAGCCACATCGTATGGCGAGGCTGTGACTATTTGTGATTGAGCTGGTTGCGATAGAGCAGCGAGCAGCGGTAGGAGGGAGATGGCGGAAAAAGAACGCATTGCGTTCGTTGATTGATAGGTGCTACAGACTGTGTTGTTCCAGTGGTGATAAACAAGCAGTGTCCCGAAGCACGAAAATAAGTAAACACTCGAGATATCACGACAACAATCGTAGCGACGTTGGTTTTTGTTAAAAGCGTATATCCTTGAGTGGAATGTAAAGAAAAAGTGAAGAAGAATCCAAGAATGAAAAAAGGCAGTAGAAATTCACGTGGTGGTGTTATCGTGGTTGGGTGTCGGCTTCCCAGCCTCTTTTTTTACCACCAACCACCCGATTTCGCGATGCTATCCGAAGTCACCAACCAACCTTTGATTCTCGCTGTTGTTTCAGAAAATAAACTATGACTAGTGACTCGGGAGAAATAATGTGATGGCTGGATTTTTCTCTTCTTTTTCTGGTAGACCCCGTACATTCGCTATGATGAAGGACTTTCCGAGAGTAATCTAGGTTAAGATGACTCGGTGAGTTGGCCATGCTGCCCCTCCCCTCTTCAAGGCTTGATGCAAGGCCGGCCGGGTCCAACTACGGAATAGCCAGCATCGTTTTCACCTAGACAAGTCATCAGCTTTGACCGCCGATTTACTTCAGATGCTTCCATCTTTGCATCGTTCTGCTAGAATGCAAGTATGGCTTATAATTATGGGTCCGCTCCTGACAATCAAGCCTAACTATGGAGCAGCTTGCTGTCAATTGGTGGTGCTGTCAGGCACGAAAGTATCTTGCATTGCATACTTCGTGCTCTTGACTAGCTTGCTTATCATGTCTTGAGAAGTCACCGCTTGATTTCTCTCATTCTCATTTAAATTATTCAACTTTGAAAGTTGTCTGGACAGGCTTTATGACTGATGATCGACCCCCGCAAGTGGGCCGACCGGTCGGCTTATCGATAGCTGGCCCGGCGACTGACCGTGTAAACATTGACTGTAGCCTCATTTTCTACCTTGTATGTTGGATTAGGCTATTTCTACATTCCAGATCGACACACTCCATTCACTACCCCGTACTCAGCATTCCAAAGCACGTGTCGTACCAGATACGTATTCAATATCGACCATATGTACTTAAATCATAAAAACAACCAACGCCTCTGTGCATATACAATAGACGAAGCAAAAGAAGACTCGAAAGATACAACATCCAATTGCCCATGCTTCATTACAGCCATGTCAATCTCCTATCATCCTAGCCTCATAAAAACATTCCCAAGATTCCAGCTGCCGCAGCGAGCAATATTTCATGTAGACTCGACTTCCGAGCCGGCGCATAACTTCCCGCAACAAACGAACCACCGCTCGTCGTCGTCTCTCCCGATGTGCCAAACGCTGTACAGTAGGATTGCTGCAACCCATAACAAGCTTCTTGGCTTAGACTCGAGCATGTCGAAATCGCAGCCGAAGCAGATGTTACAGCCGTAGCGCCTGCAACCGTCACGCCTCCATTACCGCCCGCTACAGTCACTCCATATTGTCCTCCGAGCGAGACTATGCAGCTGGTGTACTCTGCTTGACAAAAGGAGTAGTATGAGCTGCAGCTGGCGGCGTTGCTAAAGCTCGTCGGGATGTACACAAAGGGGAAGGCTGCACCTGGTACTGTAGACCCTGTTATGCTCGCTTTTGATGTCGTCGTTGTCGTTGACGACGTGCCCTGTGGGAACATAAACCCAGTCGATGTTGTTGATGCCGAGTTGCCATTACCACCACCTGTGGCAGTCGCTCCCAGCGTTCCTGTGCATTTTGCTCCTGTCGGACAGCAAGCGTAGTTATTTGCCCCGTCAACCGTGCATGTTGTCCCTGATTGACAGCATATTCCCGAATTGCCCTCGTTCGAGCAGGTGTTGTAATTTGCGGGACAGTTGCCGTCTCGCTTGAAGAAATCAAAGTCTCGAGCGAATTCTGGGTATGCGGTCGCAGCGGCAGTTGCTGGGTGAGTGAAGGGTGCGACTTCGAGCTCCGCACACCATGATGAGGATATGAGCAGTGTCGCGAGGGAAAGAAGAGATTGTTTCATAGTTGCGGCCGGGTTACCACCCGTCAATTGATGATGTTGCCAATCTGCTGTGAAAACGGCCGTCTTCTATCTTTGATGGTAAATGTTGCGTTGAAGTTCGATCTGTTGTTGGTGGGGCCCAGACCGTTTTCTGGCGTCAACAGTCAGGTACCGTGTTTCGATATCTGACTGCTTTAACGTCGTTGATACTCGATGGTACTCTGACACAAAATGTCAATTGTATCCAAAGACTTAGAGCTTTAGCGATTGAATATCCTAGCAAGACTTGGACGAGTGAGGATGAAAGACGGTGAGGCTGCCAGCTCAGATTGCGGCCCTATTAATTAGTTAGCTGATGTGATTGACGGCGCCTGCCACGGCAACCGGCCCACTCGGCGACATCATCGACCAAGTCCACGTCGTTTTTGTCTTAGCCAAGACTCTTTCTTCTTTCGGCTTGAACTGAAAGCATAGGCCAATTGAGGATGGCGATAAAATATACTTCATCAGCCTTTCTTCTTCAGCGCGACTCTGCAGTACTTATTATATACATCAACGATGATTAGTCTTACTCGTAGTAGTTCATAAGCCGCAGGTGGGGCTCCCGTCTGTAGAACGACCGAGACATCGAGACACAGCTGAATTGTGGCATCGAGCGATCCATGTAAAGTCAAGTCTCATTGCATTCTGATATATGACCAGCCAATAGCGAATCGTGGCTACAATGTCTATCCCCATCGTTGACTTCTCCGCGTGGACACAGACATCCAACAAGGAGGCGCGCATCCAAGTTGCAAAGCAGATTGTCGAGGCCAGCAAGGAGGTCGGATTTGTGTACATCACAAACCATAAGCTAGCAGACTCATTGCTAGAGGAAGCCTTTGAATGGTCACGTGAATTCTTTGCACTGAGTCCGGAGGATAAACTTAAGGCGCCTCATCCAGAAGGATGGGCGGTGCATCGAGGCTACTCATGGCCTGGGTTGGAGAAAGTATCTCAGGCTATCAGTGAGGGGAACGACGAGGAACTAGTGAGAAAACTACGGGAAGTTAAAGATTTTAAGGTGCGGATATATCCCAAGATTTGGTGTCGTAAAACCTAGCTGATAAGCGGAGCTAGGAAAGCTACGACATGGGAAGCGACAACAATTCAGACCAACCCAATCAATGGATCCCAGAAGAAGTTCTTCCCGGATTTAGAGATTTTATGACTCGCTTTTACTGGGACTGCTTCGGTGCAGCATCCGAAGTCTTACGCGCCATAGCTGTTGGTATTGGACTAGATGATGAAGATCACCTAGTACGCAAGCATTCCGGGCATAACAATCAGCTCCGCTTGCTGCATTACCCGTCTATTCCAGCAGATGTAATTGAAAGTCAAGCCATGGCTCGCATGCCTGCGCACACTGACTGGAGTTCCATGACGATTTTGTTCCAAGACGACTGTGGTGGGTTGGAGGTTGAGGATCTTGCCCAGCCCGGGAGATTTATTCCAGCAACACCAGTGAAAAATGCAATCGTTATGAATGTTGGAGATTTATTACAGAGGTGGAGCAACGGTACGACTTTAAACACATGGTATTTTCGCCGCTGACTGGATAACAGACTATCTTCGATCAACGAACCATCGAGTGACATTGCCAATACTCAAAGACCGCTTCCAAGGACCGGAAAGAATGACTCGAGAGAGATACTCAATTCCGTACTTTCTTGCGCCCGATCCAACATCGCTCATAGAGTGTCTTCCGACATGTGTGACAGAAGGAAATCCGGCCAAGTATGAGCCCATCACCCAGGGAGATTATAACCGCATGAGAGCATCGATGCAGTACTAGTTGTTCTAGTAGTGAAACGCATATATATGAATAAAATTCAGTAACCCGGCATTCACGACCATCCAACAGTCACCCACACCCCGTCCATACAAGTCCCACGGGCATGGGAATTCTCTGTCGAGATGACGTCCTCAGTCGCGTTTTCTGCCTACGATAAGTTTGTCGATCCCGGAATCCACACTTCTTCACGGCCGTATTGAACTCCTGTGATACGATATTTATGCTCTACCCGTCCATCATTTCGTGCTTCTTTCTTCAAACCTGACGTATCTCTGGGTGCAATGTTTTCACTTGATCGCTTTAAGATATGAAACAAGAATGATACAGATCCCATGAATGTAGCTTACATATCAGCTAAAATCACCTTATAGGACATACTGAACGTGTAAGAGTTGAACTGCTTGGTATAGTATGTCAATCGTATGTAACAGCAAATGCGAACTTTCCTAATTATCAGAACAAATCGAGGGATGCTTCCGTTCTTCAAGACTTCGCAACGGACGTTTACTGGTGTGAGATTTGCACGCTTGACGAATGTTCGACCAGTGATGAATTAAAGAGGTAAAAGAAAGACTTGTCCTCGTCATCTAACACAGACAAGACATGTCCTTTGATGACTTCAGAAAGTATTTGATGGAGGAGATTCGAACGAAAGACCTGTGAATTATTATGGATTATGAAGCCAGTAAGTAAGCGTATTGCTCCAAACTACCTCGAAGGAAGCCCAGTTCCTATTTGGGTAATACCTTCCCAAAGCAGCCTAGTGCGTGAGGCTGCTAAGATCTCCGCTTGCATCCGCGTGGGCCAATCGGCACAGCTCGATTCGGAACTCGCATTACGTCTTTTTGCAATTTGCTGGATTATTGATCATCTCGACCTCTTAACACATACTTGCTTTCTGCTCTATTCGGAGGAATAAAAGACAACAACACATTGTTATCATTATCACTGACACTCGTTGTATCATTGTTACTAATACCACGGATCGGTGGAGTTTCTCTTTGTCACAGCCTTCATCCCCGGATTGATCTACGTTCTTTGTTCCATTGTCGACATGCCACCACAATGAATGCTTTGGCGAGATATATCATAGACCCCGCAGCATAATCGTCAGCTGGGCTGCCAATTGGCGCAATCTTACATCCAGCAGCCTAGATTTGCTTCTATAAACCACAGATCACAACAAGGCGAGGGAAACTGAACATGTCGCATGTACCACCACCAGCCGTCTCGCCGCCTCCAGCGACAACCAAAAGAATAACCACTTGTCAGTCCCCTCCTAGCTTTCAAAGCGAGCAAGTCAAAAATGCTAAAGATGACAGCATCCAAAACACCCTTCCACTTCGCCGCCGGCCTCGCATCGGGCCTCACCACCTCCATCCTCCTCCAACCCGCCGACCTTCTCAAAACCCGCGTCCAACAACAATCCAAACGAACCGCATCCCTCGTCGCAACAATCCGCACAATCCTCTCCTCTCCAAACCCGATCCGCAATCTATGGCGCGGCACACTTCCCTCCGCACTCCGAACGGGATTCGGATCTGCGCTGTATTTCACTTCATTGAATGCATTACGGCAGGAAGTTGCGCGACGCGGGCCGGCGGCGATACTTCTTGACGGCAGCAGCACGAAAAACACATCATCTGCGTTACCGAAACTCTCGCATACGGCAAACTTACTCACGGGTGCCGTGGCTAGGACAACAGCTGGGTTTATAATGATGCCCGTCACCGTGCTCAAAGTCCGCTACGAATCAGACTATTACGCCTACCGCAGTCTTGCCGGTGCAGCGAAGGATATCGTCCGCACGGAAGGAGTGAGAGGTCTATTCGCTGGATTCGGCGCAACGGCTGTGCGCGATGCGCCGTATGCCGGGTTGTATGTTGCGTTTTATGAGCAGCTCAAGCGGACGTTTGGGCGATTACAGCATTCCTCCTCTACTCCCTCCTCGGATAAAACGAATAATACGTCTTCGACGACGATAAATTTCGCCTCTGGCGCGCTTGCAGCTGGTCTCGCAACAGCGCTCACCAACCCGTTCGATGCAGTCAAGACGCGCATCCAACTTCAGCCTGGGAAGTACAGGAATATGATCCATGCGCTCAGATTAATGATCAAGGAGGATGGGGGAAGGAGTCTGATGAGTGGGTTAGGTTTGAGGATGGGGAGAAAGGCGATAAGTTCGGCGCTGGCCTGGACGGTGTATGAAGAGTTGATTATGCGGGCGGAGAGGAGGTGGGAGGCTCAGGCCAGGGAGATGAAGATTTAGACCTATAGATAGATGTCTGAAGACGAGGAATGCCACTCTTCTCTGTACAATAAAAATTGGACGTCACTGGAATCGGTAAATGGAAAAAATATTCAGTATCATAACATCGATATATCCATGCTAATTATTCCAAATGAAAAGAAATAGTCCAAACAGAATTCTTACTCAAAGCGAGTAATAAAGAGAAGAGAAACCTCAAATCCAACAGCAGCAGAATCAAAAAGTCATATCTCATTACACAAACATTCAAAAAAAAAAAACTCCCTCAATCCATCAAATCATTTGTCAGTCCCAAAACGCAGAAGAATCAAGTAAAGATCCACGATTTGCCGGGATTCTTCTTCCGGACCAGATACATTTTATCTCGCTTGCGGTCGTTGACTTTGAGTTCGGTGAGGGTCGTTGATGTCTCCTCGATGAGCTTGCCGCCGCGAAGTCGACGAGTGTGTGCAAATAGTTCTTCTTGGAAATCTTCAGAGATCCATTGCTTGATGATGATGTAGTTTCCGTCACGCTGTTGCCGTTAGTTTGTTGACTCATCTTGATATTAGGATATTGATAACTTACATCATCCCAGTCCCATGGAAGTTTGAAAGCATCCAATGTTGCAGGAAGCAAATACTTGCGGTGAACCTATCTATGATTAGCCAAAGCCATTTCTTGGTAGAAGAGTTGACCTACCCGAATGAATGTCGTCTTCTCTTTTGGAGGTTCCAAAACGACAACTGCGCCGCCGCCGTGATGGTGGTGCTCGTGTTTCTCCCCCTTCCCTTCCTGCTCATGCTTCTTCTTGAGCATCTTCTCAATCTCTTCCTCGCTATATCCAAACTCGACTCTCAGTCGTTCCCTAAATTCCTTATCCTTTGCCTTTTGCTCCTCAATTTCCTTCATCTTTTTAGCTTCCTCGGCCCTTTGCCATTCTTCGATGGCCTTTCTCTTGAGCTCGGCCATCTCCTTTCGGCGTTGCTCCTCTTCCAGGGTCTTTCGGGCTTCCTCATCTTTGATCTCCTTGATGATTCTATCCCTCTCAGCCTTAATCTTCTCTCTCTTTTCAATCTCCTTCAAGTGTTTCTCTTGTGCGATACGTTTAGCCTCCTCTTCCTCCGCAGCCTTTCGCTCCATGTCTTCCAGTCGTTTGATCTTGGCCAAACGTCTAGCTTCCTCTTCTTCAGCCGCCTTATGTTCTGCTTCTTCGAGTCGCTTGACTTTAGCACGGTAATCGGCCATTTTCTGCTCTTCTGCAATGCGCTGCTCCCGCTCGATTTCTTCCAGTCGCTTGACCTTGGAGCGATAATCAGCAAGCTTTTGTTCCTCTTCTGTGCGCTTCGACGACTCGAGCCTGTCAAGTTTGCGCAATCGTTCGGCAAGCTCGTCCTCCCAGATTTCCTCTTCAGCGAGTCGGCGACGGGAGGTAGAACCATGATGCGGCTCTTCGCGGCGTTTTTCTCTGCTCTTGGCTAGCTGTCGCTCCAAGCGTTCAATCTCTTGTTGCTGCTTGGCAAGTTCCATGTCCTGGCGAACGTCATTCTTTTGGAGGATGCGCTGGTCCATGAGTATTTCCCAATCGCGCTGTTGCTGGCGGGGGGACGGGGTGCGAGATGCGGGGATGTCTGCGACGATTCTGGGGTGACGGCGACTGCGGATAATGTCGATTTCGTCAATGTCGTCTTCACGTTGTGCGAGACGCTGATCGATCTTGTTGCGATGAGCGTCTCGGTAGTCTTGTTTGGCGTGGACGTCGTTGTGAACGTCAACCACCACAATTGGATCGTCCCCTCCTCGGCGGCGTCTACCTCCCGTAGAGGCAGAGCGGCGTGGGGGAGGAGCGATGATAGCGGGAGTCAAAAAGGCATTAGAGTTGGGGCTGTCACGACGAACTCGTGAAAACGAGCGACGCTTGACGGATGTACGACCTCCAGGACGGGTGAAGGAAACATCTGTCTCTGAGAACTCGGACTCCGACTCGGACTCGTCGTCTACGACCCAGCGTCGGCGGGGCATGATGAGCTGCTTTCAGAGATTGTGCGGTAGAGGAGCTGGAGTAGAATATTAGCAACAGCCTCGGTAAAGTGCAACTTGCGGTATATATGATGTAACAAATGGACACGAACAGTGTATAAACGATGGTGTATTGTTGTATGTGTGCTATGTAAGCAAGTCAATCTCAGCCACACGGTGAGCAGTAGATCGGTTTGAAAGGAGAAATCAAGCACAAGACAGAGAAAAGAATAATTAATAGAAAGGAAAGAGCGAAAGCGAAAGAAGAAGAGTTCAGCTGAGCGACTGTGGCGGGGKTGGTCGATTGCCAATCGTCAATGCGGACGGCAGGAGCGGGGTGCGATAATTCAACCTACGAAGAAAGAAAGAACTTACTATGTAGAAATGTTTTAAATGTTAAAAGTTATTTGAGAACGCTTCTCTAATGACTGACTCTGATCCACCACATGCAGACTCCTGTTTCATTTCGCGTAGCCAGACCAAACCAGAGGCTCTGCGGTTGGGCGTCAAGCCAGTTGACGCTGACCCTAATCAAAGGGCGCTTCCGTGTACGTACTCCTACTTAGCTGTGTGGTACAATATGTACCACCCTACTTGGATGCCGTGACTTGTACCTGCCTGTCTGCAACATGATGTACCCAGTCCGACTGAAGACAGAGGTCAGAGGCGGAGGTCACTGGCCAGTGTGGTCATCCCCAGCCACCTCATGATAGCGGGCGGTGGATCGTCCCACTCTTGGGCTTACTACGTACAGGTCAGGCATGTCTGGCTAGATCTTTCAAGCCGTATCATCATTTCGATCGATAGGTATTATCTTAGTCCAGGTACATATTTATTGTGTAGATATACGAAGTACATAAGTAACACATACATGTAAGTAGAAATAGACAACTTGGATCTGGCTCGGGCGGGGCCGTCCCGATACTATCCAGACATTCCATCTTCTTCTTTCTGCTCTTGTAGACAGGCTTGAATACAGATGAATACAAAGAGTGTATCGGTCATTTCCAGTACCCACTGGGCACACTGGGGCGAAAGAGGTACCCAAGCAGGCACAGTTGAATAAGGTCTAAAGTCGTGACGTACGCCGTTGAAGGATCTGTATGCCCACCGACTGACTCCACCTACGTATCTCCCACCCAGAGCGCCTTGTTACTGACAATCACTTTGACAGCATCATCCCTGTTGGAATGGGCTTCGACTGGGATATCCGTCACTCGATGGCGAATATCATTATTAATGCTTGTGGTAATATTGATTAATGTTTCATCCTGTGGACGATAATTGGAATTGGCACATCGGCTACGATGATGTCATCATCGCTATCTCTTTTGCTAGCCTTTTCAATCTGAACAAGCTTGAATCAGCTTTGAGGTTACACACCGCCTCGATATTCTACTAATATCATCAGCGAACTATTATCTACATACGGACAATATCTTTGATGCTTAAAAGCAACCCGATGAAAAAGAATGTCAAGTGCTTAGACCCGAAATCACAATTCTGGTCCAGCGCTAGGGTTAGGGCTGACTTCTGTTATGACCGGTACCAAAGACTGATCTTCACACCAGCCAGAGGTTGCTGGATCATACTTTCCAAGTGTTTCGTACGCGAGACAGAAGATAAGTGGACGCCACAAGGAAACCAGAACCGAGCAGCGCAGTCACCGAGGCAAAGATTTGCAGGCCTGAAAAATCGGTTCCTCCTTGTCGATTAAGAATGGCGCCCATGATTGGCAGTCCAGTGAGGCATCTAGAGAGCAAAAGTCAGCAATTTACTAGCAGAAATTTAATACAAATATTTCCTTACGAGACAGCCATCACTATCTGAAAGGTCCCAAATCGTTGACCGAGAGTCTCCAAACTTCCCGTTTTGGCCACACAGGGCATCAGTAGAGACACAAATGATCCACTCACGAAACCGTATACCAGGCCAAAAACAATAATCCCGGCATGGGATGGGTGGTAGTTGAATGGTAGCCAGAGAGCAAGCATGGAGGCTCCGATCAACGCGCAGCATAGCGTGATGACGTTGAAATGGCCGAAGCGGTCTGCGAGATGAGGCGGAATAATACGGCCGGGTATAGAAGTTGAGCTAGAATCTGGTCAGTAAATAATGATGCATATTTTATGGTAAGTTGTACTTGACGATAGATATTAGGTAAAGGGCAAGCGTAGGAGAGAACCCCTTGGCTTGCGCCATGCTCGAAATAAAGTCAAAGGGACCCCAAAGTCCCCACCTGTGAATTGTCAGTATCAAACATGAGATTCGGAGGACGGAAAACAGACATTACGAGGAACGATCCCAATGTGTAGAAAGCAAATGGCTTATCCTTGAACAACGTCACATCGAACCAAGGCGTCTTGTTATTCCACGGCTTCTTAGGCAATCTCCCTCGTACCATGATGCAGGATGCAGCTAGCATAATCCCAATGAATAGAGCCGTATACCTCACCGCACCGTTGAATCCTACATCCTGAATTACTCGGTTGACGAAGATAGGAAATACGACTCCGCCCAAACTAGAGCCACTAGTCGCAATGCCAACCGCTAATCCGCGCCGTTTGACAAACCACTGACTAACACAAACCATGGCCGCAGTAAAGACGCCTCCAGCACCGAGTCCAAACACCAAGCCTTGTGCTAGGAATATTTGGTAGTATTTGTCCGCTAGACTGGTCATGCATAGTGAGAAGACGCAGAGAAAACTGCAAGGATAGATTACGGGGCTCGGTCCGTAGGTGTCAACAAGACGTCCATAAAGTGGTCCGAGAGCCCAGAGAAGACATAGCTGGACTGCAAAGATCCATGAAATGTCTGACGAGGTGTATGAGCTGAGAGTGGTTTCTTGGTAGGTCGTTTGAAAGACGCCGATCCTATTCATGTCAGATTAGTGATGACTTGCTTTAGTGGAAGAATCAATTACTCACGCATTCAAGAACCCAAAAGTAGCAAACAGGGCTAGAAACGAGCCAACGACACAAAGCCATCCTTGGACACCTTCCTCTGGGGGCAGGATGGGCCCGCTAGAAGGGGCTTCTTTGCTTGTTGCCGGTGCTTGTGCCGTTGTCTCTGTCTCTGTCCCTGTCACTGTCTCTGTCATACTGAAATTTCCAGGGTTAGGTCAGGTTGAATGATACTCTATCATCCTCGACACGCTGGGTCGCACCCCCTTTATAGTACTCATTTCTGCCCCCTAAGAGCTTAGGGCTTGCAGATAGGGCTGAAGATTATCGCTGTTCAGCCAATCATATTTGAAAGCATAGCGCATTCTAATGGGTCAGCGACGATGATTGGCGTGATGCATTAATAAGCCGATTCCTTCGATAAGTTTGCTTGAAAGTTGTCCAATAGAGGTCTCTGATTTGGCGGCCACTAGATCCACTTGTCGGCGCCCGGATTTGTCAGTCAATATCACTCCTCCTCTTGTCACGTCTGTGTATATTTTTGACTGTTACTTTATCCATTACAAATCAATCTTATAATACAATGAGGTCGGCGGATAGTACACAGCAGTGCGTGTGTGTGAATTGCAAATTGCGCAAGAAGAAATGCGACAAGGTGAAGCCGCGATGTAGTTATTGCTCTCGGTGAGACGAACTCCATGCATTTCTTAGACAAGGAGTTAATCAAGTAACAGAAAGAGGTTAAACTGCCAATATCAAGTACCAGACACAAAGCAACTTCCGGTGCAGCCGAGTATAGCCCTAAATGTGGCTACTGATCCAATCATACGCTCCTCTCTGCTCTTATCTAACACCCTTTCCGAAGTCTTACTCTCGCATCCGACAAATGTGGAGTCCACTCTATATCTTCGTGTTCTGAGTATCATTAGAATATCAGGCCAACATATAGACGACATTATCACGCGGTATTTTCGTGGTATTCATTCTTTCATCCCTATGCTGTCGCGCTCCCGTGTCAACCGATATCTACGCGATCATGGCGCACCACCTCCAGCAGGATTCTCAATATTGCTTCTGAGTATGTGTTTAATCACATACCACCAAGATTTGGTKCCTCCGTCCGCGCATCCACTTGATCAGGAAACGCTCTACGTGACCACGAAGACTCTTTTCGGCCTAGTACAAGCATCATTTCCGCCGTCATTACATCTGATTCAGGCCACTTTGATAATGGCGACGTACGAGTATGCGAACGGCAAAATACACGATGCATTTGCTTCGATTGGTCTTTGTGCACGCATGGGATATGCTGCACGTATTGATACTGCGCAGGCAGAGCAGAAGATGGAGGATGAGGAATATCTAGAAGCTCAAGAGAAAAGTAATACGTGGTGGAGCATCCTTATTTGCGAGAGGTATGATTCTCCCCTGAGACTGTGGAGGAAAGTTGACATGTACAGGACGGTTTTATGTGAAACCGACCTTAAGCAACCCTTATCAACAAGACTACCGCGCAATACTACCGGTCACCGACCCAAGGGTTCTCCTAGACAGCGAGTCGGCTCCAGTGCTAAATCAGAAACCGACGATAGTGATGCCGGAGGCTTCGCATGCATCGTACAGGCGACATATCTTTCGGATCAAGTTGTTAAAGCGCTTGACATGGCAGATTTTGAGTCAAGATATAATCAACTATATGGTCTCGACTGTGCTCTTCGAACTGTTCTAGCCGTCATTATGGATCAAAGTCAGGGGAGGGGAGGCGTCTACTGCACGGCAATTATCGTCCTTCTCAGGTGAGTTTTTAACTAAATTGTTGATATGAAATTGACAGAAAACAGAGCTCTCATCATCATACACACCCATATTCTCAACTACGTCACTACAGAATCGAATATCATCTCGGAATTTAGACCTGAAAAAAGAAGTAAATATCTTGAAAATTCCCACGCAGCAATGAGAACAATCACTGCTATGGTCGACGAAATATCAACCACCCACACCAGCGTTCTCTCTCTTGTCGATACGATTCCGCCTAGTTTTGTATGTGTGATTAGAGAAGTGCTTCGATGTATCCAGGATTCTGAGTTTAGGGTTGATGACTGTATTGATGTGGAGAGACGACTGAGCAGTGCTTTGCCAAAGTTTGAGTATCGCTGGGGTGGTCGGCAGATTTACACATGATGGCTGTTTTCCCATTTCGGATATAAGTAAATGACGAATAATGATTTATGATTGATCGATTTATATAATGGCATCAAGCATCCAAATTGTTCTAGATCTCTAACATATTCACCCCCGGAGAAACAATGTGGAGGCATGGTCTGTGGTAACCATCCCACAGCGGAACCAATTCCGCGAGTTAGCCCTAACTTACAAAGCAGTTACTAATAATCCGGCCTTTCGCTCTCTCCTTCTGACAAATTAGGTCCTTGCTATCCTATTTTGTTCGGAGACATGTTTAAGACTTGGTCCGTTATCACGTCAGCTGGTGCAATTCGTCCGAAGCATTTCGTTTATGTCAAGTCGTAAGGTGTAAGGAGGGGAATGTCCTCAGATCACGGAGTCGAGTGGTACCTGGTCGAAGTGGGGTGAGTTAGGCAATACAGAGGGATTATGGTGTTTTTCATGTACGACATTTGGGTCAATCCTCGATGGGGCTTGGGGCTATATATGGGTATATATAGTCCTGTTGTCGCGGATAGCAATTGATGTGAACAATTACCTCCATAATTATCACTAAGCTTGATCTCTATCGCAAAGAGCCCTATAATCGACATCTATACATAATAAGAATTATCACCATGTCCTTCAAGAACATTGTTGTTGTCGGAGTAAGCTTTTCTGTAAATACCGATATAATGACAACAAGCTAACAGGTTTAGGGCGGCGGTAACCTCAGGTTTGTCAACTTCAACAGCCTTCCCAAATAGGAAATCTTGCCCCAAGTACCAACACACAACAGTCCCTCCATCGTCGATGCCCTTGTACAATCACCACATAAGTACACCGTCTCGGTCCTTTCTCGCGAACAATCAAAATATCAGGCACCCACCGGCGTCAAACACCTCAAAACAGACTACACCCACGACTCCCTCGTCTCTGCACTCAAGGGCCAGGACGCCGTAGTCTCAGTCGTCGCTGGCTCCGCAATCGCCGACCAGAAAAAGATCATTGATGCAGCTATTGACGCCGGTGTGAAGCGATTCTTCCCTTCAGAATTCGGCTCTGATACTACCACTCAACTTGCATTGGATTACTTCCCGGGATGGGGGTCCAAAGTTGAAATTAGGGATTATTTGAAGAGTAAGCAGGATAAGATTGAGTGGACTGTTGTATTTAATGGATTTTTCTTTGATTGGTGCGTACTCCCATTTCTTCACTCTGAAGTTCCATGGCTGAATTGACGATAGGGGCCTGAGAGTTGGATTCATCGCTTTCAACGCCAAGGAAAAGACAGCCAAAATATTCCCCAAGTACAAGGACGTCAAATTCTCAGCCACCAACTTGGGAGATGTGGGAACCGCAATTGCGCAGGCATTGTCTCCAGGCATTGAACCAAAAACGGCAAACCAGATCCTCCGCATTCGCACACTGACAACATCTCAATCCGAGCTCTTGGCTGCATTCGAAAAGGCAACCGGCGAGAAATTTAAGGTCACAGAGGCTGATCTTGATGCCGCCGTCACCGAGGCAAAGGAGAAGTTGTCAAAGGGTGATTTCAGTGGTGTGGGAACGCTTATTCAGGCGGCCGCTTTGGACGAGCGCACTGGTAATGATTTTGATAAGGGGGGTAACGTGTCGAATGAGTTGTTGGAGTTGCCCAGCTTGCCGGTTGAGGGGGCCGTTAAAGCTCTTCTTTAAGCTATTATAAGAATTCATTTGGCGATGCCGACTTTTAAGGTTGACGAGTGACAAGCTTGGAGAAATGAGTCCTATTTACCTTTAATCGTGATACAAGGCTATTCCAAAGAAAATAATTTCCCCATTAAGATCCTTGTTTATGCACTTCTATATCGAACCAAGTCAGTATCACCAAGTGCATGAAAAGTTGACGTGGGCGAATCAATATCCCTGCCTGGGAAGGAATTTGGCACTTTAGGACTCCCTTGATTGACTGACAAATAATCTGATTCATTCCGCCCACATCCCAGTTTCCTGAATCATTGGGCAATTAGAACCGAGCCTCCTCAGCCTGCTGCATGTTGCACGTCGACAACACCGCAAATGGCACTGATAGCCGGTCGGACTCACACACGCACCAGCCTCGGGCGGCAGAGCAAAAAGCAATTATAATGTTCCATGACTTTGAGCACTTAGGCAAATGATTGAATGGAACTGGGCGGCCCCCCGCTTCTCTGGAAGAATTTCACGCACAAGTTCTCTGTGACTACATTGTTTAGCACGGACATTATATGAAGAAGATTCATGAAAATGTCGCACACTGAGCAGCAAAAGAAGCTTCATGGGTTGCTGAAAAGAATTTCAAACCCTCGGAATTTCTTTAGGGACCGGCATCATGTAGAGATAGAGAATGCAGCCGAAAGTAGCTCGCCGCAACCGCCATCAACAACCGTGATACCTGTGAATGCTCTTGATGAAGTTGCTGAAGTTAATCCTCTCAGTTCCAGCGTTTCTACTCAGGTTGGAAACGATAAGAATCCAGTAGTAGCTCCTGGGTCTGATCTCGCATCGAGGTCAACTTCGATCCACAAGGCTCTTTGGGAGAAAGCCTACAGCAACCTTAGGAGCGACGAAAAGAAAGCAGAATACGTCACTAAGTATGAGCAATTGTTGTCCACAGTCATTTTGAACCAAAAAGTGGGCGAGCAAAGTATCGGAGAAGACCAAATGAAAGAAATCATCGCGCAGGGCTTGAAGAAAATCGAAAAGTACCAAAAAGCAATCAAGAATTCAGAGGACAAACTCGAAGCTGTCAAAGCCATAAAGAGCATTATTGAAATTCCGTTGAAAAACATCCCACAGACTGCTTTGCCTTGGGCTATTATCTCTTCTACTATCGATGTAAGTGCATTCCGGATTGCTGGATATTTCTTTGTATATAGTCTAACAAGATGCACTACCAGATCTTCCTTAAGCCATTAGAAGTCGGGGCGGAGTTCTACAATGGAGTTGGCTTTGTGGTTGGCAGGATCGAATGGTACTCTAGATTCACCAACCAGCTCCTTAGTCAGAGCAGCTTCAGGAATGAGAGCCCCCTTATGAACATACGCACGGACATTGAACTGAGTATCACGAATCTTTACCAGTCTCTACTCTTCTACCAAATCAAGAGCGTCTGTTGTTTTTATCAACGCCGTCAAATTTTAGTGTTGATCCGGGGGGCACTACGTTTTGACAATTGGAAAGGTGATTTGGACGATATTAAGGCCGCAGAAAAAGCCCTTCGTGAGAAATGTGACTTCTACAGACTGGAATGTCTGAATGATGAAATACAAGAAATAAGCATGAAGCACGACGTCCAGGAGAGGGCTAACAATTTCCACAAACGTCTCCAAGCTATACGACATGTAGACCCAAAAAACATCGCGGGAACGATCTCGAAGCTCAGGGAAGACCCGATGGCCGATCTTTATGAATGGATCTTTGGGACCGATGTTTTTCAGGCTTTCGCAAAATGGGAAGATCAAAATTCCTCGAGACGACTATGGATCAGCGGACAAGCTGGCACAGGGAAGACGATGTTCCTGCTGGGCACAATAAAGCAAATTCAAACCAATTGTCTTTTTCAAACCGGACTCGAAGAACCCCCGGCGCTCATATATTTCTTCTGCCAATCTACCGACGATCAACTAAACAATGGTGCAGCAGTGCTTCGAAGCCTAGTATGGATGCTACTTTGTCAACAGCCAGATTTGATGAAGCATCTGGAAGAAAAATTCTCCTCGTCAGGGGATAAGTTCATTCATGATCGAAATTCAATTGTCACGTGGTGTGAAGTCATGACCAATATGCTCAGAGACTGTGGTCGCATTATTGTCCTCATCGACGCCCTTGACGAGTGTGAGGAAGTGTCCAGAAGATTCCTAGCTAGCTTTCTGGAGGAGCTGCTGGGTGAAGAAGAATTATCTCATGTCAAATGGCTGATCACTAGTCGGCCCATCTGGGACCTTAAACATAGCCGGTCAGGTAACGCACCAGAAAAACACAGTCTTCTTGTTCTCGATGATCATGATCTTTCCCCCCTTATCAACAAATATATCAGTCGAAAGATGGCAGAAATCCGAGACCTTGCCATGAACAAACAATTTGTTCTTACAATGGAAAAACAATTGTGCGAGCGTGCAAGCAACACATTTATTTGGGCTTCTTTAGTTATTTTGGGATTTAAAAATTCACCAGAGAAAGATTGGAGACGTATTCTGGATCGTATCCCCAGCGATCTTCAAAAGCTGTATGAATTCCTATTCGAGAAGCTACGCGATCCAGACTGCAAGGATGTTCTTGCCGTAGCTATGCTGGCTAATCGACCTTTAACTTTACCGGAGATAGAGCAACTCTCTGGACTGGAGCCAGGTAAAAATGCTGGAAGAAATACCGTTACTTTGTGCGGATCTTTTCTGACACTTCGCGACGAGACTGTTTATCTGATACACCAGACGGCCCACGATTGGTTAGTTGAAAGACACTACCGTCTTCGCAGGGAATCATTAAAGGAACTTCACGCTTACGTCTACGAGAATGCACTCAAAGGACTCAAGGCAGTGTTGAAACAGAATATATACAACCTTCCTCATTTTGGCATTTTGACAGAGGAGGTGAAGCCCCCGTCAGATGATCCGCTATCACCTATTCGCTATGGTTGTCAGTACTGGGTATATCATCTAAAGGAGAGCAAAGTCGTTCAAACCCCAGGTATTCTTGATTTCTTACGAGCCCACTTTCTTCACTGGCTCGAGGCTATGGCATTACTAGGGCTATTACCCGAGATACTCCAGATTGTCACCGAATTGCTGTTATTAGAAGGCGTGAGTCAAGACTAACCACAATAAGCCTTTATAAACCATCTGGCTAACTCGTTATTCAGCATCATTCAAAATCTGAATTGTCCAATTTCCTGCTTGACAGCAAGCGATTCATTAAAAAGAACCTGCCCACTGTGACTGTAGCTCCGTTACAGCTCTACGTTTCTGCACTTATATTTACACCAACGGATAGCCTCGTACGGCGTACAGGGCTCCTCCCTCCCTGGATTGAGAGGCCCCCAGTTGTTGATAAGAGTTGGGGGTGCTTGTTGCAAACTCTCGAAATTCCAGGTGAGGTGATGTCGGTGACTTTCTCCCCAAGTGATCAGCTCTTGGCAGGAACAGCCGAACAGATTATCAGATTATGGGACACGGCAACAGGAGTTTTGAAAAGAGAACTTGTAACTCAACCGAGGTTACAGAGTTTTCGATACGGTGATTCAGTCCAATGGATTGGCTTCTCTTCACATGGCCAAAATCTGTTTTCAGCAGCGGGTGGATGGGGAATTCAGATGTGGGACACAGAAACATGGCGTTCAGCCCAGAGTCTGGTGCACTCTGAAACTGATGCAATTCTTAATGTCATTGTTTCCCCATGCAGTCAAATGCTAGCAAGCGGCTCCGATGATGGTACAATCAGAGTTTGGGAGAAGGGGACTGATACATGGAAACTCAAACGGAAATTCAGTTCGCCGAAATTACCCTTCGAACTCCTCTTCGCATCCAACAGCTCGCTACTTGCTGTAAACATGCGTGAAGGCATAGACATTTGGCAGATAGAAACTGGCGATAAACACCACATAATGCTGAAGTTTGCTGGTATCTTATCGATAAAAATCTCTCAAGATGGTCAGTTCCTATACGGAAGCTCCAAAAACGGCAGCATTTTGGTTTGGGAAACAGAAGACTGGAGCCTGAAACGAGAAGTGAAGCTCACACACCCAGTTAATTCACCAGATTATCCATTGATGATACATGCGGTTTCCCCAAACAACAACTACATTGCATGTTCTAAAAGAGATTTATTGATGGTTATTGAGACCAAAACCTGGACCGTGTTACAAACTGCGACAGGCCATGCACGCTCAATACTCACAGTAAATTTTTCCTCAGACAGCCAGTTGATGGTATCAGGCGGATCTGATCAAACTATTCGGTTATGGGACATCGTGCCTGGGACATTTGAAGACGAACTAGATAAGCACTCAGATTTCATTAACACCCTTAGCTATTCCCCCGATGGTTCCTTTGTAGCGACAAGCATAGGGGATGACGAAGTCAAAATCTGGGATACAGGCACAAGCACCCTTACACACACCATTAAGAACAAAATGCGTCTTGTCGGACTACTCTTTTCTCCAAATAACAAGATATTAGCGGGGAGAGGATTTTATGACTCTGTCATGGTGTATAATCTACAAACAAAAAAAGTGATTCTTCAGAGGAAAGGGATGAAAAGCCAAGGAATACACACTAGAGAGATTCGGTTTTCTCGCAGCAGTCGGTTTTTAGCCGCAGCTTCCGGGTTCCCATGCGTGGAGGTATGGGACACAGAAACAGGGAAACTAGTGAGACAGGAAAATCAAGACATCGAAGGCGAAGAACTACAGAATTTCATTGAATCCTGGGAAAGGAAAGTACACGTGAACGAGAACACAACATATGTTGACTCTGATGACTCTTACAAAATGGACGAATTTTCGCGGAAATTTGAGATATCTGATGGCTGGATTCTTTTTGGACAAGAGAAACTGATCTGGTTGCCACCGGATCACCGACCAAGATACCGTTCCGCGCTCGCTCAGAGTAAAAACACCTTATTTGTTGGTACTCATAGAGGTAGACCTCTTGTCTTTTGGTTCAATACAGACCTCTTGTCCGCTAGACAGTTGCACAACACCAAATGAGGTGTTTATCTACTATTTAAAGCCTACATCTCACTTGGACGTTAGAGGTGCTTCTGTCTTTGGAAAAACGCATATCCAGGTTTCTCGTTTTCATTCCGCTTCAGTAATATTATAACTGTGACAATTGTCAAAACCTGAGAATGAGCTACAACTACGCGTGCCTTTCTACGAAGAATATAAAGCTTGAGGAAGGAAAGAAGGAATAGTACTCACTGGATTATGCTGGTTTAGAGGGTACTGCCTTTCCTCTATAAAATGTTCTAGTACCTTAAAAATAAGCTGAATTTGATAATCTAAGGATCATATTGGGTTTTATAGCTAGCCCTGGGGCTTCATGAAATTGGATTTACCGATGTTTAGATGCGATACGTTTGCGGATAGGATTAGGGCACGATTGACATAGCTCTAATTGGCAGATTAAACACTGTCCCAGCAACATCATCTCCAGACGTCCTCAACACACATTTATTCTATTGAGGTCAGATGCCGTAAATTAACTTGCATTAGCCTAGACTGTATTTCTAAGTCGTTGATCGGCTATCACATTTTCAGAAGACAAAGGAGACAGGAGCATGTAGAACCTAGGCAGCCAAATTCGTATCGAGGCTCAGCCGTAGGATTCCTCGTATCAAAAACACCAACAAGCAAGAACGCTGCTTCAAACTCGACTTTTGTAAAGAATCTGGCCCCCAACCTGTCAAAGAAAGATCGTGTTTCGGAGTGAATTCTCATTGGAGTCGATCACGATTTGGCCCCAGCTGTCTGCTACCATATGGCATATGGATGCTGACAATACATCACTAGAGTGGTACACTCCTGGTTCAAATTTGTAAGATTATCTTAGAGGCCAATGGCTTTTCTAGTATGCTCGTGTTGTATGTCTTGTTCTTTACGATCGCCCCCGTCGTCGTTTTCTTCTAACCAATTTCTATCTTGTCATTTAGATGGGCTCTGAAGCAGAATCAATTCCCTAGATCGCTAATCTACAACTTAATCTCAACCTTGTAGACGCTAACTCGGAGTTTTGCTATGTATACGCGAAGTCTATCTTTAACCAATAGAGAATTCAATGACACATTGCAAACTTGAAAAGGCGTAGTCATCAAGTTCGATTAACAAGATATCTGAGTAATGGTTGCATGCTTTGGTCAGGCCGGTTGACAGTCATACCGACCTGGGAACGACATCCTCATGCCTTGCTTGATTATGCAAACTACTGAAAGGGCTTTCAGACATCGCGGATAAGAATCCTCGATGACTTGATATCTACGAAGGTACGCACTGTTCATGTTCAATATGTCTTGAAAGTTGTTTTACACACGACCTGATCAGGAAAGTTTGGCTTCGACCGAGTTGTATATCATGGATATTGAGTACAGTGCTGGCAGACTTCTGGTTTTTACTGGTGTCTTTGCCGCGCTTCAAGTCATTTTCGTCGCTCTCCGCATGGCAACTCGAGTACTCAATCATAAAGTTCGAGGTTGGGATGATGTCGTGATACTCGTCGCATTAGTCGGACAGCTAGGAATGGCAGGAACCATGATCGGTTCGACTCCTCCATACCTAAATTATAATTAGAAAAGAGACTGACGAATCTAGGCTATATCAAACAGGGCGGTATCGGCTACCACTCGGCATACTTAAGAAAGAACGACCCAGAAAAACTCGTAATCGGATTCAAATACTCCTTCGTGATCGATGTTCTATACGTCCTCTTTATCAACGTGCCCAAATTCGCTCTGCTATTACTCTACAATCGCGTATTCCCAAAACCCTTGCGCGTAAATCTCTTCGTTCGTCTTTTGATGGTATATCTCATCCTGCATACTATCGGTACGACCATCGCTCTATTCGTGATCTGCCATCCCTCAGCTATCGATTTTGATTACATACACCATCCACACTCGAAGCATTGTGGAAATGCGCAGGCTCTACATGATTTGTATATCTATGAGAGTTTGCCGAACGTCGTCAGTGATGTTGCTATTCTCGTTCTTCCGATGACGGTTATATGGCGAGCGACGATGGATAATCGCATGAAACTTGGGCTGGCAGTGACGTTCTCAATGGGCGGGCTGTAAGTCACCATCTGTCATACTACCAACAAGCTATGCTGACAATAGCCCCTTACGTCAAGAGGCATTATAGTCTCCATTCTCCGGTTCATATACTACTACCGCGACGCCTCGACCACCGATCCCAGCTGGGCGGCCGTCACACTCGAGATCTACACTCAAGCGGAAGTTGGTACCTATCTGATCTGTGCCTGTCTACCGACTTTCCGCCCATTTCTCAATTGCTCGTTTCGGGAAAGACATGTCCAGCTTCCATCCATGATGTATAGTGGTAACCCTATGCATATGCCAGCACCGGAACGGAACATGAGACCTAATAGTTTTGCGAGTTGGGAAGAGCGTTATTGGGCGGATGCGAATCGCTTGGAAAATGGGCCCAAGAATCAGTTATAGAAGTTTTGTCATAGGCATGGCCGGCAAGCGTGCTCGGTGGTTGCCTGCATGGTCTGTTGAGTTGGGCATTCCATGAGAAGATGTTAGAATTAGCTGATTCCAGATTTTGATATCATGACTGTTAAATTCATAAACGCTTGCAAGCTTTTCCTATATACATGATTTCATAATTAGACGAACTGGGTTCATTCAAATAGTCTTAACCTGCTCGGCGACCGAAGAGACTCGCAATATATTTGCCGATCGAAAACATGAACTGATTAATTGCACGGCAGGCCAAGAAGCGGGCTCTGACCTGAAATAGTCGGCAAGTCGCCGATAGTTGTCACACCACTTATGGGGTTTCATTGTGATTGTGAGTCAACAATTCATGCTTGGGCTCGTTATCTTCTTCCAGCCAGTTGGCATGCGAAATTCTTATCGTTTCCTGGCCTGATATCTCGCTTATGCACCGGTCCCCCTGAATATCTGCTCGATATGTTCCCTACTCTTCTCATGCGTCGTCTCAAGGTAATGTAATCTCTTTTCCAGGTCACTAATATCCTTCTTCAAAGTCTGGTCCTCGGACGAAAGTCGCGTATTGACGGCGTCAATCGGCGTATGCACGAACCTAACATGATTCAATGTGAGCTTCAATTCGACCAATCAAGTTTATACAATAATTCCCTCCAGTACGTACATCTTTCCAACACCTTCATATACGTTTGTATCCTTGGACAAAGATCCGAGTTCACTTGAAGTGAGTTGCAGCAGCCGAATATCGCGTTGTTTCGTTGCGATTTGTGTTTTGACTATACTGATCTGTTGCTGTGCTGCAATTGCTTGTGATTCAATCTCTTGAACTAGCTGTTACGTTAAGAATAATTAGCAAGGTCGTCTACTTTCTCATTGGGATTGAGGTATCGTACTTTCTGCAGAGCCGCAGGTGGGATCGACATTTTGACTTGTGTTCTCGAAGATAGCGGATCAATGGCGAGCGAGAACTAATGCGACTGGATTACTCTCTTTTTGCCGAAGATGATTAGTCCGGGATAGCAAGAGACGATATGTCAAGGAGTAGAAGGCTTTGTCTTGCGATTTACGTTCAATGTCAACGAGCTCCGATGAACTGATGGAGGAGATCCATGGACACCTTACTGAAAGCGGTAAGGCGGTGTCGGAACTACCCCGCCGGGCCGCAACTCAGGGCTTAGGGCTAGGGTGACAGTTATCATGACAACTTGAGGTAAGATAAAGTTAGGATGGTTTTGAATCCTTATTAGATAGTAAATCTCTTTTCCAAATCATAAGATAAGATATCAATGGTCTGAGATGCGATTGATTGATTGATTGTGTATACGTATTTGTTATTCGAGCGCCGTTACACACGGCAACGGAACTTATCAATGAATTATTCCTGCCGATAAGAAAACGCGTGATCTGTCCTAACGTTGTCCATCTCTCTAACCTCACCTTTCATCAGCTTTATGACTCAACTTTACGATTTGAACCAGAACATTCTACTAGGCTACGTGTCTACAATACCTACGACGAGACAGTATATAATCCTACACGTGTCTGGACAATCCATCTGTTGAGACAACAACATTTGCCTCTGCATCGGAGAAGGAGAACCGGAGAATAAGAACAGTTGAACGACGATAATAGAAACGAAAATGGAATACCTACAAGGTCAGTATGATCTTCCAGATAGAGGTTTTTATTTTAATTTTTAAACTAATCTTCTAACAGATAACGTCCTCCCCACTCTACAAACCTACTCAATCCTCCTCTTCCGCAAGACCCTTTCAACCCTCACCAACCCCAAAGACGCCGACAAATTCCTTTCCAACATTCAACAAAAGTACTTAGAACCATACCTCCTCGTCCCGCTTGCAAACATCCTCGACACGTCCACATCAGCATTCTCATCAGCAAATATCCTCTCATTCATCACGCTATTATTAGTGCTATACATATCCCTACGCATCCTGGACTATGCGCGAAGGGTAATCATGTTCTGGGTTATGCTAGTCGTGCGTCTCACATTCTGGGTCGCAGTGATTGGGGTAGGCGTTTGGATTTACAATGTCGGTGTTGAGAAGGCGATGCAGGATGCGGGCTGGTTTTGGGGTGTGGTGCAGGGCTTTTTGGAGGATTTTGTGGTTAATGCCAAAGCGGAGTCGGCGGCAAGTAGAGGAGGGCAGTATTATGGTGGTTCTGGTGCTGGGGGATCGAGGGGCTACGGAGGTGGTGCAGGGAGGAGTTCGGGATATTGGCATGATCGGAATCGGCGGGTTTAAGTAAAGTGGTTGGAATAAGGACAAGGACAAGGCTAGGGTATGTCTTACATCCTTCGGTTTGGGGACTGGTAGTTTGTTTTTATACGACTGGCACGGTATATGGTATTCTTACGTTGGATTATTCTATGCTGTGATAGGTACATAATGCATGTTTGCTTGTAAAGCAATGATAACGTAAACTCGTGACTATGACCCGCAGGGCCGAAGTCTGTACGACGCTGTCGTATCAGTAACTTGTGTGCGAATCTTTACGGATTGTGTAATACAACCGGCAGCAGTGGTGATGAGAGGGCAGTCGGATTTTGACTCGGGCTCCGGCTTTCGGTGCCTCTCCATACCGCTATGGTGAAGATGTGGTTTGTGTTTGTTGGTGGATATGTCGAAGCTGACTCAAACTTCGGCATCCTCATAATCCACCTCTTGTGCATCACGCGGTTCCCGTGGCTCTTGTGCTTCGTTGTATTGAATCGCATCATCGATATAACTCAAAATCGCACCTACGCTATCTTCGTCCGAGGCATCCAACTGTAGGAACGAGACCATGCTGAAATCATCAATCAGTTGACCGACTGCTTTATTCAGACGATGAAAAGAACCGCCGCTCATCAATTCGTCTTTTGAGGATGGGTCAACTCGCAGATCCATATCTTGTTCATGTTCTTCCATATCGTCATCGTCTTGTGTTATCGATTTCGGTTGTTTCTCATCTGTATTATCGTCTTCATCTAACAGTTGTACATCGACATTGATGAATCGTTTTAATCTCCGGCGCCCAACCATGTCTTTGATTTGATCCATCTTGCTCAATATGTTGATGTGGGGCATTTCCAACAGGATCATAGCAGACATTGCGCTCAATGTGCCTGCGAAAAACTTGGCCTTGTCAATGACAAAGGTACTCTCAAGCAGATACGCGGCACATAACGATATATTCAGGGGACCTTGGCGGCTGAGGAAGTTGGTGAGTGTCGGCAGAAGCGGGATGTGCGTATACAGCTCGATCTGGCCGGGCATGTCAAAGATGATCAAATATTCCTCACTCAACGGATCCAGCGCTTCGGTCAGGAAATCCAGGTTCTGCATCAGAAACTCAAAACAGTATATAAGGCCGCCGTTGGGGCCCAACTCAAGTTCTTCCATTACATCTTCGAGGGTGATGAGTTCGCGGATGTCGAGGTCCGGATCGTACTGGAATGATTCGGCGGCGGGGTCGAGGTTGACGTAGAAACAACTGCGGCGAGAGTTTTGGAGGTGTTGGATGATGGCATTGCAGAAGGTGGTCTTGCCGGCACCAGCAGGGCCCATCACGAGGACTCCGAACTTGGACATTTTGTATTACCGTCTAACTGATATGTCTGTTCTCTAACGTCTCTTGTTAGGGTCACAATTTTTTCGCGGAGCTGTCGAGCTTCCACTGGACTAAAAGGTGGGGTGTGGGGCCAGTCTGTATTATTACCCCTGCATACGTGCTGATTACGTGAATTACAGTCTATGTATTTCAGCAAGGCTTGTAAGCTGTCACTCGGGGAGTAAGGTGTCGGTAGCCGGTCCAGCGCAATACTCTGTCCTGAACAGTACAGAGTTTTTGGCTGGTCTGGAGAATGAGGCTAAATCTATATTTGTATACGTGTCTACTTCACCTTTAAGCACAATCCTCTATTCCACTATGATTCGCCCTCTCCATAGAAGGGACATACATAGAAAGCGGTACTGCCGGTGCTCACCGCCTGCTAGCGTAATCTATGCTCGATTCTCACGCTCCTATTGGCTGTTTCTCGTGAAAACCGCAATACGGGCCCGGGGGCAACTGCCCCAAGGCACGATGGCGCCATCACTTCGGACTCCGTGCTCGGCGAATCTGCCATTGGGATAAAAGATAAAATGAGCCTGGAAACCCCCCACCATCCCGTGCAATCTTTTTTTCTTCTCTCCCAACCATCACATTCCTCCTCTTCTTCTGCCTTCTGCCTTCGATACTTCTGTCAATTCCCTGAATACTTGCTCTCCGTTCTTTTTTTAATTTTCAATTTCCAACACAATCACATTCACAATGGGTAGCGTCAGCCACAAGACAGGAACTTTCCTGTTCACCTCCGAGTCTGTCGGCGAAGGTCACCCTGACAAGATCGCGTATGTTTGAAAACTTCTTCGTCTATTGTTTGAGTGTCCGAATACTAATCATGCTCAACTGAACAGCGATCAGGTCTCTGACGCCGTTCTCGATGCCTGCTTGGCCGAGGACCCTCTCTCCAAGGTAAGGGAACCGAACAACTTTTCGACGCAGAAATTTTCAGTATTGACACGACATAGGTCGCTTGCGAGACTGCTACCAAGACCGGTATGATCATGGTCTTCGGTGAAATCACCACCAAGGCCAGACTCGACTACCAGAAGATCATCCGTGGTGCCATCCAGGACATCGGATACGACGACTCCTCCAAAGGTTTCGACTACAAGACTTGCAACGTCTTGGTCGCCATTGAGCAACAATCCCCTGATATCGCTCAGGGTCTTCACTACGATGAGGCCCTTGAGAAGCTCGGTGCTGGTGACCAGGGTATCATGTTCGGATATGCCACCGACGAGACCCCTGAGCTCCTTCCCCTCACTCTTCTCCTCTCCCACAAGCTTAACCGCGTCATGAAGGAGGGCCGTCTCGACGGAACCATCCCTTGGGTTCGTCCTGACACCAAGACCCAGGTCACCATCGAATACGCCCACGACAACGGTGCCGTCAAGCCCCTCCGTGTCGACACCGTCGTCATCTCCGCCCAGCACAGCGAGAATGTCTCTACCGAGACTGTCCGCAAGGAGCTCCTCGAGAAGGTCATCAAGAAGGCCATCCCCGCTGAGCTCTTGGACGACCGCACCGTCTACCACCTTCAGCCCTCTGGTCTCTTCATCATTGGTGGTCCCCAGGGTGACGCCGGTTTGACTGGACGTAAGATCATTGTCGACACCTACGTAAGTTGACCACCGACAATCTTTAAGGATTCCTTACTAACAATCAACAGGGTGGTTGGGGTGCTCACGGTGGTGGTGCTTTCTCCGGAAAGGACTACTCCAAGGTCGACCGATCTGCCGCTTACGTCGCTCGTTGGATCGCCAAGTCTCTTGTCAGTGCTAAGCTTGCTCGCCGTGCCCTTGTCCAGCTCTCCTACGCCATTGGTGTCGCCGAGCCCCTCTCCATCTTCGTCGAGACCTATGGTACCTCCGACAAGAGCTCCGACGAGCTCGTCAAGATCATTCGCGACAACTTTGACCTCCGTCCTGGTGTCATTGTCAAGGAGTTGGACCTTGCCAAGCCCATCTACTTCCAGACTGCCAAGAACGGTCACTTCACCAACCAGAACTTCGCCTGGGAGAAGCCCAAGACCCTCAAGTTCTAAGCGTGCTTGCTCACTCTCAAGCATTTACTTATGACCATTCTGTGATGATTTGACGACACGGCTTTGTTTTCAACAATGCAAAGCGATATATTCTAATAGACATAAAAAAGCCTTTGCGGTGTATTTTTCCCTCGTCTTTTTCATTTTCTTTTGTTCCGAGGTTGGCGAAAAATTCAACATATGATACCATTTTCATCATTGGCATTGGACGAACGGCGTTTTCTTTGACGGATTTCTATGTTGTGAGAGGGGGTTTATTTTATTAGACAGTTTCAAGTCGAGATAATGAACAAATAGCCTCCCAGTCATTTCCTTGTAAATTGCGAGTTTTTATCAAATTAATTGCAGTAAGGATCCCAAACAAGTGTCAGGTGGTTGTTATCGGCTAGTATGTTGTACCGCATCAAAACGCGTGACGCCAGATCGGACCCGCACCCTGCATGCCTTCCACAACTTATCAATTATCAATGCATGAACGCAGCACACTCTTACCCTCAATTCGACTTGAAGAATACTGCTTAAAACTACACCTCTTCATTGTTGATATCACCGAATCTCAAGAAGATCACAACACAGATTCGAAACTACAGCATGCTTCTCATCGCGTAAGGCGCGTTAATGGCTTCACGGGGAATTCCAGGCGTCCTCGAATCAACGAGTCTAACATCCTTGAACGCAATCAATGGACCAACGGCACCTCTTCCACCACTGAAAAGACGCAAAATATTTCATACCGACGATGTCGAACAGACATCTTCGTCGCAGACGGTGTTTACGGTCAAGGGACACGCCTCGTCCCTGTCAGACAACGAATTCAAATTAGCGCCGATCGAGCTTCTTCCTCGCTCTGCGTTGCCATTCTCATGGCTAGATACTTCGACAGCGATCCAGTCGAATAACATCTTTGCAAGCAACGATGCGGTCCTGGAAGGAATGTTCTTTCCAAAAAAGGGCGCGGAGCAGCCGGATTTGGAACCCAGTGTACTGGCAACACGATCACTCTCCAATGGCGCTATATACGTGGTAGAGCGTGTGAAGACGGGCATATTCGCGATGACGAAACTTCAGTCCAACATTGAGGAAGGCGAGATTCGGGTTGCTGCAAAAGCGGCGGCTGCTATGAGTTCAAAAATTTTAAGAATATGGAGCTCAACTATGGATCTATTTACGACAAGTACATCTGCCAACAAATGGGACTGGAGGGAGGCCGCTCGATTTCCTGACGATATCCCTCGCTTCGATTCGTCTGCTACGAAGAGAAAAATCGATATTTCGATGGCGTTTGAGGATTGTTCCAGCAACGATCATCGAGCGGCTGCAATAGAGAGCGAGGTATATACTGGGGACTCGTTCATGGCACTTGATGGTGTCGAGTCCGGTATGCAGGAACACAATCGTACCCTGCCAGATATCAGTATCGAAGCACCTCAGTTTGAGGATCAAGGCGATGCGCAGAACACATCGCCTACACCGGACGTCATCATGGAGAATCTGAGAAGCCAGTATTTGGAAGCTCTCTATATCTCAAAGGTATGTCTCTATCTTTACTCAACGTAGTACGTGCTGACAATTTATAAGACATCTGTGGCGTACTTTGCCAAAGGTCCCTTGACACGATGTCGCAATGCATTTGCACAATATAGTCGGGACGAAAACGTTCCGAACTTACCTAGCCAATACAGAGAATCCATTCTATCAGTCAAAAAGATGGATGCCAAATATCGAGAGACTCTTCCCGTGATACTTCGCAACATGACTCTATTACTCTCCGATGACGAGCGTCCCAAAAAGCGCAAGAGCAAGAAGAGGAAACTAGGGAAGAACGGACTTTATACTGGCGAAGACGAATTCCTGCAAAGGTACTGGAAGTCGCGACAAATATCCAAGAACAAGGAAGGCGCCGAAGAGTCCAAGGAAGAAGAGATCAAACGACACATTTCAGATTTGAGGTTACGAGAGACACAGCTTCAGATCCTTCTTATTCTAGAGACTATACATCTGGAAATGCCCAATGTGGCACCTTCCATTGAAGATGCGAAAGGACATGAGGCGAGCACAAAACGGTCAAAGTCAAAGAAAGAGGAGAACTTGAATTTGCTTCTTGAGCTCTTCATTGATCGACTTTGTATTTGGCATGCTATCAGTGCAAATGAGGGTGTTATATCTGAGTCTTTCAAAGAGACGAACAAAAATCATCTTTCTGGAAAAAAGATTGAGAGCGACGCTCTTCGAGATTACTGCAACGAGGTTATCATTCCGTTCTATGCGTCACGGCTTCCAGAACAATGTAAGACTATCAAGAAAAAGTTAGGAGGCGCTAGCGAGGTTTCCCCAAATCGTCCAGTAGTGCCAAAACTCAAGGCATCTACCTCAAATTCTGGTTCGAAAAGTCAGTCTGGTGTTGGTGATGGCAAGAAGATACAGCCGCAACAGAAACCTCGCCGTACACTTCAGCGAGTTCTCACCGATGAACAGACGTCCGTCTCTCAAAGAAGCCGTCATCCATCGCTAATGAGATCAAGTACTACGCCAGCTCTACAAGAGGTCAAGCGGGAATCTGTCGAGCCATCCCTACCATCGTTAGGTGGTAGTGTACGCGGCGGCATACAGATAGCGAGGCGAGTCGATAAACGCGAGGTCGACTTAAATGCAGTAGCCAAGGTGCACGAGACGAAACTCAAGAAGATGAACACGCTCATAGAGCAGAAGAAAGAACTCGACGCTGCGATTAATGCGCTACGAAAACCGAATCGCGAGCTGGTATCCAAAGAAGTTGCCGATCAAGCGGAGAAGAGGACCTTTTCCAGTTCTCGCAAATCTAGGAACCCTGTACGCAATCCGCTTGGGCAGGGCGTGCAGGTCATGGCGACACCAAGGGGTACAAGGAAAAAGGACATGAGCCTCGAGCATCAATCTCAACCATCTCTTCCTCGTGGTCCTTTAGCGAGACCTTCCATGACGAAACATGGGGTAGATGAAACCTCTCCAGATCTAGGAAGTGATATCTCACTTGTCCCTGGCTCGACCATTCGAACCAACACGTTGACAAGCTCAATTGCATCGAAACGAAAGTTTAATAGTATAACTGAAACCCCGTCTCGCGGTGTGTCGAGACGGTCGGGTGCTCTGAGTCTCATGGATGACCATGAAGCAGAAGCTATTTCAATCAACACACCGGCTTCTGTCATTCCGTGCAACAGGGCGCTCTTCAAAGTACCAAGCCTTCCAGCCATGACAGCCAGATCAATCGATGAACGGATGACAGAACCAGAGAACTCTGATGTTACTACAGGGGATAAGATATTCTCAATCGATCAAACGCCCCCAGCAAAGAACAAAACGTTCTTTATCCAACMCCTCTCCGCACCCAAGCCGATGACAATGACAGCATCGTCATCTCCTGTACCTATCTTTGAGACGCCTGTCAAAATGAAACCGAAACAAAATATGATGCAACAAGATGATTCTGCTCGGGTCGTTCAGAGTACACCTGTAAAGTCTATCTATGAAGCATTGGGTTGGGATGAGGATGATGATGATGACCTAGCTCTGTGAGCTTGAAATGTGACCACGAAGATACACGTTACGCACATATATATGCATAGCTTATAGAATACAATTTACACCCCTTTAATCTATCAACTTTGTAGCCAACATGGGATCACATTGTATCAAGGAATGTTATTGTATTTCTACTCAGCCTGGACCATCTCACCGGTGTCCATTTACCCTACTTACCTGCGTTACCTCCCGTGCTATGTAGCTCGATCAATAAAAGATAGAGACAAAGGCATCGGTGTAAGAATAACGAGCGAATGTCCATGGGGCTCCCGAAGGTTCTGGGTCTTGAGTCAAAGTCAGTCTATTCTTAATCCCTGCCCACCACCCACGAAAATGATAAATTGAACAACGAATTAAGGATATGATTCGGTCCAAGAATAAAAGGGATATTTGAATCTGGGCTGGATCATGGGGGTTCTTAGTTCATTATTTCCAAGGTTTAGTTCCAAGCTTGGACTTATCGAGTCTAAGTTGCTCAGCCTGACGTGCATGCAGTCCGATATCGAATATTTGACTTGGTTCGAGGAGAGTTGTTCAATTGTCTGGTTTTCTTTGTTCTATCTCTATATCTCACGAGCCAATGAACTCTTCTACATGTGAGAAATAAGAGGATAAAAGAAAGCCAATTAGACATGCTAATGCTCGATAGGAGAAGCAAAGTGATCACGCGTAAGGTTTCTGCAGACCTGTCAGTAGTGCGTGCGTGTGGGCTCGAGAGGAGCAATGATAACCTTTTCGGGCTGTTCCGTTCCGGCCTTTGGACCTCTCCAGAGTAAGGTAAGTTTCTCTATATTGAAATGTTCCAAGGTTAAACGATTAGTGAGGAAGTATGGTCCATAGCGTTTCTCGCCTAGTCTTTGTAGGCAGCAATTTCATGCAAGTATTGTTTCTCATACCCCGTCTGCGTGAGGAAGGTGATTCGAATTCGTCATCTGTGGAACGATTCTTCCACAAATATAAATCCGGAGTGGCGTTGAACACAGCAAGATGGAGTAGGACTACCTTTGTGTCACTGTCAGGGACTAGAATCTATCACTATCACATTGCATTGTGTCTTGTTTAACCGATGCTCAACGTGTCTTAACGTCGATGCATTGACATGACCGTGATGACTGCTCGGTTCAGATGCTAAGCGTATCCAGTTTCTCTCATCGGGTAAATAACCAAGTCATCGAGAAATGAGCGTAAAGGCTAGTAAGCAAGCGAGACCTACTAACTGTCGATAAGGATTTTCCGAACGTGGAGGATATCACGAGATCCAGATCCGGGACGCCAATCAATCGTCTGGACAAAGCGGGGATAGAAGAGGGGAAAATCGGAGGTTCCAGTCCAGACAGAATCTTCTTGCATCATATGTAACTAGTCTCGCTTATAGCAGCAGTCGCAGGGCGCTATCGGGCAGTTTCGAATAACGGTGTTCTCGTTGGGTGAGATGTCTCAGTCACCCAAAAAGATTTCCGATTAGAAAGTAGGTTGAAGATCGCCGCATGAGTCAGTATCTGATAGACGAGCAATAGTCTAGATAACGTCAAGCATCTAAACTTGATGGCCCAAGCTTTATTCTGACGAGATAGCCGTTCACTATAAACCAAGGATAAGCTGTATTGGTCAATCAGCTCCGCACCAATGCAAGCCATATGCAGTCCATAGGCGGCTGAGCATCATATACGTACGCATTTCGTGGTAGGCACTGGTCAAAGATTCGACTACCCATAAGCAAAGCCCCCCAAAGCGCCGTGGTGTTCTTCAAGGCTCCACTTCGGTCGACAGATCCCGTAGTGATCATGGTAATAAAACGCAGTGTAAGAAGGTAGTGCTACTCCGGCCCGGACAAGGTAGTACTGCTACCGTTTAGCTTGCTGCAAGACCAGGGTCAATCTATCACGAGGATAGAAATTGGAACGGCATTCTGCACGCTGATTGGTTGATGGGGTTTCTAGCAGGCTTGTCTATTTTTGGTTGGTGCCAATTTTTGGAGAGGCTTCTGTTTGGAAAAAGAGGCATGATCGAAACACACCTGAGGGGACTATGCTCTGTTTTTCCGGTCGTTACTCTGAAATCCGGTCTAGACTGCACTGCAGCAGAGTATGTCCATCAAAAGCTGACCTGTGGCACGACCTATGACGGAAACAGCAGCCAGTCAAGAAGTGAGTTACTCAGCTCACATGCCGAATGGACCCGAGTGCACCGTTGATTCGAGGTGAGCAAGCTGAAGCGACCTGAAACAGTGAGAAACATGTGTGAGTCAAAGAGGAATGTGGTCAAGACAAGCTTGCGCCGGTGGCATCACCGGTTCGCATTAATAATGGCTGAATTAGAGCCATGGGACGAGCCGGGCAAAGCGGGTGATTGACAGGTAGATAGGCGTGCAATCAGAGACGATGACTTTACAAGCTATCCGTAACTTATTCTTTCTTGAACAATATAGAATGGACGACTCGAAGCAAGAATAGAGACACGGGTGTTACTTCCGACCCTTGTGTAAGTTACGCGTATCGGGTACTGTCACGGACTGGTAATCAAATACGCGCATTCTTTCTCGATTGATTTGGTTTTGGGCTGCCAAGGAAGCCGCGACGGGCCGTGCACAGACCTTGTCTGCTCGTGGCAGCAGCGGCAGGCGGGKAGGCCGCAACTGCCGTCTCCACTGCTTGCTTGCCCATTCTTATTCTTTCATTCTTCCTCCATCATTTGACACTCGATGTTTCTACAACTATGACTAAATGTAACTAATAACTTCACAAGGCAGTTTCAACCCATCCGGAATGTCACCGATTTGGACGTGCCGCATGACTTGACTAATCCAAACTCTCTGGTCTGGCCTGAGTCTAGTCGCGATATTCCCAGCTAGGCCTAAAACAACAAGAATACGGAACTCGTAATTTCTTTGTTTCTGTTTCGCTCGTGTATTTCTTGTCCTATGATCGGCCTCTAGAATTCAGTTCGGACTTAATGGCGAAATTCTGGCGCGTCCGATGATCGACGACTGCTATGGCGTCGTCACCAGCTGCAATGATCGCGCAGGGATTCGTCAACCCATCTCTGCCTGTCATATGCAAATCAGAAAGGAGACTAGCACGTACTGAGTAAGTACTACGTACAAGATCCGTTCATGAGAGTTGAGCCCTGCGTCCGCCTTCGTACAAGGGATTTCTCCAGATAACCCAAACCTTGAATGTTCCTTCGTACGGAGAACTTAATCGATGTCGTAAAAGAGATGAGGCTGTCTCACGCCAGGTAATTTGAGATGTCGCTTTCATTCTGGCGGGATGATTGGTCAATCGGCGTGGTATTGGAACTTTTATCAAGGCTGGTGTTTTCCATCGCTGCCGTTCTATCCAGATGCTTCGTAAAGCCTTGGATTGCATTGCTCGGAACGATGCAACCGTTACTCTAAGAACCATGGATCACCAAATGGATGATACTCCTGCCTAATCAATGATATGCTTTTATACTGTAGATCATACCCAGTAAGCGCTTCGATCTGGCGACAATTAGTCGTTTCTCAATTTTCGGCCTGTATTCGAATATTCGATCGAAGATGCACCCTCCATGATCGCCTCGCTACCACTCAGGAGACTTTCGTGGAGTTCATCTTTGGATCTGTCCAAAGTTAAGGTTAACGATCTTCAGGGTTGACTAGCAACCAATCAATGGGGCTTGTCACTATCCCGAACCTAGGGAAGGATGCTATCGAAGTCAACTAGCCTTTAAGGTAGGCTGTAAAGCGCGTGCACTGCGCCGTCCGTTGGAGGACGCGTATCCATCGAAAGTACTTCAAGTAGACGATGGAAAAAGTCAGCCAGCAGTTCTCAAGTAGTCAAGTCTATCTGATGGTTAGTAAATTCGATTGATCTTCACTTCTCCGCGCGCCGCTTCCTTCCGTGTTGAGACGGCCGCCAATCAGAAACCGTGGCGCTCAGGGAAGGTGCAACCCGGGGACTTTCCTCTCTACTACGTACGTCCACTGTCTCCTGCCTGTCCATCGCTCTTTCCCTCGCTGCTCTGGACGAGATTCTTAAAAGCAGGAACCGCGAGCGATAGCCGTCTGTTACCAAAGACAGTGAGTGCCCTTTCTGTTTCTGTTTCTGACTCAAGTTATGACCCTGCTGTATGACAAAGTTTGACTTCAAGCTACGCTGTAACAATCACAATCGCAGAGGGGAAAGGGAAAGCTAAACAACAGAGGAGGCACAGCCAGAAAAAGCAACAAGATAAAAATCCCCCACTTTCCCTGCAAAACATCCAGCCAGAGCACAGCCTGGCAGCCTCCTTGCCATTTTCCTTGCCACGCAGCGCCTGTTGTTATTATTACTGTTGTCTGTTTCCGCCCGCCCCTGCACCACTCAAAAGTGTCTGACAAAGTCCCTGCATCCTCCCACTGACTAACTAATCGATTGTCCCCAGTCAGTCATTAATCAACAGTCAATCATCGACTGCTATTGACTCTTGCCAGCACTTCCTATTTCTCCTCTGTCCTTAGTGAACGCCCTACCCGCACCAGCGTCAGTCGTCCCCTTTGGTGATCCGCTGCTCTTCAGCCGACCGACCGAGCAATCAATCAGGCCGACCGCACGGCAGCCAGCTGCCCCTCTGCCCCCTCCCAGGGCTTCAGCTAACATCGTACGGATACGTCAAAGGACATACGTATTTCGGTATGTACTGTGTACGTACGACGTACCAGTACTAGTGCTTACTTGGACGACGGCTCTCGGAAAGCGCTTGAACTTTGAAGACATCGTCATCCCGCCCGGGCCACTTTCTTCAACCGTGCCCTTCCGCTGCCAACAACCAGGCAGCACATTGGCAATCGCATCACCTGCCCTTCGCTGTGGCGGTGCGGCTCCTCGGCTGTACATTCTTCTTATCTGAACACCTACTTTGCCACAGCGCGCGCTCTACCTCTTCCAGTCGCAACCTTCCCCAGCCGCCGGCGCCCCTCTTTTTCCAACTCTACTCTACTTGGTAAAGCTTGCTTACCCAATCCGCGACCGCGCCAACCTTGTCAACCCGCTCGCGATCTCACTTTTCTCGAATCATCAACCTGCATGCGACGTCCGCTCCCCCAAACCTTTACCTGTGTGCTGCGCGACGGCCTCTTCATTGGTTTTGTTTGTTGACGGTTAATGCCTTGTCCGTTATATTGGTAATTTCGCCTTCGACTTAACACTGGACTGACCGCGTCGCCGAATCCGATCTCCGCGGCCCTCGCGGCCTTTGTTTCAGATTCGCGGGCACAGAAGTACAACAACATGTACAGCGCACCTCACCAAGCCTCAGCGCCTATGAATGGCATGTCTGGAGAAGTTATTGACGGCTCGGGCACCATCAACCCAGCCGCGCTTAATACTGCCGGTATGGGTTTCGGATGTTTGTTTATGCTTTTCTTATCTGTTTCTTCATTGAGGCCTTTCGCGCAAATCTTTCTATATCGTATAAACGGCAGATCTCCCGACCAATGGCTTGATTCTTTTTGATGCATTTTTGATGCATTTTTGATGCATTCCTTTTTTTTCTAGCATTTGGCAAACTTCCTGATGCTAACATGTTTGCTTCTAACAGCCTCACTTTCTGCGCCGACCGCAGCACCATCGAATCTCAGTCCGCGTGGAATCAAGCGAAGTAGATCTCCGGATCAATATGGTGATGCTGGGTTTGATGGCGGCGATCATGATGACCGTACGTATATCTCCATATTGTTCATTCAACCCGCCGTCCCTCGTCTTCAATTCGACCTTCTAGGACGTTTGCAATTATGCCGGAGTGGAAGTGAGAAAACTAAGACCTATAATCGCGCTTAGATTCGATACATCATGATGAACACGGCCGGCGAAAGCGTGGGCGACCGCCAAAAACCTCGCGCCCATCAAGTGCTACTGCCGCCACTACTAACTCCAACTCTCACTACGTTTCGCCTCTTCAACATCCATCAGCCGTAGCTGGCGCGATGCAGACGCCGCAATTGTCAGTTCAATCTCTCCCAAACCAGACCTCGATATCCCCTCCGCAACATTCGCCGCCTGCGAAAACGACGCCAACAAAAACGCTTGTCAAAGCGCTTCCAACAGTGCGTGATCACACAACAGACACTCTGAATGAAGGTCGCGACGAGTATCTAGCTAAGGAATGGGACGATGCCGGCGAGAACAAAGTCGATATGGATGGCTACTTGAAAGACGGTCGTGTGTATAGATGTCGGACCTTTCGTGTACCTGGTCGCGGAAACAAGTTATTCATGCTGGCAACTGAATGTGCGCGAGTGCTCGGCTACCGCGACTCCTACCTGTTATTCAACAAGAATCGATCGCTCTTCAAGATTATCGCGAGTCAAATCGAGAAAGATGATCTGATTCAGCAAGACATTCTTCCATACTCTTACAGATCTCGCCAGATTGCGATTGTAACCGCTCGATCCATGTTCCGTCAGTTCGGCAGCCGTGTCATAGTGGACGGTAGACGAGTCCGCGACGATTATTGGGAAAGCAAGGCGAGGAAGCAGGGATTCACCGAGGAGGATTTGGCGGGAGAGAAGCGGCCTGGTGCCGCCAAAGCTCGCGACGCAGCAGCAGCAGAGGCCGCTGCAAATGCCGGTATTCTGCCAGGCCTGGGTCAAAATGATATCGTGTACAGCAGTGCAATCGAAGGAATGCCGCATCTTCCTCCCGGTCTAGCAGGCCATGGAGGTGTTTCGCTTGCGCCTCTTCCGATGATTCACCTAGCGCCTACGACAGATGATCCAAGATTGCGAGAATATAGCTCTATGCCCCGTCCTCGGCAGGAGATGACAGGGCAGGCATATCAAGACCGCTCTCAACCCAGCACAATGGCGGAGATTCGCAACCAAGCTACGCACACTGCAGAGTTTAACAAGATCTTAAATAACCAGCGAGCGTTTAGGCAAAAGGGCTTGGAGGAGTTTTATACAACGCCTCGTGAAGTACCAACATCTTCCCCAGCTCATTTAGGTCAAGCCGATGTAATCGCTGCTACTGCTGCTGCACCAGCCTCGTCCTTGCAATCACCACAAATGACATCTTCGGGCGCCATCATGAACCAGGCATCGCAGCAACACCGTGGTGTCCTCCAACAACCCACACAAATGATGACTCAACCATCTCAAGCCGCATACAGTCAACAGCAGCAGGCAGTCTCACAAGTAACCGCACAGTCACCGTTAGGGAATAACATGCATGGCATTCGGCCTGATGCGCTTCACTCGAGGCAAGCTAATGCAGCGGCGCTGTCATCAGCAGCATCACAGACACCATACGGCTATCAATCGCAGGCGCAGCCGATTTGGGGACAGCCACCGCCTCAACCACAGCACCAACAACCAGCCCTGTCCGCGTCACCTCACATGGGAATGCCACAGTACGCAGGGCAAATGCAGCAACAAAGTCCGTCGCCACACCCGAGCGGTGGTCAACCGCATCCGTCGCAGTCGCCGCACAACCAGGCACGACCCACACAAGCCATGCCCCAAGGTATGCAGATGCACCCACAGGTTGGGCAACCTGGTATGCCATCAATGGGATACCAAGCTGGAGGCGTGGCGTATAGCAACGTACCGAACCCTCGAGCCATGTATGCACAAGCTCAATCTCCAGTTCAACAGCAGTTTGTGCCTGCTCAAGCGGGTGGAATGACGATGGCGATGGGAGCTGGAGTAGGCATGCCCGGTTGGCCATCTCCAGCAGGAAGCGGACATATACAACCCGGGCAACCGCAACAAGGTCAATCCGGCAGTCCATTGGGGGGATGGTCCAGTTATTAGTCTTTTTCTTTCCGTTTATTCTTATTCTCTTTATACCATCTTATTTACTCTTATCTATTGTGTGCTTATTTGTCAAGGGTATATTCCATCATTACTATTATCTTCGTTCATTGTTGGGTTGGTGTTTGATTTGCATTGATTACTTTCTTGATGACGGTTGATCCGATAAATTGATATTGTTATTGACCCGATTGATATTTTGTTTCTTTCATTCACGGGATGTCACTTTGATGAGAGTGAACATTCTCTTACCTAATTTCTTCATGTCATATACCCCCACTCCTAGTCTTTGGTCTGGTTGCCTTGTCTTTTTGTGAGTGTGCTTTATTGACTGATCCAAGTAACTGAATCGAATTTTGATATCTAAGTTCGAAATTTGAATCGCGGAAAATCTATTATATTTTCCAGATCTTCCAATTCCTCTTACTTCTCCCCTCATTCCTCATCTGCTCTTGTTTCAATCTTTTTTTAGTTACTTTGCGTTTTTTCAACCTTAATATTCTCTTAAGTTGCATTTACGTGCTAAAATGCATGATCATGACTTTGTTTCTTTTAATTATTCTTATACATTCTACTACCTGTGCATTGATATCATGAATTTTAGATGTAACCTTTTCTATTTTGACCACTTATACACGTGTGCAACTAGACTGGAATGGATTGTCCATTGAAATACCACGAAGCAGACAGCACCTAGGTATATGATTCCTTTTATGTCAGGTTGGATCGGAGTAAACAGACCGCCTGGCCATAACTCGTGCACCTTCGATTTCTGCGAGTAGTCTCAACGCGATTTCACAGCCGTTCAATAACGGCGTGAGTGCAGCGATCCTACTAAGTGCTCCCAACTGTTGACATGGGAAATTCTGTAAAAAAAAAAAAGAAGATATATTGCTTGATTGTATAAAAGCGGAAATATATGGTAGAAATAACACAATGATTATTTATACCGGTATATCTCTACAATTGAGATGTAGTGAAGCTATACACATAATCCAATTAGGCAATATTAATAGGAATAGAGAGATAGGCTTTGGATTAATGGACCTCGTTAAGCTCCAGTTAAGAGATGATTTGAAGACCGGTACAATCCAATGGACTTGGAATTGCGCGGTCCAGTCGAAAAGGCTGCCAATACAGCAGGTTGCTGTAAAGACGGAGTTATAGTTTCTTTGAAACACCGATGAGATCACCAACAAGCGGGAAAAAAAACCGACCAACTGAATGTAGCCCACATCGAGAAGAAGATTTCCCCTGATGTTCTTCCTTGTAGGCCTCCAGGTCCATGAGTGATGAAGCGATTCGTACTGTATATGTTTTCTAATATATATAAGCCGCGGTTAGGGCTTTTGTATGCAATTGATATGAGCCCCAAACACAGAACGGGAATACAGAACGGGAACCAAGTAAAACAAGATACAGAACTGATACTAGACAAGAAGCACGACCGAGAAGTATCTTTATAATCTGTTTCTGAATCGATTTACAGGTAGCGAGACAATTTAAAATGGTGTTTGGAGAAAGCAGAAACTGGGGAAGAACACGGAGTACTGATTATAATATACTATCATTGCGCTGTGTTCCAGCAGTGAATGATACAGTTGAAAAAGCCTATGTATGAAAAGATTGACGAGACACCCCCTTCGCATTTATTCTGAACTTCATCCTATACTATTACGAGGCACTCGGGCGCTCCCCCTGTTCCCTAACATGCAAGTCAAACAAGACGCTAAATGCAAAGAAAAGTAGAACATACTTGGAAAAAGAAGTCGAAATGATCATAATGATATATAGTGTATAGTGAGTGGGTGGTATCTCTAGACAGTAATAACCCGTGTTTAGGTATGAAAAAGCAGACACTGTTCGCCAATACCCCTTCCAGGCTGATGATGTATATGTAATAGCGCTTGTGAGAAGGCTGAAGAAGAGATCTGAAATCAAAACAACCAAGCAGTATGTGTGGAAACAATCCTGATCAAGTACAAAATATTCCTAAGTATATGCACCTCCATTCCAAAATAGGAAAAATGTTCCAAAAGTCCATCATTATTCTTCAAACAAAAAAGGAAAGGAAAACATGAAAAGAAAGGAGGAAGAAGGATAGGTGAGGAGGATATTAAAAATTATATATTATGTGTGTTAGCGTGATAAACGTGATGATGTCAACGCTCAAAAATCGTTTGGTGTCTGATTCGAGAAAGTGTAGTTCTTGGGTATCTGGGGCGCCAATTGCTGCGCAACATTTCGATGCGCTTCTTGCTGCTTCGGAAATTCGTGGATGTGGAATTCGGTCATGCCGTTGGGATCATGTTCTTCACTAACTGTCATCATGCTGGCGGGAGGKGTCGCGGATGCCTTTGTCGACCCATAGAGAGAAGAACCGTCATCTCCACTCAAGGTCCACTTTGACTCTTGTTGTTCGTCATCTTGCTCATAAATGTAAATAGGAGGCTGCTGTCGCTGGGATTGAAGACTCGGTGGAAACAAAGACGTATCAGGGGTCGAGACAGCCCAACTCACGCCGGTCAATGGCTCGCTAGTAATCGGCGAGTAGTCCGTGAACGACGCATACTGAGGAGGCGCTGACAAGGGGGGTGCCATGTTCTGATACTGCATTGCTGAAAACACATCCAAGGACAGCGGTGTCTCGGGTGGTGATGCAACGTTTATCTGCATGGACTGGGTGACTGGGAAGAGGCTTTGTGTGTCTACCAGGTGCTGAGATGAGAAACTCATTTGAGCGTCGCTTGTTGTTGTCGGTAGCATGTGTTGGAAATCCTCTGGAGTTAGTGGAGTTGGAGGCGCCAAGTTACCCACAGATGCAGATGTGTGCAGTCTTTGCTTTTGTCTAGACTCCGAAGCAGCATTTGCTGCAGCACCAGCCTCTGCAAAAGAATAAGCCAGGGGCGAACGCTGATTAGCCGACAGCTTCCGGACACCCGCATACCGCGAGCCCAAAGTATGAGAAGACTTAGCATGTCGAATGGTATGCGAAGCCCCGAAGCTTGCCATTCTTGCATTTGGTGAGACCATAGAGGGATTCGTCGATAGTCGATGATGAGCAGTACCAATAGCGGCGGGCCGGGGCCTCTTTCGACGAGCTGCGATGTCTAGCTCTTTCTCAGGTCGCCGCCACATGGAGGACTCCATGCTGTCAGACAAAGCTGCAGTATTGATGCCGATTCCGCTTATAGTGTCAACAAGATCTTCTGAAGACGAGGGGCGCCTCGAAGAAGAGGCCGAAGATGGTTGGAGTGCAGAAAATGACATGGACCCATACATAGGATCCGAGGAGTGTATATCTGCCCTTCCTTGAAACTGAGGGTTCCACATCGGTTGTGAGCGTGTAGTCATACTACCAAAGCCATGCGACGCAGATACATCCGGGTTGGGTGAGTCGTCCATATGTGCAACTTCAGAAGCGAATGGAACGCTATTAAGGCTGCCATATTCATAGCCCTCCTCTGGACTCTGTGATGGTGTCCAAGCAATCGATGAATCTCGGCTACTGCCCCACTCCGAAAACGTCGAGTTCATGGAGGTCTGAGGAGTATTGTTCGTGCTGGGGACGGGTATGTTTGTTTGCCGTACATCGAAAGCTCTGTCTGTCGGCCCAGCAGAAATAGAGTCATCAGGGGGACCACTGTACTGGTCACGAGCGGCGACTGCAGCACTTATTGCCCGTTGCAAAGAAGCATAAGTCTTTTCTTGGGCAATATCACTACCTGTTTTGTGATGTTTTGGCTCTGATAGCGATGAGCTATCTGAAGTCTGAGGTCGATCTTTGGTACAACTGGATGCTTGTGTTGGGGTTGGAGATTTGGTGGGACTGTTGCTGCTTTCATCCTTGTGCATGGGGCTTTCCGGCAGTCCATGAGCTAGTTCTTCGTCTTTGATAGATTTGGCTTCCTCCTTCTCTTTGGCCTCTCGCTGCATGCGCTCGAATTCTTCTTGACGTTTCTGTTGTTTAGCTTTGGCGCGTCGATTTTGGAACCAGTTCTATAAGAACAAGACTGTTAGCATTATTCTCAACCGAACGTTGATTCTCAAATCGATTAATAGTAGACTAACCGCAACGCGAGGCAGACTGAGGTTAGTCTGGACAGCCAATTCGCGCTTCTTGTTGCTGTTCGGTTTGGGATGAGCCTGAAATTGAGCCTCGAGCGTATCGACTTGTTCCTTGGTCAACCTTGGGCGGGAGAGGTTTTCGGCATATTCCTCGTAGTCTTCCATCACTGGCATGTGTGTGTAATATTCGGCCAATTCGTACGTCGGCCGAGTTATCAGATAATTGTCCATGCTGTTGGCCATTCCCGGATGACCAAGGTTCGACTGATCCATGTGAATCCCAGCATGGCCGTAAGTGTACGCAGGGTGGTGGAGGTAGTTCATAATGGATTGAGCTGTCCTTGGCCGCTTCGACGGAACCAAGTATAGCGAGTTGAAATGTATATGAACCACGAGCAATTCTTCACGTATATATGTGCAGGCTGCACAGCGAGCAGCTTCCACAGCGAGTTTCTTATTGCATGAGCCTTCAAGGAAGAAACCGTTGCGGATGTCAAATGCAAGTATCAATCGCTATCAAGATAGAGCGCAAGTGGTGGGAATGGATATGTGAAATGAGCCGAAATGTGCAGAACGAGTAGGAAATATAGAATGAGGTCGGCAATATAATTATCAAGAAGCGTAGTATTACGGGATATTAGTTGGATATCCTAAAACCGAGACAAGAGTGATCGAAGAAAAAGAAATAAGGAGTGACTCAAGTGTGGGAAAGTCGACAGATAATTGGGCACCAAACAGAAAAAGAAAAGAGAGTGGAAAAGACAATACTCAGACAGTAATGATCGACTGGTTGGAGGAGAGAGAGTAAAAGATAGAGGACAGGTGAATGAAAGAAGGTGAATGAATGAATGAGGAGAGTCAGAGTGCGAGGGAAATAGAGAGGGAAGTCGAATGGAGATTGAATGAAGATTCGGCGGATGAGCAAGCGGAAGGCGGCAAGTGTGGAGGAGCACAAGAGGAAGGAGCGACCAGTGACGGTGCAAGAGGAAAGTGCTCAGGGACTAAAAGCGAGTCTAAGCTTTAGCATGTATTTCATTACATACATACTGACCAAGTACTGTGGCACAGTCGTAATTTACAATACACCGCTGTCTCTCGGGTATCACCAGGGTGAATGCAGGAGAGTACTGGATATTAGAGTCGCATATACGTACATACGCACTCAACGCTCTTAGCGATCTCTCGGTGTGTGCTGACTGCTGGCAGGACGGAGAACATCTCCTAACCAGCGTGGGGAACATTGTTTTTGAAGACGCTACGGAATCACGGATGATCAGATCTCAGAACCTCATTGGCGTGCTCGGTCTCCAGGTACCCGGTACTAGGAAAGACTAACTGACTTCGTGCTAGTCCCTAGTAAATGGTACTAAGCAGTAAGCAGTAAGTACGTCGTAAAGACTAGCCATGGCATGCACTCCGTGGTTAGGGTGACCACTGACTTGTCCTAGTGTCCTCCCCAGTGCCCACAGTCTGTTGTACGTGATCGAATGTTGAGTCAAGATTCAAGAATTGAAGATTCACTCAGCCCTTTGCACTTTGGTGGGCCGGCTTTTAGACTCCGGACTCCACTTGAGCCAAAGGGCAGCCTTCAACAACTGTTACGGGACAAGATCAAGTAATCATACTCTTGGCTTCAAGTCTACAGAGACGCAGTATGAAGGCCATATGGAGTGGTCCGTAAGGTCAAAAGAAAAGAGAGATAACGACACAAAGAAAAAGGAGCCAGTCACGATCCGAAAATCGTAAATTTACGGCTTTATGCTGTATTTGAAATACACGGAGCTAAGCGCACGGATCAAGGGGTTAAACTTTTCGAGTTAGATCAGTGCTCAAATCTCAAATCACAGGGAAGGGACTTCTACCTGTTGATTCAGATGGTTTATGCAAAATACATACATACGGAGATATAACTATATTTCGCCTTTTAATCTTCAACAACATATGACACAAATCTGATTGAGAACACGAACTAAATGGAGAAACTTACGGAGAGCTAGAGAAAAAGGGAAGGATCAAACTGACACGAGTCGAGGCTGCTTTCGTGGCCAAACACACATTTATCCTTAACCCCCTCTCCTCCCTTCCTGCAGCTTTCCTGCAGGACATCTGCCGGTTTCAAGCAAGAAGGGCTAAGGGTTGGTCGAAATAGATCTGTTCGTTTTGTACGTATACTTTCAGGCTAAGTTGACGAATTCTACCAATGGCGAAGGAGATTAAATCAAAACCGCAAAATAAAGTTCCAACTGTTGCGAGCGTCCGATTCGAGGTGCATATTTCCCAATTCGGTAATCACAGATAATGGGACCTGGGTTTTGGTAGTTGCCACTTCAATGCTCATAGATTTTCGACAGCTGCCCACGGTCTTCGTAGCAGGTGGACAGTAGGTTGCACAAAATCCATCAGTCACAAATTTCGACGAAATATTTTTGGTCTCTTTCTCCGGGAATTCTTCAACTTACTCAGTAGTACGAACGAGAGTGATATTCAAAACAGAGAAAATTACGTGTAATAAAACCGAGGCTTACCCCTAATCCCAAATTGTATTCCAAAGTTTGTGGCTCAGTCGTCTAATCTAAATTGGGAAGATGTGAGGCTGATGGCCCTGATTGGCCTAAAATGACTCTGCTAAATGGTTCCTGCATTAGCTCAGATCCACTTCCAGACCAGACAGCCAGTCAGAGGCTGTCTGTCAGGGTTGGTGTGCATGTGCATGTGCATGTGTATCCATAGACTTGACGTCGTATGATCGTACCTTACTCTGTACTCTGACATGTACTCCGTAATCCGTGTAAATCTCATAATTATCTGATCGAGTAACAGCAGATCATAGTCAGAACGCCAGTAAACACCGGTAGATTCCATCTCTTCTCCCTGTTTGAATCATGTGGTGAAAATATTGGAAAGGGCACGCTGCTGTGCAACCGTGACCACCCAAAAGTCGCAATTGACCCCGCCCAATCAGCAGCTCCTGATTGTGCCCTTTTTTTTGAGTGCAGTCCAGGTAGAAATGCGCGACCAACGAAATTTACACGTCTACTCCGTGAGTCTGTACCAGTAMCCCGGATATMCTCCGCAAGCCACCAACTTAAACAGCACTAAGATACGTCGGTCTTCCGTACGTGACGAAGCTAAATATCAATAGTCTATCAGATCAGTGTCGATCAACGGCAGAAGCAAAAATTACCTTACCATCGCCGATTACAGTGACAGTCGGCGATACGGAGGAGATATGGAATATTCGATTACGATACGATCATGGGACAGAAGATCTCCCGAGCCAGTCACTTCTTCTTGGCTGGTAGTTACGTAGTTGCCAACAGTTAGTTCCGTATGTAATCTATTTTATTCTCCAACCTCGACCTTCCCAAAGATGAGCCCGATCACGCCTAAATTAACTCAAAAATCAACACCCCCCAATTATGTACATCGAAAGCACTGACGTGAACTTACCCGATAAGGCTATTACTGTCATTTTGCTTTCTTTTTTTTACATTTTAGCTTCAAGGCTGTTGGACCATCAACTGACAACGTCCTCCACAGAAAAGAAGGCTAAATGTCATCTGTTCTTAATATCAACTAATTACGCACTAGAATACCCGTGTTGAACGCTAACTAATGATTTGTCATTGTCTCATGGCATGGGCACTAGGTTAGGTACCTCCGCCCTTGTCAGAGTAGATCTTAGAACTGGTGATCGGTAGATCCTCCAGGTTTTCGTGTGGCTTGCGTTGGGTACGTTCGAAGCTTGCCTAATGTCTTGACACAGTACTGCCTATAATGGTAAGGTTATGACTCGTATTCGGGTACATGACCACTGATAAGATGTGGAAAGGGCAGGGTTTAGGGGATGAGAAAACAGAGGTACCACGCATGTGTGGCTGTTACAGGTAATTACGATACTCAATACGTGCCACTTAAGGCAGAGCTCGTTCGTCACGCTCGAATGTAATGACAGGCCGCCAAGTCGAAATGAGCTGGCTCATTACGTATCAAGAGTCAAGGCCCAAGACTAGAGCCGCCTTGCAAAGATCGCCCCCTCCTGTCAAAAGGGGAAAAGCAAAGAAAGAAAAGCTCGAGCCAATCCTCCCCGATTTTGGGATTCCTGGACCCGGCGCTCAACTCTGCATCGTGATTGATCAGTTGGCCATTTGCCTCAGGCATCGTGCTTGCACATCACTCAAGTCACTGCATGCATTGCAAATCATGTCACTACAAGTCTGCGATTAGTGCGATGGAATAGTAGTCACTGGTCAGCGGTCACTGTAGGTCCGCCAAAGGAAAAAGCAAAATATAGAAAGGAAGAATCAGGCTCATAATGGATGAGTCGATGACACTATCCCATCGCAGATCCTGATCAGTGATCACCGTGATCGTAGACTGCGCAAAAGTAAAGAAAGATACCACTCCACTCCCGACGTTGAGGTGTAGATCTATCTCATCACGACAACGTATCGATCGATACAACCAACCTTTGAGAACATTTATTCTTAATCTTCGTAAACCCAAGACACTGGATTGGCACGCAAACCTTAATCAGAGAGTAGCATCCAGAATAGGCACAGATCGTATTCGGCATCTACTACTCCGTACCAGAAGAGCAATGGCAGGTCGACGTCGGGAAACTCACGGAATACGCCGTACTTAAACCCGAGCGGCAGGTTTAGGCTTGGAGATCACCCGTCTCTCTGTCCAGTCATCTACTGGTAACTATCAATCACGCCTACCTAAGTCCAAAGCATGGACCAGCTGTCAAGACGTATCGGTGATAGGTACGTTCGAGTCTACATCGTCAAATTGCCGCCGAATCTAAGCACCAGCGGTTGCCTCGCCATTTTCAACATATCTCGCTCCGTACGAGCACTCTGTAATCCGCATACATCCCTTGCTGTCTTTCGCCACTACGATACGTACCCAGATCCACCCCGAGACCGCAAGCCACAGCCTGGTGACCAGCCGTGTGAACCCAGTCTGTTTTACGTTTCCTGAGTAGGAACAGAGCACTCCGTGCCTTGATAGACAGCGTACGCAAAAGATGATACGCTTTGCGTACTGCATCTTCCTGCATCTAGGTGGGACGTAGGCAAGCTCGGTGATTCGGTCACCCCTTTGCTTGATTTTCGGTTCCTACTTCCTGCTCCTTTCTCCTGAGCTTCATTGAACGAACTTGGACAGCCAAGCAAGCAAACGTGAAAGTAGGCCCCGTGCATCCTTGCAGGAGTCAGGCACAAACAAGTTGCACACAGTCGAGCCAAGCTATCTCTGCAGATAGTCGAAATTGCCATTGGCCAATGAATCAAGGACTCCTGATGATATCAGTCATAAAGCGGTGCGATTCTGGTGGTGGGTTAAGTCCATCGATGCGAACCCCCCTTATGGTTTTCTCTCCGACATGAACTCCTGACTCCACATTTTCCTCATCGGAATCAGTCATAGCCCGTAGGTAATCTGGATCTACACACAGATCGAAAGTTGATTCCTGCGTGCCAAGCTTGACGATTGCCGAAATAGTAGCTGTCCCTTGTTTGGGTAGTCTATCCTGTTGGCATGTCTCTTTTGGGGGTCTCGTGGCGAGTTGATGTCATGTCAAGATACGCATCCTTTGCCACAGCTGCACGTCAAATTTGACCATCACGCAGTCATTGCTATCGATCAGCGTTCGTACTTCGACATGAATCTAAACGAAAAAAAGTGCAGTGGAAGATCCAGGCCAATTGTGTGTTGCACCGGGGCGGTGAACAATTTCCGAAGGCCTGGCGGTCGCAAGCAGTTGTCAAACATTAGGTCATCCTCTCGTATCACCTCCCTGATCTGTTGCTTTGGTCTAGAGAAGACCAAACTCCACATATGCATCGTGCTGTTACATGTGAGGTGCCAAACGGAACAAAGGATGCGGCGTACCCGTTGCATCCTTATTCTTTGTTCCCCGAGTCAAGCAAAGGCGGTCTTTGAGACTTGGTTGTCGACGATTCATGTAGAAAAGTAAACCGCAGAGTAAGCAGAATCATGAAGTGATACTCTAGTCACCGAGAGAGGTGCAATACTTACCACATTACATCACATCACGTGTTGGACTGGCAGAGAATCATCACACATTTTTCCTCTGTAACCTCTGCACGTTTGCTATTTGTTTGTTGGGAATAAGACGTGTCGAGCGCATAGCTTATATATACATGTGATATGAATGATATCAACATGTACGTACTAGACAATAAGTGAAATGTCAAAGCAACAGTTGATCGTGACGGATGCCCAATGGATCGGTTGCGCACGATGTAAGGTCGTATATCTTGATTCATATTTATCCATGTATGTACCATTGTCTAATCTATTAGGGGATGATATGTCAATGTCAAAGCACATCACATGTCGGCCTTTTATATTGCATGAGCGGCCAGTCTATTATTTTCTCCTCGCATCCCCTCACGATCAGGACTGCAGCGTATCTTTGATCTCAACCTCGACTTTGCTCCCCTGACTCCACGACTTGAGCTGCACACTTCTCAAATCCTTCACAATCCAATCCGCACCCGCATCCTTTAGCTGCTGGACAGTATGTGTCGTCTCAAGAGCAAGGACCTTGAACCCAGCTGCCTTACCAGCCTTGATACCAGATGGCGCGTCCTCAACCACCAACATATTGGTCGATTCCTGGGGAAAACCCACGTCATTGCTGAGCTTTGATCGCCCGAGCTGGTAGCATTGCGGGTCGGGTTTGCCTTGTTGCACATCCTCGGCAACTACGAGATATTTGGGATGTGCGAGCTGGAGGACTTCGAGCCAGCCGGTCACTAGTGCTCGAGTACCGGAAGTGACGACTGCCCAGGGAGCATTGGCATCGACGAGCTGTTTGAGGAGAGCTCGTGCTCCAGGTATTTCGGTGGCATCTTGCCCGTACTTTCGGGGCAGAGCGCCTTCAATTGCGCTGACGTCTTTTCTTACTGTCAGAATAGATGCTGATGGGCCACGCCGGGAATTGACTTACACTCCCAGTTGGCTTTGCTCTCATCGTATAGAGCCAGAGTATCAATACTTCTCCTTCCGTGGGAAGTAGCAAGGATGGCCTCCGGGTCTACACCCAACTCCCTTCCTAATCTATATATCAAAGGGATGAGAAGGAATTCTGTTTGAAACATATATCTTATATACAATTTCGTGTATATGTAAGGGTGTTATACTGACTCATGCCAATGCTTGACGATAGCTACTCACATCCAACAAATGACATGAATCGTTAGCTAAGATATCCCAAGATTCTCAGGGAGAGTAATAGTTCTTCTTAAATTTACATACCAGCCGTAGAATCAATGATCGTGCCATCAAAATCAAACAGGAGGCCATCAAACGACAGCAGCTGTGCAGGGCCCGTATACTCTCCGTGGTATGTAGTAGCCATTGTGCAGAATCAAATGAATCTCTAATAATTGTAGCCACTAGATATCAATCAAGAGGGACAAATTGCCCCTCGTCCTTTTTATCGGATATCGGCGATAGGATGTTCCTTATCTTAGCGTGGGTGAAATCTTGGCGCTCCACAATTGGATAATTTGGGCGATTTGACCCAAGAAAAAAAAATATCACGGTCAGTGATAAGAGAGTGTTGATTCTTCACCTTATTCACCACCTCATACCAGTTCTATATTCAAGATGGTGAAGTTAGGTATGTTACGATATTCAGCTGTATATGTGTGAGTTCAGTCGAATTGATCTTTCGCAGGAAAAAAGTCCAAGCGGACGCCCGTCCGGCTGCGACACAAGATTGAAAAGGCCGGCGCAGCAAAGCAGAGAAAAGCAAGGAAGCAAGCTAAGAAGGTATATACATGAAGCCCGAAAAAATAGTATCATTGAGACTATGTACTAATTGGAGCTCAATCAGGACCCGACATGGCGCTCAAAGATCAAGAAAGACCCCGGCATCCCCAACCTATTCCCATTCAAAGACAAGATCCTTGCAGAGATCGAAGAAAAGAAGCGGCAAAAACAAGAGGAACAGCTCCGTATCCGTGAAGAAGCTCGCGAACGTCGCAAAGCCGAGAAGAAGGCTGCCGGCATCGAGACTGCTGATGACGAGGATGAGGACGATGAGATCATCGACGATATTGATATTGAGGATGATGACGAGGACGTCGATGGCATGGACGAAGATGGCGATGGCTCGAACCCCATGGCTGCTTTGCTTGCATCTGCACGAGCAAGAGCTGCTGAATACGAAGAAAATGGCGACGAGATGAGTGAAGACTACGATGACGACGAAGACGAGGATCGCATGGATGAAGATGCTGAGCAGGGAGGCGTCTCTTTGCAGTCTGGTGATATCCCCACAATCGCATCCCAAGTTGCATCCAAAGAAAGCTCGCGACGCGCATTCGACAAGGTCTTTAAGCAGGTGGCGCAAGCAGCAGATGTTATTCTCTACGTTCTCGATGCGCGAGACCCCGAAGGTACACGATCCAAAGACGTCGAGCGCGAAATCATGGCAGCAGAGGGCGGCTCAAAACGATTGATCCTCATCCTCAACAAGATCGACCTCGTGCCTCCTGCCGTGCTCAAAGGATGGCTGATTCATCTCCGACGATATTTCCCGACTCTCCCCCTCAAGGCCTCCAACGGTGCACCCAACGTTCACAGCTTCGACCACAAACAGTTGACCGTAAAAGGCACATCCGAGACACTTTTCAAAGCACTCAAGTCATATTCTCAAACCTCGCAACTGAAGCGAGCCATCTCCGTCGGTGTCATCGGATACCCCAACGTTGGAAAATCGTCCGTCATCAACGCGCTTACAGCCCGTCTCAACCGCGGACGCAGCAATGCCTGCCCTACGGGCGCCGAAGCAGGTGTGACCACGAGTCTGCGCGAAGTCAAGCTGGACAGCAAATTGAAACTTATCGATTCCCCTGGTATCGTCTTCCCGAATAGCAGCAAAGCATCCTCCAAGAAGAAGAAAGAAAACGACGAAGCTCGTTTGGTGTTATTGAATGCCGTTCCTCCCAAACAAATCACTGMCCCCAYCCCCGCCGTTAATCTTCTTCTCAAACGCCTTCAAACTACCAATGAAACCTTGTTTCAGAAAATGCTCGGTTTGTATGGAATCAATTCGTTGTTCCCGATGAATGGCGGAGATACGACGACCGATTTCTTGATCCAGGTAGCTCGCAACCGCGGCCGATTGGGTAAGGGAGGTGTTCCCAATATAGCGAGTGCGGCGATGGCTGTCATCACTGATTGGCGCGATGGCAGAATCCAGGGCTGGCTTGAGCCGCCTGTTTTGGCTGTTGCGGGTGTCAATACTGCTGCTGCTGCTTCTTCTGATGCAGCAAACGCAGCAGACAATGGTCCTGCCGCGGATGTGAAAGAGATCGTCACAGAATGGGCTAAGGAGTTCAACATTGAAGGCTTATGGGGCAATGGCGAGAGCGAAGAGTGATCGAAGTAGTTTCCAATATCTTCATGGGTAATTTGATGATGGGAAAATATCGGCGTATTGGTGTTTGATATCATTTCATTTTACATGTCAAAAGAATATACTCGTCGTTCTGGGCCAGATAAATAGATCCAAAAGCTTTGCCCTTTGCACCCAATGCTATATCAGTAAACAGACGTAATCTAAACCGAGCTTGAAACTAAAATGAGCCCCAAAACGTAATCCATTAACCGAATCCCCGGAGTTGTGCTGCCGGGCCGTTGTCATCATCATCACTACCACTATCATCATAATCCGCCTGCATCTTCCCATCCAAATCTTCAACGCGATCAAGATCCTCTACTTCTTGTGTGTCATTGTCCTCATCTTCCTCCTCGACCTCTTCATCGTCGTCCTCTTCTTCAGGTTCAGGTTCAGGTTCAGCTTCTTCTTCCTCTTCAGTCTCATCTTCATCCACCTCCGTCTCATCTGGCGAATGCTTTTCATTGCCAGCACTATCCCGTTTGATACGCTTATTGCCCTTGATCACTGACGACGTCGATGTCCCTGCCGCCGTGGCATCCTTCTCTTCACCCGCCGCCGCAGGTACGACACCACCCGCTTCACCTCCATCTTTGGCCTCCGCCTGCGTGTCCGAAGTAGTAGCGGCTTTCCTATCTTTCTGCGCTTTCTTCTTATCCGCCAACGCCTCTGTATGCGCGTCCAATTCGCGCTCGAGCTGGGGGCGAAGAGAGTCGAATTCGAGTTCTGAGAGGGCATTCAAGACGTCTGAGGGCGCAAGGGTACGTTTGAGGGTGGCTTCGTTTGCGCTATCACACTTCGATTAGTCGACTTGTTTCTTCGCTTTTTTGGTATGATGTCCAGAGCAAGATGATAACACTTACTGGGAAGATAAATACGAAATAAACACCGTAGCAGCCTTCTGAATAGCCAGTAACGCATCCTTTTGAATCGCTGTGTCGGGTGGTAGGACGCTTTTAGCGAGCCGCTGTGTTACTGCTCGTGGTAAGAGCAGGTCCTGTTCGATTTTCGTCAGTATATCACGCAACTTGGCTTGTAGGAAGAAGGAATAATACCTCCACGCTAATACCATCCGATTGAGATTTGGCTTGTTGTTCTGTTACCTGTGCACTTGCTGCTGCGGCACTTGTAGGACTGCCGGGGTCTTCATTGTCCGTTGCTGGCATTGAAGATGTCGATTTTCGTGGTGGCATGGTTGCCAACGCGCGTTTTCGTTGTGCTCGAGATGGATGTCTTTCAGGATGTATAGCCAAAGAAGTAAGACGATGACTATAATTATGGTATTATATACAAGAGCGCCAAAGTAAGAGAGTATATCTGTCTTATCTCAGTTCGGAAGAAGTCAATTCAAGAGTGAAAGTGGTGTCGATAGCAAAGTAAGTTTGACGCGGCAGTGGGCGCGGCGGATAATTGTTCTGGATGAATGGATAATGTTGCGGGCATCGGTAAGACACATACTTACCCTCTGGACAAGTACAAAATTGAATAGTATAATTAGGGTGTCAGAATAAAGCGATACGAACGTCACGTCAATCCATCTTATACAGAGTAAACTGTTCATAAGTAACGCGCGACAATCACTTGATTGACGCCTCAGGCATCAACCATCGTTCTACTAGTACATGCGGCGCTCAATGGTGTCAAGAAACAGGCATGAGAGAAAAAAAATTTATGATAGAAAAAATGAATTGCAAATGTAGACGATAGCAGATATTAGATAGGTATCGTAGAAATATGTCTCTCAAGGTCAACCCCAACCATAAAACGCCAGTGTGCCCTTCAGCAGATATGCAGACCCGTATGAGTCTTCCTTCACGAAAGACGCCTTGAATGACCCAGATAGTTCTAAAAACCAATTGTAGTCCCTGATGTCGTATGTACATCGACCACTAATAACGCCGCCGTATGCGATTGCAGGATAATTCTATTCAGGTATCACCAAACTATGATGTTGAATAGGACATGTATAACTGATGATAAATGTCGAAACTAAAGTGGAAGGAAAAGCACGATAGCGAATTTCAACTGATGAGAGCCTCCATATCTTTCGGTATACTCTCAGGAGATATGGTCTCTTGACCTTTCGGATCGACTAGACCCGGAAAAAGTATGGAGTTCGCGGGCAACGGCTTCATGGCCTTTCCACCCTTTCCGACCTTGCTGCCCTTGTTGCCTTTAGTGACCATAGAATAATTGGTAATCTTCGCTGATTGCTCTTTGGTAGGGCCCTTCTTCTTGGGCGCACTTGCTACAAGTTTCTTGGGTACCTGTTGTTTGGGTGCCGGTTTCTTCTTGTTATTAGACTTGCTGGCAATTAAAGCTTCCATAACAGTCCTTCCTCTGCTTGCAGGATTGGCGAGGGGTTGTTTCGAATTCTTGTGTGGAAGCTCGTCACCACTTTCGTCATTGTTCGAAACCGGTGTAAGCACGCCAGCATCCGTTTTTCGGACCTTTTTCGGTGTATTAACGACAACAGAGACAGATTGCTCCCTCTTGACCCGTTCGACGTCCAAGTCATTGCACTCGTCAAAGATCTGAGGAGTGTTATCATTCCATTGCTTTAGTCCGGCCAATCGTGCGACTTCCTCGCAATTTCCTTTTACAACCAAATCCCAACAGTCTTCAAACTCCTTTCCGACCGGGGGCTCGTTGTTGATCCACATAGCGATGCCTTTGGGCTTGGCACGGACAACCTTGCACAAGCTCTTGACAAGACGTCGCACGCCGGGTATCTTCAAACTGGTTCCGACAACAATCACGGTATCTGGGCGAGATCGAATATCCGAGTTCATCACAGCAGCGATCGCTTCTTCGTCGGGGTTGTGTTCATTGTACAGTACAATGCGCGGACGCATCTTGCCTACACCGTGACTGCGCTGGCCTGTGGTCGTGCGCAATTCATCTGTTTCGGTACAGGCGGGRCAAGCAGGAGCTTCAGGACCGTCAAACAAGTCTCTATCGAATTGGGCGAGATGGCGACATTTCTGGCAGACCATCTTATCGAGGCTTCCATGAAGCTGGATGCAAGTCGGCCAGGGAGCCTTCGGAGGCAGAGGAACCTGGGTGATCAAGGGTTGTAATGAAGTCTCAATACAGTCGATATTTTGAGTATAAAGACGCGCCAAGCGGTTGTCCTGAGCCATTCTGGCTAGCATGTGGTGAAAGGCTGTGGGTTTTGTGTCGGCAGCTTCCTGTGAGAGGGTTCGCACCATCTCATGGAAGGAGGCAGTGAGTGAATCATCACGGTAGACAGCGGCATCGAATAGCAGCTTGCCGGATGCTTTTAGGTTGTGTTTCTTCTGAACGGACTTGAAGAGACCATCTGCGGAGCGGAAGTCGGGGACTATACAGCATTAGAGGCAAGCCACTAATGCGGTAAATCAAAAGAATAAAATAAGAGAAAAACTTACTGCCAGCAGACGTTGAAATACCAGCACCAGCAATAACAACAATCTTGCGGTGCTCTCGTAGGGTTTTGGTAAGCAGCTTGATCTGAGGCAACTGGTCGGCATAGGGAAGCCTTTCCGGATTGGTCAAGTCCAGATGTTGCGTCGACCGCGGCGGTGGGCCCACGCGCCTTTTTTTCTTGGCGGGCTCGTCTTGGCTCGACGTAGCTCGGGCGCGTTCCTCCTGGTCGTCCTGCGTTGGCGGTGGTGTGGGATAGCACTCTGGTGGCGGCTGCGGAGAGTCGGGAGGCGAGCTCAAATCAGAAATACTGGAAGAGTCCGACATGTAGCTATAATCGGATGGCTCGTGGTCCATAGCCATGGGGAGAGTGGGAAGGCTGGAGGTGTTGGCCATGGTCGTCATCCAGAGAGGAAGAGGGAGAGGGGAGGCAGTAAAGACACTTCGCTCCTTTTTCCTCCTGTTGCAGGCGAGAAAACTCGTAGACGTGTGGAATATGTTGAAATTTTAGAGCAGCATTGGGTACAGAATAGATGACGCAAGAGTAATCCAGCGTGTTGTCGCACGAAAAAGCAGCAATTGACGTCGTGGGAGAAGAAGAGGAAAGAAAATCGAAAAGGACGGGTGGGCAGGAGAAGAGTTGAAGAGCGACAACAAGGGAAGGAGCGAGCGTCAAGATAAAGATGGCCCGTTTGTCGTTCCCGGGGGCGGCTGCAAGAACTGCGAAACTGTTAGTGTGCGACTGTGGGTGGTTCGGATGGGCGATGATCTAATAGAAATCTCTGAAATTCTTGGGGACATTTGTTTATTTTGACCCGCCGGGACTAGCAGGCAAGAAGACAGAAGACGCAGACAGCAGACAGGCAGAGACACAGTCAAGGACGGATGGAACGTCGCTCTGTCCCAAAACGCTTAGGCCAGGAATTCTACAGATGCAAGACATACTACGTAACTGGAGCCGCGATATTACGTGTTCCGAGGAGAGCGCCGTCGTACCCTGATCATATGCGGTGTCAATATATAAGACCAGTACTGAGTCGATATACGTAGTTGACAGTCAAGATGAACAGCACTGAAGCTCGCTGGAATGCATCGCAGCCAATCGTCAGCAGAATTTTCCCGCGGTTTGGACGATGCTGTGTGGTCCGTTGCAGGCGCGGTTCCTTCACCGTGCAGCACTAGCGGTAACCATGATACGTCCTCATGGACATCCAGAGACGAATAGTCATTACTACGTAGTCTATGTAGTCTCTGTGGGCACGTATCTGAGATCTGCACGAATTTATACTACGTAGTTTGAGTGTTACATGAGACAATCATCGGAAATTAGCTTTTTATGCCCTCTCAGAGAAAATGGCACACAAAGACCTAGTTTTGGTATTGATCGTGTATTGGCGGCGTATCATTGTATTGTGCCGTCGGTTGGCGGGGATACGGCCTGATCTTGGCATCTCAAAGTCACGTGCTACCCCATCCGCATGTAGCCCCGTGGCCCAGATGGGAATAGCGCTGGGGAGCCTCAAACAATCCCGTCTGCCGACGATGAGCTCTTTCTTTACTGGGGGGCATCTGGGCTGGCTCCTTTCGTTCCTGACTGATTACTTACATACATCCACCCATCCACGTGAAATCTGTTTATTCGACCATTTGGACTTGCGTACGAGTCTTCTTTAGAACATCTTGACACGAGCCGGTAAACACTCCCGTGCTTTGTGTTTCGAATTCGGGATATCAGCCCGAGCGCTCTTTTGCTGACTCAACATTGGAGCTTCGGGATAAGTTAACTTAACTACAACAAAGTCAAAGAGACTTGCTAGCCCCGGAAAGCCTGACTTCTTTGTTCGCATGTCATAGGATCAGACAAATGTTCATCCCACATTCGCGGCCCTTGGAAGTTGTGGGCATGCGAATTTCGCTTGAATATATAGCTACCCTGATTGTATCCATTTGATACTAGAGTCTTGTCTTGGCTCTTGCCCGATACACTGTCATGCCTTTGATCATGGAAGAGGGGCTAGATGTGGACGATCTCTTCGGAGACCCCAATACCCTGGACCTGGGACTGTCAGCCGCCCAACCTACAAAGGGATTGGCTCAGCGTCTTGATGAGATGCGTCTGTTGGGATGCTGCCGGTGAGTTGGAACAATCAAATTTGGAGATATTGTGATTGATCAATTACTGATGGTAAATAGGAAAATCGCTTGGTCAAGGTTGGGATGTATTGCATACATCTCCCAGGATGGCCTTCAAGTGATCGTCCGCCATCTCGCATGTAATCCTATCGATGGGAAATGGGCATTGACTGAAGAGTACTCGCAAAGTCAGATTCCTCAACTTCACCTTGGTCAACAGCTGCTTCATCTTTGCTGGAACGAGACAGGCTCTGACCTAGCTGTGCTTGATGCCTCGGGACGCATATCAATTTTATCGATATCAGCGGCTTTGAATAGTCTTGGTATTAGCCGCCAAACCGTGGTCGATCCTCCTGACGATGGTTCTCAAGTCGTTGGTATGATGTGGATGAACTCGAATCGCGCCGTGCGTGCCTCACAATATCATGCAACTTTCCTGATCTCTAGCTAACTCAAAGAATAGGTGCATGCTTTTCATCAAGCTGCAAAACTAAATGGAAGATGGAACTATTCACCCTACCGACGTAAGCCCATCGGGCCATTCCATCCGGCTGGCAAGCCGGCGCTTATCTGCTTCACTAGAAATGGAATCATGAGGTTGCTATATCAGAATCCTGACCAGAGATGGGCAGAGGTTTCTGCTGAATTAAAGACGACTAATCAATCCGACCGTATCCTTACCCATGCAGCATGTCTACCTTCACCAAGTATGTAATATAAGAACCCTTGTATCATTACCCTTCATTTTCGACTACATTTCTTCCTTGTTACTAACAAATCGCTACTACAGATGGTATTCTAGTTGCTACTCACTCGCTCTCAGAAAAGCTCAGTCTTTACAGAGTACAAATTATGTGGAATCCATCCAATTGGGATCAGACACAGCAGAGGCAGGCCTCTGGAGTTATGCCCTTCCCGGTGCCTTCTATCCGCATCAGTCACTGCAAGACTGAACTTCCCGGAAGAGTCTTCAGCTTCAATAAAGATCAGTCCGATGATTTGCAGAATCTAGCTCCTAATCAGAGCTTTTTGTACCAGCTCACGAATTTAGATCTCGTTTCAGGGCAATTTGATAACACCGGGGCAACGACATCACCTCCATGGATATTGGCAGTGTACTCGAGCCCGTTTAACAGCGCAGGCCACGATCCTCAACAACAAGAGCCACCTGCGTCGGTCCTGGTGAGGTGGCAGCTGGAGACTTCTACATTAAATCTGCACCCAGTCTTTGAAGAATCATTATCAAAAAAGACCAACGGACAACAGAGGGTAAAGCAGCTCCTTACGCACGTTATGTTGACAATGTTGATACTAACAATAACAGACCAAACTAGAGATTCGGAGGATGGAAGACATTCACTTTGATAAGCACGTAGTCTCCATCGACCAAATCGAGTTCGGATGCGTCCTAGCGATAACACACGATGACAGCTCAGTCTCATTTTTTGACCCTAAAAGCATGTCTCAATTTGCTGAAGGTGGCGATAACAATACAGTGACGAGCCTGGCTCAAGCTGGTTTCCGATTTCCTTCTGATACTCCAGGTCTGTCGACAGCTAGATATTCCTTGATAGGGTTGACTGCTGACGTTGACTAGGCTTGAATATTTGTTTCTCGCCCAATAGCTGTCTTGCGGTGGTTCTTGATGCGGATTGGCAAGCCCAGCTAAGAATAGCTGGCTATAACTTTGAGCCTGACGGTGATCTACATGAAGGTATGCATTCTATCGCAGAGCTCTCATCGATCACGAAGCTAATCGTCCAGGTAAAAACTCAAATGGAATCATAGCGCTAGCCCTTACCTTCTCTCGTGGATGCGCCATTGAATATAACACGGACGACCTGATAATGACAATATCTCGTCATTTATCTACCGGTAAGTACATCATACAGCTGAGATTTCAAGACATACACTAAGCCAGACAGATGCACAAAATGTTTTCGTCAATGAAGTGTATCGAGCTTTACCCATCAATTGCAATTTTTCAATGGAACAGGATAAGCCCATGCAGCATCCATATGTCCCTCGCTGTTTGAGCCTTCAAGCTGCTCTCGGTTTTCAGAACTTTCAGACGCCTCGTGGCCTGCCTTACTCCGTGCCTTGGGCCATCCTTCATCTACGCCATGCATCCTTACTCTTTGCCTTCTTCTTTCAATATAGCAAACAGCCGAAGGAGAATGAGTCATTGGATCATGGTATGTTCATATTGTCTCAACATTGGCCACAGATTTTAATACTTGCTATAGATGTTCTACAAATGGTATACGGTAATACAAAGTGGGCTTTGGATTTCACCCAATATCTCTTAGACGACTTGTTCGCCCTTGCCAGAGAGTTTGAGCCCGTTCTTGATGACCAGGAAGCGCTTGCTCAGAAGGGTGAGTACGAATCTATCTTTTGAGTGAGGTTTACTAACGAAGAAAGTCAAAACGACATCATCATTATCTTTGACTCTTGTGCTGGCAAGTATGTCCCGAGCTTTTCTACATCTGGTTTGTAGGGGTCTACGAGGCGTACACACGAGTAGCATGGCGTCCCCGTTCGCCGGGGATGGCCGTGGATATAGTAAAGAGCTCTACACACTCATTGACAGTGCACCCTTTCGGTTCAATGTATACGAGAAGTTTCTCAGCAGTGTCGAATCCGCCATCAAAAACGCCTACCAAAGAGCAGGATTTGGAGACGACGAGCGCCGAACGCCAGAGAAGGATCTTCTGCTCAACTCGCGCATCCCTGCAGTAATGATCCCCGTTCTTGTCAGTCTGTTCAAACAGATCATTCCCGCAATACAGACGGAGATTGACCAGATGTCTATATATCTCACCGACTATAGTTGGTTGGGATTTTGCAGCGACCGCCGAACTGAGCACTTCCGGCAAACGCGAGCGGTCGATGTTGTGAAAAAGGTTCCATTGCGAGGATTCAATCTGAGCAACAACAACATCGAGCCGAACATGTCATCAGAGATTACGAGCAATGGAAAAAAAGCAGGCTCGTCTTCGCGAAGGCGCTGTGTGCGTTGCTGTGAGACTACGGGCGATCCTTCGTCGCCGCGCTCTATATTATATTTCCAGTTGACATTGCGTTTGCAACTCATTCGGAGTTGTCTTTGCGGTGGAATGTGGACGTTTGAAAATGGACCGCCTACTACAGCTGCGACGCATAAACAAGTTGGTTGATAGACTACCTTAGTATGAACCTGTAAATAATATTAATAGAAAGTCTCCCTGGCTACAATTTTAACCCGTCCTCTACACCGATAATACCACGCATAAGAATGACCAAAAAAAAAAGGCTTGAAGTAGATAATGAAGTTCTCATTTCATTACGATAGGAATGGATAATGTGTGTAAACTTTCATGTCCATTTCTTCTCATTTTTGATTTTTTGGCTCCCGCGCATTCCCTAGAACCAATTATCATAAGAATGATGATATTCCCATTTCCATGCACCCCTTTATCAAAAACGCAAGTACAAACACATCATATTTTCATTTAAGCCTGTTTCACTAGTCAGTATTCTGTACTGTAATTGTCTAATTATAGGTATTTGTGGTAGGCATACCTTAACAGCAAACTTCCTCTGGGGGAAGTGGATGTTCTTCTTGCGCTGCTTCTCTGTGATGAGGGAAGCCTCGTTCTTGCTGAGGCGTCGGCGGATGGCGCGGGTCTGCTTTGATCGGAGGTCGAGGGGGAGGTACTTCTTGCCCTTGTAGAAGAGGCGGAGCTGGGCGCGCTGGTTGGCCTTGATGACGGTCAAGATGCGGGCAATGGACTTGCGGAGGTCGTGGCTGTGAGGAAAATCAGTCAGTATTTCGTCTTTTCTTTCTATCGTCGAGTTTGATGTGTAGGATTGATGATATCGCCCATTCTATCGTCTGTATGCAATTCGATTGATTTCTGTGTCCGCGCTTCGCATGGTGTTTCTTCAAATCGCTTCAAATGACGCATGTTGAATATTCTCATTTCCAATTCTTTGTTAAAAGAAACATCTTCCTTCTCGTTCCAGAGTCGTAGATTTTGTCGATCGCTCGGTGTGCATAACATCGGATAGATGGGCGAATATCATCGAAAAAAAAATGGCGTATTGAATTGATCGAGAAACTTGTGTACAACGTACATCCTGTTGAGCTTGGAAGAAGCACCCTGGGAGATCTTCTGGACACGAAGCTGGCCGAGCTCAGTCTTCAACTCATCGAGCTGCTTGGTGAGGTCGTCCTTGCTCTTTCCCCAGAGCTGAGCAGTCTTAACCTTGGCGCTCGACTATTTTATCGAAAAAAAGACACAAGTCAGTACATATCGCAAATCAATCGACAGAGAAATCTCGCTTCTCGCGAAAAACGCATAAGTCACATACCATTTTGGCTGCTTCGAGTCGTTTGTCGTGAGTTTGTCGAGTTGAAAGATTGAAGATGGCGAGTCGTCAAGCAATTTTGGGTTGATTGTGGGACTAGGGTTTTTCGCGAGTTTGACTGTGCGCCTAGCCTGATTAGGCCCGACTCCCCAGCGGCAGAGATCACGTGAGCGGTCGTCGTGGCTTGTGATCCATCCTTGCCGAATCGGGACTGGCTCTAGACCGCTTCAAGTTTAACTTGTTATGCCGTCTAGACGGATGAGTGTTTGAGATTGGAGTTGATCATGCTAATGCGGCTGCCTCGGAAGACTCGACTGATATCGACGTTACGATTGCCTTTGTTGCATGGTATTTTCACACCGTTGAGTTGACGAATTCAAGACCGATCTCATCTCGAGCACCTTTACGTCAATCTACCATGGCCACATCAACTGGCGGAGGATGGGCCCAGCTACGCCAGCAGGCTCGGTCACTCGAGACCCAGGTACTTTGCACTTTCTTCTTGATGATACCCAAGTTCTGACCTAACCATTATGCGTAGACCGAATCCCTTTTTCACACATACTCTCAATATGCTTCAATGTCACAATTGCCCCCGAAACCGTCAGAGGAAGAACAACGGGTAGAGGGCCAAATCCAGAGTCTCCTTGAAAAGGTAACTACCCGACCATCACAGCCGTTGCTTCTTGCATAGACATCTAACGTCCATAAGCGCGAAGCATTAATCGGCCAACTCMCCCGCCTCCTCGACTCCGAAGCAACCCTGACCTCCTCAGCCCTCAAGCAAAACAACCTCGCCCGCCACCGCGAAGTACTCGCTGAACACCGCCGAGAACTAAATCGCCTCTCATCCAGCATCTCCGAAGCCCGTGACCGCGCAAACCTGCTCTCAAATGTACGCTCCGACATCGACGCTTACCGATCCTCAAATCCGCATGCCGCAGAGGCCGAATACATGCTTGAAGAGCGCGGGCGCATCGACAATAGTCATAATATGATGGATAGAGTGCTATCGCAGGCATATGCTGTCAATGAAAACTTCGGTCTGCAACGCGAGACTCTAGCCAGCATTAACCGGCGCATTGTCGGTGCTGCAGGACAGATTCCGGGAGTCAATTCATTGCTCGGAAAGATAGGTGCTAAGCGGAGACGGGACGGTATTATACTCGGCTGCTTTATTGGGTTTTGTTTTATGATGTTGTTGCTTTTCAGGTAGATGACATCTATCTGGTTGACTCTTGAGCTGGCTCTGGAGGTTTTGTGATGTTTCTTTACTACATCGTTTCTATAATCACTGTTGGGAAGACAGGTACATAATCTGTGCATGGGCGGCGTTGATGATTTCTTTTATAGCTCATCTCGAGTGAACCTCCCGATTCTATATCATTGTGTTGGGGAATATGTCTATTGTACATGTAAAATATAATTACACAATTCGGCGCTTCACATCATCGCGCACTGTGAATATAGCAGATGATATCAGTCATCTCTACTCCTTTGGTGTCGTCACTATCCTTCGTTTCGTTGGCGAAGTCATAGATGCACCACTAATATCGTCCGCCCGCTTCTTCTTCTCTTCAATCAACCTCAAAAGTCCCGCGTTCAAAGAATCCCTCTCAGCTGGATCTGCGGAACCGCTGCCCGCCCAACGAATATGACCGTAATCATCCAGCAGATAGACGTACCCGACCTTGCTGTTGAGCATTCCGATGGCCTGCTTAATCGCGTCTGTCATGCCTTCCTGCACCAGAAAGTACTTATCATGCTGGTCCCTGGGCATTTCGCGTCGCATGTTACCCATGAAAAATCGGACTAGCCAAGCTTTCAGCCTGTTCTCTTCAAGGTTGATGTCGATTCTTTGGGTTGTTACCGGATTGGCGGCAAGGGTCTCGTACAGTTGCGGATTATTTTCGGGTTTCGTGAACGTCGCCACCTGTGATTCCGCCCATAGACTCGAGAAGAGACTCACAACTGAGATCTTGCCTTTTATAATATCTGTTGTGTCTTGTGGTTTTTTTGGTGATTCGAGCGTCACGCCGTAGAGGTTGGGGAAGAATAGGGCCTTGTCGTGTTTAAATAAGCGCGGATTCGACCTGAATGTTTTGCCTTCGTTGTATTTCAGATTCGTCCATTCTCGAAAGTATGGTTTTGCCAGATGTGCCGTTCTGTTAGGGTTGGGAATGAAAGTCAGAATGGTATGTTGTCAACTGTCAGATCTGGGGGCTCACAATTCCTTCCGGCGCTGGAGATGCTTTTGGTAATCCACAAAGTCGTCACGGCGCTCACTCAATGACCGGTTATCAATCCCCGTATTTTGTCCTGGTAATGGAGGATATGGAAGACCAATCGGTCGGTCAAGCTCGATGGGCTGTACATTGTCTGGTTGTTCTTCCGGCGAAGGTTTAGCACTGGTTGTGCTCTTGTGCCGCACCGAGGTCCATACCGCCTGCGTCTGACAGCGGAGACAGCGGCTGTCTCTGAATATGGAGAATAGTCGCGACTCGATTGAGAGCATCGTGACCTATGACACTTGTTGTTGCCTGTCGACAGTCACTTTTTGGACGTCGAAAAATAACCGTTGCGGCCTGCGCACGGGCGGGCTCTGAGTGGCCGGAGATGCAAGCACTTGCAGTAGTTGCAGTTTGTATAGTTCGACCAATTACAGCTCGTTTTTCCAGCTCCACCAGAGAACCAAAGGATAGAGCTTCCTTTCTCCTTCCGTTCATTTGCTACCACTCATTGTTCATCTGATGTCTCAAAGCTTACACTGAAAGGTCTTTAACTTCAGCTCTAGGCAACATCTCACATGGCGTTCACTTCTGCCTCCCATAGAAGCTGCTTGGTGCGTAAAAGACATGCGCAAGGACCTAGAGATGACAGGCCCAGGCATAAATAAGGACGACTTCTTCCGGGATCTAGATGGTCTTGGAGATCTCAGCGACGACGCTCAGACTACTGGCGATTTTGCTGGACTTATAAGACGGACGGATACTGCTCCTACAAAACTAGCAAGGCCGTCAACTGAGCCCAAAGAGGACGATATACCAACCCCTGCACAGTTGAAAAGACATTCATCCATGGTTACAACATCTGCTACGAAAAGCAGTACCAGCGACGCACTTGAAATGCAGAGTGAAACTCTGGTGAAGCGCCAAACAGAGATCTCCCTGACTGAGCAGCCAAAAGGACGTAAGAAGCGACGGAGGCAGTCCGTCCAGATTATACCAGAATCGGCTCAAATCTTTAAAGGCCTGAAATTCTTTTTTGTTCCCAACAACGATATTTCTCCGGCCCGAAGACTTCGTATCCAGCGGTCACAGGAATATGGAGCGTCATGGGCCCAGTCGTGGTCGTCCGATGTTACTCATGTGATTGTCGACAAGGGGTTGGATTATAAGGAAGTACTCAAGGTTCTTACGCCTGAACAGCTTTCTGTGGGTGTTTCCCCAAAATGCAGACTTTCTCTGTGTTTGGATTCTGACAATGCCACAGGCCAACATAGCTATAGTCAATCAGGACTATGTTTCCGACTGTCTCATTTTCAAGTCCATCCTCCTGATCACACAGCTCCGGTTCAGGGTAGATGGAACACCCAAGACACCGGAAATTGACAATGCAGCTCCGGCGCCAGCTGCAGCTCCAGATACGTCTACTATAAGTGCAGACAATTCCTTGCCACTGAAAGAACCTGGACGACAGAGACGACGCTCCATAACCCCCTGTCGTACTGAATACACTCCTATAGACAGTAAGGCAGTCCAACAAGATGGATATATGATCTCAGCCCGTGAAGCAGGGCAAAGAGAAACAGATCTTTTGGATGAAATTATGCTCAAAGTCAAAGCCGCCGGTGACCTGGTAAGCTGAAACAAAGCATACGCAGACTGTCTCTGGCTAACGCAWAMAAGCCACTAGATGAACCCGACGACGAAGTAGCTCTCGATGCCACATTTGATAACAGCTGGGAAACAGAACTTTCTGGGAAAGCTACAGCCGTAGCCAACGTTCCCAATTGGCAAAAGAATTTCGCTTGCATGCAGAAGCACGACGGTAAAAGCTCTGACAACAATCCCAACGCCAAAACGATTGAAATTCTGCAGAAAATGGCCGACTACTACGACAGAACTGCAGACACTTGGCGCACGATGGCATACCGAAAAGCGATAGCTGCATTGCGAAAGCAGAAAACCAAAGTCTGCACCAAAGCGGAAGCCCTCTCAATCCCCGGTATTGGGCAGCGGCTCSCGGAAAAGATTGAGGAGATTGTGTCTACCGACCGCCTGCGTCGTCTGGAGAATATCAATTGGACTCCAGAGGACAAAGCGTTGCAGTTGTTTCTTGGTGTATACGGCGCAGGATTCACACAGGCATCTAAGTGGGTAGCTAAGGGTTATAGATCCCTAGAAGACCTTCAGAACGAGGCTGAGTTGACTGCGAATCAAAAGATTGGTGTGGAACGATATAATGATTTCCAGCAACGTATTCCGCGGGCGGAAGTTGCTCAACACGGAGAAATCGTCCGGGCCGCAGTTCATGCCTTGGATCCAGATATGGAAGTAATGATGGCCGGCTCCTACCGCCGCGGCGCTGCAGACTGTGGCGATATTGATGTTCTCATCACAAAGACCACCGGCTCTATAGAATATATCCGTACTCTGATGATGGAAAATGTCGTTCCAGAACTTACCCGAAGAGGATTTCTCAAAGTCAGCCTAGCAACAACGTCACGCGGAGACGGATCCAAGTGGCATGGAGCATCTGCCCTTCCTGGCACCGATCTTTGGCGACGGATTGACTTGCTATTTGTCCCGGGGGATGAGATAGGCGCGGCTTTGCTATACTTTACTGGCAATGACATTTTCAACCGGAGCGTGCGACTTTTGGCTAGAAAGAAGGGAATGCGCCTAAACCAGCACGGCTTGTACAAAGATGTGCTCCGAGGATCAAATCAGGTCAAGCTTACTGACGGCACCCTTCTCGAAGGTCGCGACGAGAAGAGGATTTTTGAGATCCTTGGTGTGCCATGGAGACCACCACAGCATCGTATCTGCTAGATTATGAAGCCGAATTATGAAAAGAAACCGAGCTGCTTCAGACCGACCAATTGAGACAATTAATTCCGGCCCCGATTACCTGCGTGCCGTACCTCCTTGATGCTCAACGCTGAATACAGAATCTTTGTGGGAAGAACACTCGAAGGGTTTGGAATTCTTCTTAAACATCACTTGGCATAATTTTGCCAGCAGTCCTTTTACTTGAAATCTTAAGAGGTATGCTAGCTAGAGTCACCCCATTGTATTACAGACCGGAAACATTAGAGTGAGACTATTGCTGGTTGACCCATACATTGTCATCAGAATTATCAAATATAGGATCACTACCAGAATGATATCCTCTTAAATATCTTAAAAGTAACATCTTGCGACAATCAAGCCGTGTATGCATACCGAGAAGATCTCTTGTAAGGGGGCCAACTATCCGAGCATCATTCAGAAACATGATTTCTAATCCGCTCAGAACTCCGATGGTATGATTTGGTATCGCAGCAGTTCCAAATTGAACAATGGATTAAATATGGAGCCGACTATTCCCGCTACCTACTAGTCCCATACCCAACAGTGGCCATGGTCGATTTTGAGTGGAAATGGGCCAATTTGCTATCAGCTTATTCATCGAGAATATCTCTCAGCCGTATTTTGGTAAAGTAAACCACAATATACATATTTATATACCTAGCTATGCAGGCCCATTAAGTCTCAATCCGTACATCCAGTCTTGTTACCATTGCCTCAATCCAAAAACTTAGCAGTTAAAGAGAATGCCAAACCTCGCATTAGCTAGAATCCGCAAAGACCTGATCGGGACCTGGAAACTCGTCTCCTATACCAGCAAACCAGCTGGAAAAGACGGTCCTATCGAATATCCCCTAGGCAAAGATGCCAAGGGCTACATCATCTACACAGCAGATGGGTACATGTCCGCGCAAATCATGAGACCTGGATCAAAATTTTATTCTTCTCTTGACCCGTTCGCAACTGCTGATGACGAGGCTGCTGATGCTGCACGCCATTATCTTGCCTATAACGGTCCCTTTGAAGTCATTGAGCATGAAGGAAAGGTTGCTGTGAAACACCATGCAGACTTAGCGCTGGTGCCGAATTGGGTGGGCAGCCAACAACTCAGGTTTTGCGAGTTGGAGGGCGATGAGCTTGTTTTGATGCCTACGCAGCCATGGATATTGAATGTAAGCATAGGCGCGTTCTTGTACCAGACGCAATTTGTTGATATAGATTTTTAGGGAGAGCTTGTTAGTCAGTGTCTGATCTAGAGAAGGGTTTGATGTAAAATTGATAGAAGGATGTTTTGTATGATATTCACATGTTGTACAGTCGAACAAATTGCAGTGTAAACAGTGACGACTCCCTTAGGGCTGCCCTAAGGGAGTCGTCAATGTTACATTTTGAGCCGGATACAAACCATTGTTTCGTTATAGCCAATACATACGACCATAGGGTGTGGAAAACAGGGCTTCCCGTCCGCTCAGCCGTACTTAAGCCACACGCCGGCTGGTTAGTAGTTGGGTGGACCAGCGAATCCCAGCTGTTGTATGTTTTTTGCTTATATCGAGGTTTTCTTTTTATTACTGATTTTCCTTCTCTATCTACCCCTCTTTCACCCACCCCTCATTCTCCTCTTTATTAAATCTTTTGGTGTTCAATCAGGACCTACGGGGTTAAAAGACCGCTTGTCATTGTGTGACATCCTGTCGGTTTGACGGTACCCTCGGCCTTGGAAAGAAGTTTTTCATGCGGAAGCAGACACTGCTCTACCTGGTGCTCGAGCGGCCGTAGCACTTTCAACAGCTCGAATTTCTACTCTATGGATCTGCCTAGAACCTAGGACTTGCCACCCGCAATTGATCACAGCCAAGCCGACCTTTTTTGAACACGAATTTTTACTAGGTACTTGACTCCTCTCTTACTTAAAAGTGAGTTTCGTAAAGGAAATGAGTGTTTCTTAGCCATAGTAAATAGCTATATAGTAGATAGAGATATCAAAGAGTATTTCCAATCACACATACAACATATCGCAACATATACAACATTCAATGCGGCTTCCCAGGCTGAGATGGCGCTCCGGGCTGTGGATTAGGCTTCCCTCCCCCGCCTGGCTTCGAAGAGTGCATAGGAGCACTAGAATCGGAAGCGCGCTCTGCACGCATTTACGAATGTCAACGATGTTTAGGATAACAGATGCGAACACGAAAAAAAAGAGGAGAACATCAAATATAGAACAAATAGGACAAAGGATACTTACGTCGTCTTATGGTGCACGCCTTCATCGCGTTGTCGGCACGGGCATTCATCTTTGAGTTGAGATGAATTTTGTGAAAGTTTCTAGAGAGCGCAGGTTAGCTGGACAGTTGTAGTAGCCGTCACTATGGATTGAGCTCACGGAGTATATTGGGTTGTTCGAATAAGAATGTACGGTTCGTATGAGAGGGATAGGGTCGTCGATTCCTGCGAAGGCTACGCTCTATATGTACTCAAGAGCTCCGGTTCTGAGGGGCAGTATATATCTAGACCGCGCGCGTGCCACCAATATCCAGATCAAAAATCATTCATGTACGGTGATTTCCATGCAGTAGCACGTTTCATCTTCCCAAGGTTTAGATGCCAATAGATGAACTATGCCCATATATATTGTATCTTAGTTCGGCGCTTGTTTTTGGCTAGGCTGTTTTGAAAGACAACTAACTAGATATTGTTGATTTCCGATTGGCTAAATTGGTGTTGCCCTGCCGCCGGAGCTTCCTGCCCGAGATAATATTTTTTATCGCAAGCCATTCCTGTTGCCGCTTTGACCCAGGATAACGTCAACGCTAGTCTTGCTCAGCTATTGAGGTTACATTTGTCACTTTACGATCACAGGCCGGGCGCGATATATCAGAAAACCCAACATGATGGCGACGTTTTCCACCGAGAAGTGGTGCATTCGCTTTAGAATCGATTCTAAATACTCGGTCAATGAAATCCCAGGTACCTGGCTTGAGAATGATTTGATCAGCAAAATGCTGAGTCTTCAGCTGTTGGGTTCTAAAAGATAAGGCACAGAGAAAAACATGTAGGTGGTAAGCAGGATTTACCTTGGACGTTCAGACCTCAGGTCTATTCCTTCATTTCCGTTCTTTATGGGTAATGCCCGTCTACTTTGTTTTGAATTGGCAGTCTTTTTTATATCGACCATGATAGAATCCAACTGTGACTGTGTATACAAATCGAGAATCTACATGGGGTGTCTCAATGTGGTGAAATAGGGATAACACCTATATAACCCTCGTTTCCTGCCAAAAGAACCCCAAATCTCGAAGTACTTAACAAAATATTCTTGATGTGAATAGATAGAAAGTATGATTTGTATATGTTCAGTGAGGGCTCTTGACACACGACTATAAGACGTCCTAGATGTTTGAGTTACCTATGTAGCTAATCAGTAGTATTTTGTTTCTTGTTTTTTCTTTGTTCCTTTTTGATGTTTACCTTTGGGCGGTGATGTACCCCGCCCATTTCTTTTATGTCCGCCAAATGCTAGCATTGCTTACCTGGGCGTCCGAGTAACGAAGTGCATGGAAATCCCTTCTTTATTCTCTATTACTTTTTTTCTCAATTCTCCTCCCATGGTATCTTCAGACGCGACAGCAATGACACCGACTCCCCGTCTTCGAGTTTCGTCCCCAATGATGAGTCAAGAGCGTAGAGATGATTCCCTCCACCAACGATTTTCGAGAAGTTTGCCCAAGGCCGGCAAGGCACGCAGAGCTCTTCTCTCGTTCGACGAACTACCAGAATGGCATCAAGATAATCAGTACATTCTTCATGGCTACCGCCCGATTTCAGGCTCGGCTCAGGTGTCATTTCGCAGTTGGTCATACATCCACAATGAGTCGGTCAACATATACTCTCACTTGATCCCAGCAGTCACGTTTCTTCTCGGCCAAGGGTATATTCAAAGTTATCTTATAAGTAGATATTCCAATATCACTAGCACTGATTCCTTCATTTTCTCATTCTTCCTTCTGACTGCCGTCATCTGTCTTGGATTGTCAACGACATATCACACCTTAATGAATCATTCCTACGAAGTCGAACAATTATGGTTGCGACTTGACCTGATAGGCATAGTCGTCTTAACATTAGGCGACTTTGTATCGGGAATATATATGGTTTTCTGGTGTGAGTCTTTGCAACGCAAGATCTACTGGTCTATGGTGAGTTGATATCTGTATGTCCTCTTTCTTCTCTCTTCTTCACTCATATTCAACGCTAACTTTGATTTGGAGATTGCAATCCTCGGATCACTTACTATCTTCATAATGGTAAATCCCAGATTCCAGGGCCCAGAATTTCGTGCTTTTCGGGCATTGACATTTGTGGCGACTGGCTTKTCTGGCTTTGCACCATTGGTACATGGAGTCAAGATGTTCGGTATCTCGCAAATGATGAAACAATCCGGAATGCCCTACTATTTGACCGAAGGAGGCTTTCTTCTAAGCGGAGCTTTGATTTATGTGGTAAGGCTTTAGATTTTTCACTTGATGAAATTTGATTCTGACGAATATGGATCTGCAGACCAAGTTTCCTGAGAGTCGATATCCAGGCAAATTCGATATATACGGCTCTTCCCACCAAATTTTCCACATCTTGGTGGTATTCGCTGCGGTAACCCAATTAATTGGGATATTGAATGCCTTTGACTACAATTACCTCAATCGAAAGTGCTTATAGAGATCTCTGATGCATAAGGACATTTTGTGACTAGTTTATAACACTTTACCAAGCGATGATGCCCTTCAATTATCAAGTGTCCTTTACCACCACAAGTAGCGTTGAATATGGTTTCGGTCACTATGTCCATGACTAGGATCGAGGATTGTGAGATTTGAAGTTACGATTAGAGCTGGGAGGCTGGAATTGATTAAAATTGAAAGTAACCAACTTCCACGGGGATGATCTGTGCAAGCTGATGGCCCCTTGAAACGTATACTAGAATAGTTGTATACTTTAGCTAAGTTGGATTTCCTATATTCGCTAAGAACACAAGTTCGGAGGACTGAATGTGGATTTTTCCATGTAATTCAAATTCCTTTTGTCTGCACGCCAGTATTGCAGGGTGAAGCCATATTCCAAGGTGTTCTGGGTGAATATGGAACGCTTCACCACCTTACCAGAAGTAGCAGAAATTAAAGCAGCAATGGGCTGGGTGATCACAACCATAATCACGCTGTGGTATGTAACCTTTTTGTATCTTTTTTGGTATATCTTTGCATTTTTACGGTTGCTAGAGATTGGAACAATCAAATAAATGTACGGTGCTGCTTATCTGTTTTATACCTGCAGCTGGCGAGGTTTTATTTTCTGTCATCTTAGGGCTAGTCTATTTCGGGAAGTTGCACGCAAAAATTGCCTCTTCGGGAATTCGGATTTCCACCATCTTCAACAAGCAACAACAACATCCCTCTAGGGCTGAGTCACCGTGACTTATTCACTTCGAGTAGCCTCTGAATTTATATGATCACTGAGAAGCAATCGTCAACTCTTTATGGTATCCTTGTAATTATTCGTCGACGCTGGGAATGCTTCGAAGATCAATGTGCTAGATGATCGTAGCTCGGCTATATGCGTGGAAACTAGATACACAAGTACGCGAAAGATCCCCGTATTTAAATAGCACGCTCATTATTACTTGTTCGTTGGCTAGTCGTAAGCTACTTAAGGCCCGTCAATACTTATCTCTCCCTGTCTCTTCTACCCTTGTTCATTCTCATTCTCATCCTTGTTCTACATTACTCAACATGGATTAGACCACATGCCTACAGTAAGGAAGTAGCTTGGCATGACTCTGAGTTAGCGTTGCCCAGATGAGGACTGTTTGAATTGTATGGACTTTGGATATCTCAGGGACTAATAGGCATTTCTAGAAGTCCATGTGGCATCTTGATGACGAGCAACATGTGTATCATGGGTATCATCTCGGTCAAATCTAGTCTCCCTTTGCTCGTGAAAAAAAAAAAAATATAGAGACATTTAATGGAGACACAGTATTACCATAAAAATTCCAGGGCCAAAAATCAACATTAATTTCAAATCGGCCACCAGCAAGGCTTACAGTTCCTACACACTGCGCGGTATACGAGGTCTTAGTCAAGAATTGACAGGCTGCCATATTATCTCCACAATGACTCGTTCGTAATGAACAGATCAACTCGATATCAAAAGTGGTAATTGAGCATCATGTCAGGATCAGTTCACCGAGTCCCCAAAACGCAAACGATGCCTGATGAGTCATCTCAGTGAGTCACTTGCACAGCGAACATTCTTCGTAACATAAAAAAAACAATCTGCCTCCATGAAATAACGGCCTTTTTTTTCTAAAGCTATTCACCGATTATGCTATCACCATGAGTAAAAGTCAAGTCATCATTGTTGGGTGCGCAAAGAAACCGGTTCCGTCTCGCACCGCAAGCTAATTTCTTACCAGCGCTGGCGTCTTGGGCCTCAGTTGTGCCGTGCAGCTGTCTCGATCTGGCCACAGCGTCACAGTCATCGCTCGAGATCTCCCCGGTGACTCACACATTGACTATGCTTCCCCATGAAAATCCCGAATGTGGCGTAAAGTTTGTTCCAGCCATTGAATACTTTGATTCCGCTGATGCAGACTCCTTTCTCGCTAAGGAGAATGGCTACATCGACTGGCCCGATTTTCGCATTCTTAAGTCGGAAGAATATCCTGTGCATCATGAGCCGATCAATTTGGGAGTCACCTACCGCAGCTGGGTCTTAAATTCTCCAGTATACTTACAGTGGTGCCACAAGCAGGCTAAAGAGCAGGGTGCCCAGTTCATTCGTGCTAATGTAGTATCCATGGAGGAAGCGATTTCCATCTTTCAAGGCCAAAGTCAAGGAAGTGACGCAGACGATATCCAGGCTGTAATCAATGCGACAGGTCGTGGACTAAATGATCCTGACTCTTTTCCATCACGCGGTCAATTCATCATAGTGTCTAATCAGTGCGACAAGACAATCAGCCATCATTGGGCAGATGGCTCGTCGACAGTGATAATTCCCCGACCCCTAGGAGGAGGCACGGTAATTGGTGGGACAAAGGAGCCTAACAGTTGGTTGGTTGTTCTATTCATATCAATTCTCTTTTTTGAGGTTACATAAAAAGAGAACATCATTACTAACTAGTGCAGGTCTGAGGATATCTCTGATACTGTCACCAAAACAATCCTCAAAAGGGTTGCAGGCATCTGTCCTGAGCTAATCGACCGCGCAGACAATGGTACAGATGAAGCTCATGGTTTCGAAATTCGCCAGGTCTACGCCGCTCGGCGCCCTATGCGACGGGGTGGTTTGCGCCTCGAAAAGGAGATGTTGAGCCAAGGCATTCCTATTGTTCATTGTTACGGCGCTGGTGCGAGTGGCTTCAAAATAAGCTGGGGTGTGGCCAAACAAGTCGAACGCCTGATTTCCAGCACTCAACTACTTGTGAACGACCCTTTGGAAACGTCATGACCTTTCGCTGATCTTCCACCACCCTGCTAATCCGCGCACGCGGGACTGCTTTGTCAAGTTTGATTGTCTTGGGGATATCATAGTAGATCCGAATCAATTCTTTATATTTTAGTCTACGTCTAAACTCCCAATTTACAGCAAAGCTTTGATCCGAACACATGTACGCTCTCCTGGAATCGGGAATTATAAGGTCTACGTTTGTTTCTTGAATACAGGCTTCTCCTCAACTCGTGGCGCTTTTATTATAATCTCAATTGACCGACACTGATCACAATGCAGTTCAAGTCATTCACCGCATTGGCAGTCACGAGCATCATTGCAGTATAGTTTACAGAGGTATGGTCGATATATTTTCTAGATGACAGTCAATGTACTCCAGAGTTTAGTGAGGTACTGCCCAGCTTAGTTCAACGATACTTGCAGTACGTTCACCGTATCAGTGAATGAATAGAGATGGGGCTTTAGCCCTGAGCGGTACTGTTTGCCAGCCATACTATATTGTGGACACAAAGAGGAGATACTTGACGCACGGAGGGGTGCTTGGATTCTTCTTTTCTTTTCTTCTTTATACTTAATATTGTATGTAGAGAAGCGCGCCCGCTTAGTAAATCAAGCTGTAGTTTCAGTAACAGTTACACAACGTCAAACACCATCTAGTTTTTTCCTTCTCTTGCAAATTAGTAAAGCGGAGCTTCTATATCTAACTCTCTAGTCCAAAGATCTCGTTTCCTACACTCTTCTTCCCTTCCCCCTTCTGACTCCACCTAAGTATGAGCTTGCAGAGTGCGTGACCACATCGTTTAATATTCATAGAGAGTCGTCCCGCTTGGCTTACTACTTCCTTAATGTTATATTGTCCTTTATGACACGCCGATATGTCTCGAGAGATGTTACAAGTCACAGCGGTGCTAAGGCACACGCGTTGAGCGTAGGTATTGTGTTCAGCGAGGACTTTTCGAAGATAAGCATCTTTTGTGTACCTGCCTTCGCCCTCACATTTTACCTTCTTGGCCATCTTGATAGTATATACTCTAATTGTAAGATTTGTCGACTGTTTGAGAGTCGTGGAATTGAGGTCACTTACTATATCATTGTGAGACTTTTGAGGACCTTTTGGATTGGATTGCCTGCAGATGATAGAAAGGATCCAGTTGGGAGTGAGAGGCAACGGTTGACGCTTGTTCTTTCGAGTGCAGGTGGATGCAGGGTTTTTGTTAGGCGCAGGACGTGAACGTCAGATGACCTATAAGTGTGAGAACATCGCAGACGGTGGCTTGTAGCGGGGGATTCATGTGTTTACGTACCAATAGATGGTATTTGTCGAAGGTTATGTTAAGTAAAGTCGGTCTGGCGGTGAATAGTTGTTCCGGCGGAGGCGGTGATTGCGCGGATCACCGCCTCAGGCCGGCCAGCAGCCAGTCAGCGCCAGGCGGAAGGCGCCTCTCTAACAATTTCTCTCTCGACCGCCCTCTTTTTGCCGTCGCTTTTCTCTCTCCACCCTCGATCTGCCCGTCAAAATATTATTCTCTACTGTTAACCAGTGTTAAGATAAGTGCAACGCTCGCAGAATTGCTATTGGCTTCGCATTCTTTGTCTGCTTTGTTTACTCGAAGACGACACCCGCGCTCGTGTATCCTCGTCCGCATCGCTCATTCGCCACCGCGTCAAATTGCTGTCACCGCAGTCATAATCTTACTTCCGGAGAACCATTCAAATACTTACAATCGAACAATATAATTTTCCACCGCTTAGTGTTATATGCGCCGTTGACCACCCCGCTGTATTACGTTGTACAGCTGTTGTATGTACGGTATTGTTCTATCAAGATCAGTTAGCTGACTTGATCGTGGACCATCCCGTCCCTCTTCGCGCGTAAAACACACACAACATCGACTCACTCCGGAGACAATGGGTCGCAAGCCCAATCAGCTGATCCTTGAATATTTCACGCGTGGCCCCAAGCTGGAAGACGCGAGCAACCGATATCAACATACGTGCAAAGCATGCGGTGAAAAGTTCCCCAAGGGCCGTATCGACAGTCTCACCACTCATCTAGTGAAGAAGTGTCAAGCGCTGTCCATGTCCGCACGTCAGTCGATTGTTATGCGAATTCATGATCTTCCTGCCCTCGACGACTCAGATCCCAACAAAGCGGCAATGCTAGCAAAGATTCAAAAGGCAGGGAAGGCTTCTGATTTACCGTATTCGACGCGCCCAGCTTTTGATGGGCTGAATGTGCTAGCGGAGGCATCGAGACGCGTCGGAGCTTCTGACCAGACCAAAAGACGTGGTGCGGGTGCTCTACGATTCACACAACCAATGACTGTTGGCGGCAAGACGATCATGATTGACCCTGCCCTCGAGGCGGAGGCATTTCATCCACCCCCAACAGATAGCAATGACGACTTGATTCTCGCTGGTGGTGAGTTTACTCCAACAATTTTTGTTGTTATGTTTGAGTTACATTTGCTGATTGCTGTCTCAAAGTCGCCGCTGCTGCTGCCTCTCTAAATGCAAACGAAGAGCGTGGTCCGTCTGCTTCACCTTCTCTACAAAATAATGATACTCTTCAACCTGACACAAATACCGACGAGCGTCAATCTTCATCACAACTTTCTCTGATTGCAGCTTCTGCCAGCGAAATGGCTTCACAGAGTCTTGCAATGGGCAGTGAATTGACAGATGGGCCACATGTTGGGTCATCCTGGACTGACCACCAGCTGTCTAGCACTGATCAATTTCTGCTTGACAGCTTGCAGGGTCATGATCCTACACTAGCAGCAACCCAACGTGCTGCATCTTATCCACGCCCAATTGCAATGAACCCGAATACTACTCCAACCAAGGGCTTTGTCAACGATTTTGGATCTTCGCCCAAGCCACAAAAGCCCAAAGTGCGTAGTCGGTTCAGTGCAGACCGTAGGAAGGAAGTTCAAGAAGTACGTAAGCGGGGTGCATGCATTCGATGCCGCATGCTTAAGAAGCCTGTATGTATTTCCTGCTTATACTTTGGCATACCCCCAACTAATTTCATTTATCAGTGTTCTGGAGATAGTCCTTGTCAAACATGTGCTTCTGTTGAGAGTGCTCGCCTATGGAAACAGCCATGTATTCGGACACGTCTTGTTGAGGAATGTGAACTCTATGGTGCTGGTAAGAATGCCAATTCTACCCACGAAAAAGAGAACAAGCTAATCATTGACAGGTCTTCATACGACTCTTGCCTTTCACGATGTCAATTCTATGCAAGCCCAAACAAAGTATGAAAGCTACGTTGGTCGTGTGGAGGCTGCACACTTTGATGATGGGCCTTTCTTTGTGACCTTCAGCGCCCTCATTGGTCAGAAAGCTGGCATGTCACCGATTGATCCTCAACTACAAGCTCTAGTCGAGGACGGGCACCTCCAAGGATCTACTCAGGATATGTACATGCTGGATGGGGATACAGATGATCTTCCTGGAAAGTGCGAAAACTACATCAAGAGGCTACAGTCCACTTTTATTGAAAATGAGACATCGCCAATCATGAAGTCAACCCTAACATTAGCAGCACACTTGGCAGATGAGAAAAAGGTAGGCCGATCATAAAGACTATGCTCGTATCAAGAATCTAATGGGTTATAGGATACTCTCCTTGACCGCGTGGTGGAGCTATGGCTTGTAACTCATGTCCTAGTCGACCTAGAATTGCAGTGGAAGCTCTTTGTCCATCCACTCCTACCCCCAACTGCCGTGGACACTCTAGCTATGCCAACCGAGGAAGGCCGTGTTCCAATTGATCGCAATGCCAATGCCGATTCTTACAACCTTATATGCAGTCAACTTCGCGCTGCTGTCGAGAAGCGTGCCAGCTTGCTGAGTAAAAATGTCATGAATGAACTCGAACGACGACTCTTGCAGCGCCACCACAGTGGTTGGTTCGAAACCTTTTTGGTATCTGTCATTCTCCTCAACTGTGTTGAACGCGCCTGTTGGCTCTTCACTAGCTGGGAGAATGAGGACTTTGTCGGACGTGTAATTCATACCCCTTGTTTTTCAATTTACCGGGTGCTAATATTTACCATAGTGGCCTTTGGACAAACGTCCACAATATTATGCTAACCAGGGCGACCGGTTCTCGGAGATCCTTCATATGCTACTACGAATGCGTGGCCTGCCCCCAAAGACAACCATCAATGCGGAAACTGGCCTGCTCAAAGCGGTAGAGAACAGCGATCCCAATGCCATTCTGTGGTTTGACACTATTCAAATATCACGTAAGTTGATACTTGAGTTTTTCCTGTCAGATACTTCATACTAATGATGAAAAGCCTTGTACTTGGAACAACGTCAACTCGTCCAATTTGATCCCACCGACTCGCGGTCTCTGGATCTGAAGTTCGCTTCCAAGATTCTCCTGCCGCCACCAACTGCATGATCTCGCGTTTCAAAATTTGCGTTGCGGTAATTCGGAGTTGATCTTTTATCCTGGTCCGGAGTATTTATGCCATATTCAACGACTTACGACGACTTAATGAGTGGGGAAGGGCTGGTTTGCTTCATTTGATAATTTCTACTTTATTTTCACCTTTTTAATGATGTATTATCTACTTCAATTCGACTGATTTGATAACGAGATTAGCTCATTATTCTAGAGAATCAAATCTCAAAATTAATATTACTAAATACCAGGCTCAATGAAAACATTACATACAAAAGGGTATATAAGAACCTGAAAGTAGCAAACAGATGTAACAGCAAGTCCGATGAAAAAGGGGGAAAGAAAGAATGAAATGGGTATCGTGTTTAAGCAGGCAATCAGGTACGCAAGGATCCAAGCAAATATCCAGACGCGTATATAAATAACAAATCGAAATGGGAAGGAAAGAAACATTAAGCGTCTGAATCAAGTTGACCATCCAGAACACGTCTGGCAGCATCTAATCTTCTGCGCAGGGTGCGGATATATTTTGAATCTGCGGTGGGCGTTGTACCTGCGCTTCCATTGGCAGTGACCACAGTGCGGTTCGTGGTGGCAGAAGCAGCAGTGGCCATGGTAAGTTCCTGTAACTCTGTGCAGACTTTACCCAGACTCTCAAAGACTTGCTCTAACAATCTGGTATCATCTGTGTTGAGACTTGAGGGCGGTCGTGTCGATGCCGACCTGATTGACGAAAGAGAGGACATGAATGCATCTACCGGTGTCGTTGGGGTGGAGAGATTGCGGTCAATTGGGAGAGACTTGCTGGTGGGCGTGAAAGGTCCATCGTTGTCGCGGTTCCGCGATGCGGCCAGATAGCGGTCGTCGCTTCGGTCTATTACTGTAGCTCTACGGCTTTGGACGGGAGTTGATCCTTGCGTGACGTTAGTTTATACAAATTTAGGGGAAATAGGTGTATCGACATACCATCTTCATCTTCGAAGTCGTTCCAAGTGTCGACGATCTGATCAATAGCCTCTAGAGCATCTTCCTGGTCATCGTCATAGTCATCATCGTATGCGTTCTCCGTCGCCGTCGCGAACGTTGCAAACGTAGACACTGAATCGCTACTTGCGTTGCGATTATGGGTGCCTGGTCTCTGATCTCGCGCCGGTCTCGTAGTTTCAGTCGACCCCGTAGAGCCATAGCTGTTACGTCGGATTTTGTTTCTCGAGAATGTGCCCAGCGCACTGTGAAGGTAGAAATTCTCGTAATCAAATGCATCTTCTCGCTCTTCGTGAGGTGTTGCTTCTGGGGCATTACCGGAGGGGAAGTCTTCAAAGACATCGCTTTGGTCATCATCGTCATAAGGTTCGTTAAGGATCTCATTGAGTCTTTCACGATCTATGTCTCCGTCCTCATCGTCGTCGTATTCGCCTTCTTCTGCATCCTCATAGTGGCTTTCTAGAACAGATTGGTCGTCATTATCAAATGCGAACTCGTCAATAATATGCGGTGACTTTGAAGATGCGGGTTCTCGTCTCTGTGGACTCAATGGCGCATCGATTGGGTATTCGTCCGTGCCATTGCTCGTGCTAGTCCCGTTGCTGTCCTGTTTGGCTGACGTTGGCTCAGAAACCCATCCATATCCGGCGTTATTGTGCACATTAGCACCCCCATTACCATGCTCCAATGCGCTAGAGTACCACCGTTCAGCCGCTGTAAACGGACTAGGAGTGCGCAAGCTCTGTAGACTTCGGCGCCGAAGATTGTCCTCCTGCGTCTTGACTTTCAAAAGGGCAACTTTGGTTCTGAGTCCGGCCGCTTGATCCTTCAGGTCTCGCACTTGTAATTGGGACTGCGCGCGAGATGGGGGTCCATCGGGTGGATATGCAGAGTTGAAGTCTTCCATTGACGACATTTTAGGCGCTGCCGAAATCCCAAGCCCAGATGAGCCATTGACGTCTGGGCTAAGGTAGCTTCTGCGATAATCATCTTCTGGGTGCGGCTCTTGCCTCCGCTCCTGGCTGTCACTACCATCCGCAGCGTTATACGGGAAGGAGTTCTCTCGAGAGTCGTAGTGCGATGAACCGGAAGAAGCCAATGCGCTCATGGAGCGTGAGGGCTGTAGAGAGGGAGATTTGAGGCTTGCTGCTGATGGAAGATTGGTCTCGCTGTGACCGCGCGAATGTCCTCCTTCCTGCGCTGTTGTATATACTGGTCGAGGTCGAAGCAGCGAGCCCCTACGATCTGTCTGAGATATGGATCGATATAACGCCCCAGCGGGTTGAAGGTTGCGAGTTGGCAGTAAAATTCCCGGGGATGTGGGTGATGGTGACGGTGTTTGTCCCAACCGAATTGACGAACGAGCGCGAGTGAGGTTACCTTCCATCAACTAGTAGTCATGTTCGTAAGTACGTAGTCAATGAATGCATGGTCAATGAAGCCACAATGCGCGAAGCGCGTTACTTACTGTCAACCTTCGTTTCGCATTTTCAAGAATGCGCTCCGCTTCGCTGCTGAGAATAGCAGAAGAACTTTCTTCCTCAGTTTGTTGCGATGATCCCGAAACCAAAGCATCGCTAGCTTGAGCGCGCTCACGATCTATACTGCTTTGACTAGCATAGCTACTACGCCTAGAATTGAAGCCAGAGTCGTTACCTCCGCGACTTTCCTCAGGGTTCAAATTCAACTGTCGCTGACTACCGGCGCCGATCGTAGAGCCAGAGCCAACGCTGTCGGAATCTGATTTCTCTTGTTGCGGTTGTGTTGTGGTGTACCTGCCTGCATAGGCAGGGGATGACGGCTGAAAATCCTCCTCGCCAATATCCGACAACGGTCGACCGGGAGCGTGGCCTTCGTATGTCCATCTGGGTCGCGGCGCGCGATAGGTTGACCCGTTAGAAGGGTAATAACCATTCGCTTGTTGCACGCCGTTCTGGAGCATGTGAGGATCTGAAGGGGTCAATTGGAACGGTGGAGACGGTGTCGACGATTGACGCTCGCCGTCGTCTGGGAGGATCATGTCAGGATTTGTCAGTGTCGGGGACGGCGGGATTTCTGGCGGTACATCGCTGCGATGGATGGTGTTTCTCTGTTTTGTGTCGAATCTGTTTGGTATGAGAACCGAGGTTGACGCTTGGCTGCGATACGTCGTCTCCATCGTGCTGCATTCGGTGCGCACTGTACACCGTTACCGTCGGAGGAATGCACGACTTTCCCGACCTGTCAGACGATTGAGTATATGGTATGGTGTCTGACGGTCACTTCACGCGCAATTCGAGAGTGTTGATCTGCAAAGCCGAAAACTAGTGAAATAGGGTCAACGTGTGGACCGTTGGGCTTTTTTTCCTCCCGGCATAATCCAATGACGCATCGCCTGGACAACGTGGCGTCTTTGATTGAGATCTGCAATCCGAGAGTCTAACGACAAGTGTAAAAATATTCTAGACGAAGAGAACCGACAGTAGACGCATTGAAGCAGAGACGGTTGCGATTGCGCTGGTAGAGGGAAAAGTGTCCAGGTAAGGGTTGATCAATAAATAAAGAAATAAAATAGCACCGACTAGACCCCTAGTCTCCCTAACTAGCGGTGGGATCTCGCCCCCGTCAGCAGGAGCACGAAGAAAAAGACCAAGTCATGCAACAGGAAAAGTGTCAAATACATGATGTTCACATTGTTTACTCTGTTAGAGGTGAATCAAAAACAAAGAAGGCGAGTCATTCATTCATTGGAAACTCGCGCGTTCCCCACACAATGCCTATTTGTATGTATGTCATCTTGAGACTTCGATTAAACATCCGATTTATTAACTCTATTTCTATAGAAATTATTAAACATTATGATATCCCGGCAACTTCAAATGATGACACTGTCATTAACAAGAAATCATCTGGACGATTAGCAGTATGTTGCATTGCCAATAGGACGAGTAATGACACCAGCATCAATAAGCAGATCATATGACCAGTAGTCTTTCTGGGTACCCTCTCCATCCACAACGACGCTGCTATTGTGCTTGATGTTCCAGAAAGAGCCACCCTGGACATAGTAACTCCAAGCATATCGCTGAGTGTTAAACAAACTCTTGCGGTTGGCAAAGGTGTTGCTGTACAAGGTCTGTAGAGCCCATTCACCAACGTACACAGGGAACTTGCCGTCACCGCCGAGAACAGACGCCTGACCACAGATTGCGCCGTTTGCCCATTGCGAGTAGACTCCAGAGGCGGCAAAATAGTAGACGTGAGAGTCGATGACGAGGTTCGTGTCGTTGGCAAAGTAAGGAGACCAGTGTTCCTCACCAAGAAAGCAATCCTGCAACATCAGAGGAATGCGCTTGTCAACCTGAGAAATGCGAGACAAGACTCCCTCTGTATATTCCACAATCCAGTTGGAGCCGTTTGTGGTCAATGTCTCGGGAGATGCGAATGCCGAGGGGTTGTCGGAAGCTTCGTTGATAGGAGCAATCGTGAAAGCCCAGGGGTAGCCTGTGTCGACGAAAAAGTCGAGCACTTCCTCAACCGCTTCGTAAGAATAGTCAAGATTGGTAGTGTTGAAGAACCAGCCGTCATTTCCAGCTTTCTCGCCGATATCCAGAGAGTTGACACCGCCGGGAAGCGAGTGGAGCCCAACAATGACGCGCATGTTGTACTTTTGGATGGCATAGGTGGTAATTGTCTTCAAGTATTCTTTCTGATTACCGTGGTACAAAGCAGAACCTGGGACCTTGATCCACGCAGCATACGTGGTGGGAATGCGGAGAGTGTTGACACCTAAGATCATGAAGAGTTACTAATTGCTTCAGTTAAAGTTCCATGTGAATCGACTTACCAACAGCCGCAACCTTGTCAATATCATCCGTAGTGATGTAGGTAGCATAATGTTGCTCGAGGACAGGACCGCAGCGAGAACCCAGAGTCTCACAGAAAGTCCATTCATCCGTAGCATTAGGAGCATACTGGTTCCACCAGTACTGATCAAACACTTCTTCCAATTCTAACCAACCACCAAGATTGACACCATTGGCCTTGTATTTCTTCCAGTCAGTCCAAGTGCCAGCTGCCAATGTAGCCGTGGCAGAGGCGACAGTGGTAGTGTAGGTCTTGGTAGAGGTGTAATGAGAATTGGTAAAGGTAGCAGTCAGAGTACGGACGGCTGTGTTGGAGGTGGAGGCAGTGTACAGGGCAGTATTGACTCCAGATCCAACGGCAGAACCACCGGCAACAGGAGCTAAGCTTCTGGTAGAGGCAGATTGCGAAAGAGCGGTGGCACCAGACCCAACTGCAGAATTATCTGCGTTCGGGACAGTAACCTTCGAGGTGATAGTAGCAGTAGGAGCGGCTTGGCTGTTTAAGAGTGAATGGGTGAGTAACATTCAATAGAAGGATTGCGTAGCAAACGACAAGAGGTAGATCATACAAGTTAGAGCCATCGGTTGTTGCTTCCACTACTGTAGTAACAGATGCAGTGATAGTGGCAGTAGAGATGGTTTTAGTAATAGTCGAGGTGGTGGCGGCGTATACAGTAGTATGTAGGTGCGTAGGGGCATTGGTGACTCCGATAATGATAGTATTGTCAATGGTCACTGTAGTATCTTCTTGGAGCTCCACATCGACGATGATCGGGTATTCAGTGATGCTCAAAGAGTATTGCACAACTTCGCCAGTGAATTCAGCATTTACGCAAGTCTCCTCGGAGGACCGGGGCTGAGGGACACCAGCAGCTGCAATCCCAAAGGATGCAGCTGCTACAAGCACGTCTGAGAGACGCATATTGGGTTAGGGGTAACGAACGACTAGAGCAAAAGAGTGGAAGGGGGTAAAGGGAAAAAAGAAACCCTAACGAAGGACTGGGCAAATGTTGCTGGGAGTGAAGGGAAAGGACAACAGCTTCCTCAGGAGCCAGAGAATGTGCCTTGCTTTATAGCACTGCATTTTTTCTATTTTTTCTTCGAACCGGTTCCTTCGGCCTACAATACAGCGACATTGGGGCAAAAGATGCCGACTCAGACTGGAGTCTCAGGCTGCCCGATACCAACCAAGCCGACATATTTCAGCCGAAAGCAGATGCGGAACCCATCTCGGAGGACTCCTGGGGGACTAAAACGGGTCAATCCATGGTCCACGTGGAAATAAATCGGTACCTGGCTAGAGCTTAGCTCCATATCGATCTCCATTTCCTGTGCCTAGTCTTTTCTCTCTGATGGCAGGTGTGCGGTGACGTCTGCTGCAATGGATCTGTAGAAAGAGCCATACGAGCCTTGATGCAGTCCATCACCTAGTCACTGGTCTAACTATCATGTGTGTTGCACGGAGCACCATTTGGCGAAGAAGTAGTCTGATCTGTGAGGGTTGAGGTTGACAATCTATTTTGACTTTTCCCGTTACGTACATACGGTAGTTTGAGAGAACTCGGATATCCCGAGAGGGCTGTAGTGGGTACCTTCACTTTTCTTGCAATCTTTTACCAAAATCAATCTTCAATAATCAAGGAAAAGAGAACGATGGTGGATCATTTCAAATGGGGTCTTGCACAAGTTGGTCTAGTGCGTACTATGAGCCTTGGATCGATGCTAGTGAAGCTTGCCCTCTTATCGCCCGCTGTATTAGTGCAGGGAAAAAAAGGGTTCAATATCGTGAGAGATGAGGCTGGAGGTGGATATCGTTGAACCGAATACAGTGACAAGGTATAGGTGAGACATGTAAGCGGAAAATAAAAATCGTGTCCTTGATAACAAACGCTTTTCGATATCCGAAGCAAAGGCTTCTTCTATGTACAAACTTAGAATATGCTTTTATTTATAATCCGAAATGAACGCCAAATAAACTCGAAATATTCCGTACAGCATCAAATTTTGCTTAATAATAGCTTGGCGCCACTGCTACTTGGCCCGGCTTTCTTTGTTTTGTCGGATGAATCTTTTGGTCCAGCCGCCGCCTTTTCCAAAGCCTTCTTATTCTTCTTCAAGGTCTTCAGAAGCTCGCTCTTCTGAGCAAAGTCCTCGGACTCTGTCAGAGCCACGATGACGAAGGTCTGTGGACCAGTAGCCCAAGCCAGAATGTCGTCCTTGATAATATCATAAAGCAAAGCATCGAAATTCAAAGCTGGCTCAACCTTTTCAATTTTCTTCTCGGCACTGTTGTAGCGGCCGCCTTGAACAAGAGACTTGAGCATTCTTCCAACGAATGGCGAGTCTTGAGCCTCAGTCTTGGATTTAGCGGCAACGGCAACGGCGTTGAGGGCTGCGGACTTGTCACCCTCCGCAGTAAAGAGCACTTCAGACAAGAACTGGCAACCAAAGCTAGTCTCCATCAAAGATTCCGCACGGGCTGCAATGAATTCCAACAGACTTGGACTGGCGGCTTTAACTAGTTCTTGACGGCGAATGGCTGGTTCCTTCTTGGAAGTCTCCTTGCGGATTTCGAAAATCTCATTCAGAACGTCCTCATCGCCGGCAGGAAGTAGCCATTTGGTCTTGTCACCGACAAAGGGATACAGTACTGGAACCCTAGCAGTAATATCATTAATCTGAAGAAGCAACTCCTCGTGGCGCGCAGACTCCTCGGTTTCTTGATTTAAAAGTTCAGGGAAAATGGACTTGGAAGAGAGCTTGGTGTCGTCAATCACTTCATATGCAGCCAAAATGACCAAATGCCCGTTAACATCTCCAGCCATCATTTTGATAGTCTCTCGATAGAACCGAAGGAGTAACTTGCGGTCTTTGGCGGAGGAGTAAGCAAAGCAAAGACTCATCAATCGTGCACCCGACTTGGTGAAAGCCATATTCTTGGCAAGATCTCCTTCTTCGTCTCCCTTGACGAGCTCAATGAACTCGTTTGCTTCTGAACTTCCTGGTTTCGTGTTCAAGAAATACTGAAGCATAGCGTCGTGTAACATGGTAAAGCCGGTAGTCTTCTTCTGTACAAGCTGATTGATAAGTTCGTAAAGATTGCGCATGATAGGAGGTCTCTTCTCAGGGCTGTCTGCGAGGATTGTGGACAGTTCTGCAGTCACTTGGGATCCATCATTGTCCCGGAAAATTGCAAACTCTGGTCCATACCATTCGCGTAGCATATTTGCCTTTTGTTGCTTGGTAGCCACCGTTCTGTAGATATCATCCATGATCCAGGATGCCTCAGGATGTCTGACAAGACGCTTCACATGTCCGTAGAACTCGGGTACGATCATATCCCGAATATCGGCATCTCCGTGAACCAACATTTTGCCGAGCAAGAATTTCGCATAACGACTCTCAGCAAGATCCTTAAAATGTCCCTGAAGCTCGCTGACGATCAGTTTCCGTTGCTCAAGATTAGCATACTTCAATGCGGTTTGAATAACGCGAACGGAGTCGTGTTTAAACACGAAGTCCTCGACCCTGCCAGTGATTATCTCGAAGAGCTCAGTAACAAGCTTCTTACGTTCGTCTTTTGGCACGTGAGATTTACGGCGCAGGCGCTCCCACAGCTTTTTTGATCGCGCAATGATATCGGCGTTCGGCTTTGCGGCCTTGCGTTCCTGTGCTAAAGCTTTTTGCTTGGCGTGGCTTTCGCGAGACGAGCTCTCTATGATTGAATTAGAAAGGTCCATCACACAGTAGATAATCGGGAAGTGCACATACTTTTATCGCCATCAACATTGTCAGTCGAATTCTCTGACTGCTCTTCGTCCTCCTCCTTCATGACTTCTTCTTCTTCTTCAACAGGCTCGCTGTCATCAACATCATCATCATCGTTCATTGACATATCAGACTCATCGGAAGAGATGTCTGAATTCATGTCATCTTCCTCTTCTTCGTCCTCGTCCTTGTTCTTGTAATGTCCTTTCTTCGATGGCTTTTGTTTCTCGGCTTGTTTGTGGAGCTTCTTGTCTCTGTTCATTTTTTTTGCATCTCTTGTAATGCCCTTTTTCTGAAAAGTCGGAGGTAAATATTTCTGCTTGGCGCCTGCCGTGGCAGGAGCAACATTCGTCTTGGTTTTGGTGCGTTTACCATTTCGGTCCTCGGCCGAATCGACCTTACGTTTTGTGCCAGACATGATGGCGAATCGGAGATCAATTGCCCGAATAATGCTCTGAGCGTGTGTAGAGGTCGAAAGTTTCGATGCTGGAATCGTAGTTTGGGTCTTTCCATTTTTACATTTTTTTGCGGCAGAAGAGGCTGGGCTAATATTTTTCCGGAGGCGGTGTAGTTCACCAGAGTCCGCTAAGGAAGAAGATTGCGTGGATCAGTACAGCGAATGTCTAATGAGAGCATTTAAACAGGAATGGTACTTGATAATAAGACTATACGGGATAGTTAGATTTTAAAAAAAAAATGAAACATAGTTTTAATTGATTACCCAAGGGATAGAGGTACAAAAAAAGAAGAGATGTAGTTGTGTAGCCTAATGGCCAATTTCCTTACACGAGGAGGTGCCGTCTGCTGTCGCCATCACAGAGTGAAGAGTTCCTTGCAGAATTGCTTCCCTGGGGGTTCATCTTCATTGCTTAGGGCAGCACAACAATCGTGGTTCACCGACGAGTTATGACCGCCGCTCCCTGATTCGAAACAGACACACTCACCCGCTGGTTACCCTACGCAAGGGGACCGACCGGCAGCTACCCTCCCACTGAGTTATCCGTCACAGATATGCAAGAGTGGACTAATAGTGTGCTATAAAGGAATAAGTTGCGCCATCCAATCAGATACATATATTGACAGAGCACCGCCCCATTACGTAGTTGGCACTGTTCCCCCCATTCTATGGCCGCCCACCATTGCGGGGATCAGCATCTTTTCTTGGAAGATCGGATTGTCGGAGAACGTTGGAGCACAGAGTTTTGCATTTTGGGGCACAAATCGAGAGAGCCAATGACTTGGGAAGGAGTTAGAGGGTCTGCTATGGTGCTACACTAACATGCCAGTGCTGCATATCCACGTATAGCCGATGATGTATTGCATCGACTATCCGATCATGTGAGGATGGATCTGCCGACAATCCTATTATGTTCCTTCCAATCTCCAACTCGCTTCATCTTCCTTTATTTACTGTCTTCGTGTTCCACATCTAGAATCTCAGTCTCTCAATTTAAACAATTGGGTCGACTTCTGCTTAATTTGGCATCAGCTCAATCCCATAGGTCAATTCAATGTGTTAAGATCTCCTTAATATGCCTCCATTTCGCAACCTACTGAACCGCAAACCCGCGACTTCCGACGCCAGTAACGACAATAATGAAACAACTCAAACCCAACAACCTGCACAGTCTTTGGATGTGCCGCGCAGCACTCCATTGAGCTTGAATAATAGCAGAGAAGAAGTTCCGAATGAATACAAATTAAGTGGTACGTGAACTGTAATGTGCCAGTTCGCTCCTATCACCCACATGATGCGCACCAAGGAGTAAAGCAGGCTGACACGTCTTGGTTCGGCGATAGTGGTGAATGACAGCGGCGTCTATCTCCCAGTATGACTCTCATGTCCTTCTCTATGCTTCATAAAGACCACCCCGCTGATCCAATCTTTGAAAAGCCCTCGCCCCCAGAAAAGCAGAGTTTCTGGTCAAGATCCTCGACTAAGACGCCAACAATAAATCATCGAAACCGAGTCGACGAGAATGAACCCTTCTCCATATCTCGCGAATCTTTCGACTCTTATCGACGGTCGTTTGTATGTATCGTACTCTGTCTATACTGTCCGGACGACATCTAATTGAGGATTGTGATAGGACATTTCAGCCAGATCGCCGGTACTATATGCCGATAACATCCAGTCACGCACATCATTAGATTCTCGGTTTTCGCGCATGAGTGAGCGCCCAACTACAAGAGGTCAAACGTCTGGGGGTCCACAATCCATGGAGGAAGAAGCCTTTGAAGACGTGGGTTTAGCGGACGAGGATGTGAAGCCGAAAAAGAGAGGCCTGTTTGCTCGGTTTGGCGACAACTCATCTGAGAACACCAGCAATAATAATAGTAGGCCCAGTTCGTCGCATCTAGGATTCCGTCTTCCTGGTCGAAAGAGAGGCCAGAGCGGCCAAGGAGCCGAGCTATCACCTTACAGACTGGAAGTGCCGACGACGGAAGTTTAGGTTTCTAAACATTTGAAGGAGGCACGATTTTATATATGGAAAAACATTCGTTATGTCTTTACGTTGTGACCGCAGAGCAAAGATCTCCATTGCAGCATACTCGCTATGGCTCGACTACCCATTTGACTCGATACTGGGACAGATATCCTCGGCGCAACTGAAATTTGCTGATTGAAATTCCGTGTAACCTAGACAAGTACATGTTACGTATCTGAGAGGATGCAGAAACATCTGTAATGATTAATATGATGATGCCTACAACGATAACCGCTAAGACTTGCTTCCGTGTCTTTGTACTCTAGGGGTATGCAAATGGGGAAGGTACGATCTGATGTCCCAGAAGATAAGAGCAATGGTGTCGAGCTCGAAAGACATCCTCCCGCCTACCTTCGACAGACAGACACATGCTATCTATCATAATACATCGCATCGCACAACACCACAGCATTGGCTTACTTCGTTAACATCCTTCTTGGTGTATATTCCGCTTGCCTAACAGCCCACGCGCATTATATTCTCGCTACTGCAACTTCATCATGGCGTTTTGGAAGACCTGGGAGACTTGGGAGAAGATGGTGTTTGTAAGCTCACAAGAACAAGTGTCTTGAAACCATCGCAACTAACCTTACTCTCGATAGATTCTCGCCTGTGCTATGGTAATTCACCGATTCAAGGATGCACGAAAACACCTACTGATTATTATGACACAAAACAGGTCGTAGTCATCGTTGCTGGTGGTTTCGTAGCCTGGTTGAACAGGCGACAAGTCAAACTATACAACCAAGCCTTCGCCGACGAAGCCGGACGAGTTCGAAATCTAGTATCACCGGAGGGCAGCGGGATTTCCGACGTCCCATTTGGAGCCCGAGCACTTGAAAGTGGTGTCCAAGTCGACGGTATCTATACACCTGGACGGTACACACCTCGTCAGGGCAGTTTTCAACGGGATGCCGCTGGATCTCCAGTCTTGGGCATACCGACTCCATTGACTCCGACTGTGACTCGCGCAACTCAGTACGAACAGTACGAACAGCACGGTCCGTATTCGCCGCAGAAATGATTGTCGCCATCAAGCCGGTTGGAGTTGGAGAAGCTGTTTCTCGGAGCTCGCTCTTACGAAAGCCTCTCCCGGCATCCCAAACATTGATACGTCTATACTCGACCAAAACGGAATATCCGACACACATGCGAACCGTTATGATCAATTTTGTCTCTCTTTTTCTTGCTCCACGATGGTCAGTTGTCGAATTGTCTTGAAATATCCCTGTCAGGACCCTTCAAAATGTATAGTTAGAAAATTAGCAGTGAGGTCACAAAGACCTGGTTGGGTGAAAGCATATATTAGTATAGAATTGAAGGCATGATCTCAGGTCAATCAATGCAGATAGATACAGTGCAAATCAAAAAAGTCGACGACTGTGAAAGAGTAGTCATGGTCGTTGCTGATTGACAAGCTTAGTCTGCTTTAAAGGCACGTGACTTCGTGTCGTGGCGATGGCTACGAGACGCGTCCCCCCAAACACGAGAAAACACAACCACTATCAAGAGACGATAGAAACCGCCACCTTGCCGATCAATATTTCGAGCGTCTCTGAGAAATTCCTCGAGATACAAGTTGTTATAAAATTCTCAACTGCCCTTCTTGACTGTACAAGAACTCAACCTTTGGACGCGTCGGTGTTGTCCTCGAATCTAGTGACTCGTCAGGCTGTTGCAGCACAAGCAATTCAACCAACGATCTAAACAGGAACTATCCAATATGACTGCCGATATAGAACAACAACCACAAGAATATGATGACGGCGGTCTGCCAGGTCCTGGAGCCCCAACGCCGCTTTCAGCTCTTGAGGTGAGTTTCCTAGCATTTGTGTATTAGGTTGCGGGGAGAGAATTTGACAGTACATGTAGGGCGTTGCAGGTTTGACTGCACGAGATATTAAGCTCATCGTCGATGGTGGCTTTCATACTGTGGAGTCGGTTGCGTACACGTGAGTATTGGCATGATCCATAGGCTTACATGTATTGACAAATACCAGTCCTAAGCGTGTGCTTGAGCAGATCAAAGGTATCTCAGAGCAGAAAGCGACGAAGATCTTAGCGGAGGGTCAGCGGGTTCTGTCAATCTCTACATATCAACAGTCACTGATGAACATGATTTAGCTTCCAAACTCGTCCCTATGGGGTTCACAACGGCTACGGAAATGCATGCACGTCGAAGCGAGCTTATATCCATTACGACTGGATCAAAACAACTAGACACACTACTCGCCGGAGGTATTGAGACGGGATCTATAACCGAGATATTTGGAGAATTCAGGACGGGAAAGAGTCAGCTTTGTCACACACTGGCAGTCACTTGCCAATTGCCATTCGATATGGGTGGCGGCGAAGGAAAATGTCTCTATATTGATACTGAAGGCACCTTTCGTCCCGTGCGATTACTTGCCGTTGCCCAACGATATGGCCTCGTCGGAGAAGAAGTACTAGACAACGTCGCATATGCTCGCGCCTACAACTCGGATCATCAACTACAGCTTCTCAACCAGGCATCTCAGATGATGTGTGAGACCCGCTTCTCGCTTTTGATTGTCGACTCAGCAACCGCGCTTTACCGAACCGATTTCAATGGTCGTGGTGAGTTGTCCAATCGTCAAACTCATTTAGCCAAGTTCTTGCGTACCTTGCAGCGACTCGCGGATGAATTTGGAATTGCAGTCGTGATTACAAACCAAGTTGTCTCGCAGGTCGATGGTGGCCCAAGTTCAATGTATAACCCTGATCCTAAGAAACCCATCGGTGGTAATATCATTGCCCATGCAAGCACGACTCGTTTAAGCTTGAAGAAGGGTCGAGGCGAGACTAGAATATGCAAAATTTACGACAGTCCCTGTCTACCTGAGAGTGACTGTCTGTTCGCGATTAGGGAGGATGGTATTGGTGATCCTAGCCCGAAGGATCTGGAGAATGAGTAGTTGATGAGCGATTGTTTTGTGATTCAGCTACTGCCGATGAGGATACATATTTTCATGCTGTTATGTCTATTTATGTCTTGTCATGCTCGCATAGCTAGGCGGTGTTAGACTGCAAATATACCTAGAAGTAATAATAAACTATTGACAAATAGGTAGAAAAAGATGAAGCTCTTAGTTAATATTGTACCTGGCTGAGGCTTGGCGCTTTCCCCACAAGCGGCGACGCGCTAAAGCGTTCTTGTTTTAGTGAGACTTTGAGCTTTCGAATCTGGACATCCGCAAGCTCTCCGCCACGACAATTCTTTGGCAAGAAATGACAACGACGTGGCTGGTGAGCATGGCATAAATTCTTCTACAAGCAATATTTGCGCGCCATCTACTGCCAGTCCTCAGTCATCACGACAAACATGGCGATAATTTACAAGGAGACAAAGGTCGATGTGCGACCCGTCGAAGCAAACGCCATCGTCGACATCGAAATCCCTACAGCAGAAAACGCGCAGCGACGAGTCAGAGTATCTCTGTCCTCGGGGGCAGCGCGAGCTGACAGCACACCGATCAAGGACGACGAGGATTTCGCCAGAAGATACCTAGCTACCCAAGGCTCGATCTATTTTCGCCAGCGAAAGATTTACCCGCGCACTTTCTTGTGGAGGGTAGTCAACGACAGCACTGTGCTAGAGATTCAATCGGCGGATGTCTCAAAAAGTATCGTGGATAAACATGAGGCAAATCTCACACTTCGCCTAGATTTTCAAGAGGCTATTATACCATCTGGAGTTGCGCTGGCCGATACCGAGGATCACGAAGTGCTCAATGTTTTTGTTCTCACAACCTCGAGACGTCTTCACACAATAACACTCCGACCAGAGTTTTTCCGACGTTTTTCATCGATAGACGAGAATATTCAAGATTGGTGCAAATCTTTTATACCATCACCTCTAACTTTCACAAACCCTCATCGCTTGCATGCATGCAGCACAACTGCATTGTTTATTGCATTGGACAGTGGCGCCCTACTTSGGTTGACGAGACGAGCCGGTGATGATGGTTAGTTGCATTTTTCGCTGTACGAATTCTCTCTAACAATAGGATTTATAGGATCGCACTGGTCGCAAATCACTTTCGACGAAAAAACTTGGGGGGCATCACTTCGTGGTTACGTACCATGGTCGAGTGCACAGCGCATTTCGTACGATGGTCGCAGTCTTGATCCTATGACCCCGAACTCCATCGCTACCACGTCGGATCAGACCTACGTCTTTGCAGTCTGCTTGAATCATACATTGAAGGTCTGGAATCTCGCGACAAATAAGTTGGTAGGCACAAAAGATCTTCTCGATCGACCATTGCCAAAGCAACAATCGGATTCTACGGCATACTTCTTGAACCCAGCGGATTCAGTCTTTTTGCGAGTCTTTAACGCCGAGCGAGCGTTGGACGGAGGATACCGTTACTATGTTGCCACATACACACCTCATGAGATGGGACAATTCAAGTTCTGGGCAGTGAAAGGAGGTCTGACTACGCCATTGACCATTGAAGATTTATTCCCACAAAAAGTTTTCAGACCGTCGGATCCCGATTCCACGGGCAATATGTTTTGGACTGTTGCGGACTTTCAAATACGGCCAATGGAAGAAGGAACGAGAATGGAACTGTGGGTGCTTTGGCGAAACAACGGCCTATACCAACTCTACACTCTGCACTTTGGTTTCGAGAGTCTTGAGCAAGATTGGTCCTCAAACTGGACATCAACCGCTTGGGACTCTCGGCGAAACGAACCAGCTCCTGCTCTGGTGGTTTCGGACGTTGTCGACCCGACAGAGAAATGGATCGAGTATTTTTTCCATCCTGGACGCTACACAGTCGAAACTTTGGAATTTGCCCTTACTTCTTACCAAGAAGCGCTCAAGCCACGAACATCCGCTACTTTCCTCAAACGGAGTGCACCCCTGCAAGAACGGCTATGCTCTGCTATAACTGCATCCGTTTCGTTGAGGAAATACGCAGAAGACGATATGGACTACGCTAAGTATCGAACAGACACTGACCACAAATGGCGACAGTTCTGGCAAGTTGTCGAAGAAGTTCACAACAGAAGACTTGAGCCGGTCTCTTTGGCATATGATACCTATAGTGATCTACCGTGGGTGGTCACTACAGACGCATGTGCTTTGATTCGGGAATGCAGCGCGACAGAATTGCTGTTGCATAACTCTAAGTTGAATCTTGAACGTGAGCTGCCTATGATTGCTGATCGTTGGCGACACCGCAAACTCGAGACGGAAGTCGGCAACCGATCCGCTGATTCGTGTCATATCATCAAGGTTGCTGCCGACTTCAGACAGCGCCTCCCTGCTACAGCATTACGTACTTTTGAGGAGGCTTTGTACAGCGAGATTTTCTTAGAGCCTCTGCTTTCAACGACGGAACGATTAGCAAGTTTCATTGACCAGTCAGAACTGTCGGAACATGTCTCAGATGACATGTATAATGGTCTCTGTGCCGCGATGAATAAGCAGATCAATATCTACCAACTACCCAAAGAACCTTTCCAGATTATTCTTGATACGCTTTTTAGGAGATTCATAGAGAAAGACTCCGAGTTATCATTCACCGCATTTGGAGCGAAAGTTCTAACAAATGGCTCTCAAGAAGCTATATCCCAGATACGTCGCTTGTTGCATGATCTGCTCATTCTGGTTGTATTTGTCGAAGGTGAGATAAGCCAGGAGCAGGGATCATCGTTTGATGCAGCAGAGTTATTCCCTATCCTCATTGATCTCATCAAAGAGTGCGAATTGCTACACTGGTTGGGCTCCCATACTCGAGTATCGCCTGACCGCAGCGACTACGAATCTGGCGATGTGCGTGCACAATCTAAGAGAATCGGTGCTGTGGATACGGTCCTTCGGGATCTTTTCGTACCGCGCATCCTGCCACACCCGCACGTCAATCTCCCTCAGAGCTTCACGTTGACAAAGAGCATCTCTGATCTTATGTCTTGGGTTGTTCGCGCAGGACTTGTCACTCGAGATCATGCCTTGGTACATATTCAATGCGATCTCATAGCACATGGCAACCTCGAATTGGCTAGTGACTTTTTGAAATTTCAGCCCAGCGATGCCTGGTCTAATTATATCAAGGGCAGACTGTTTGTAGCTAGGGGAGAATTCAATACAGCAGCAATACATTTCCAAAAGGCTGCATATCAACTTGGTAAGTTTCAAAAATGCGTACGTATGAAAATTCTGCTAACGCGACATAGCTTTCGGAAGGCCTCTTGGGGATTTGACATATATGTCATCTGGCCTGCTTGACCTGCTTTCTGCGGATCAATTTAATAATGGCCTACCAAAGTACTACCAACACATACTGAGCCTGTTTGAAAAGGCCGGCTCATTCTCACATGTTGCGGACTTTGCGTCTTTGTCGCTGCAAGCACTGGAGTCTGATCCTCATAAAGTAACAGATGACCCTGATTATGACGGTCTTCGAATGGATGTACTGTCTCGCATGTTTCATGCTTCTTTACGAACATGTCAATTTGATAAGGCCTACTCAGCGCTTTCCCGCTACACAAACCTCCCATTGCAAAAGTCTGCGCTCGGTTTATTGATCAAGGCCATTCTTTCGGCGTACGGGTCCGGAACATCGGGTCTTGAACAGCTACTTCATTTTCCGCTATGGCTCACACCTAATTTCTCCTCTTATGTTGATGAAACACTCTTGTCTCTTGCTCGCAAACAGACTTCCTTTAGTTCATCTCTCGACGGTGATGCATGGGAAAGCAACTATACTCCAGACTATCACCGAATTCTGCACGCCTACCGTATTGCGCGCAATGATCTACGTGGCGCAGCGGAATTGGGTTATCAAACCGTGCAGCGATTGCGATATGCCAGAGACTCTCCAATTGCACAGCGGGCGCTTATTCGGCGTGGCAAAGTGGATGAAGAGGAGTCCAAGCGCATGGTTGAAGAGGATGATATTGAGAGTAAGGAAATCCGACACGAACTACTCTCGTTGATCAATCTCTTGGCGTGTGTCGACAAGTCCGAGGCGTATATCTTGGTTGATCTCGATGCTGTCATTCCTGCAACGGCGCCTGCAGTTGGCGAGGCAGAAACGCCTGGGAAACGACATGCCGATGATGATGATGATGTGTTTATGGACGACGGCACCCCATCCAAGGCTCCGTCTGGAAGTTTCTCTCAACGACGCCGGAGCAGCGGTGCTGTCTCAATGGACAGTGCCAGACTGACGCTTACCAACAACAACAATAACAAACACAAACCCAGTCCACGGCGCGTCATTGTCACTCTCGAGCAACTGCGGCGCGAATACCAATCAGAGCTCGACCGTGTAAGTCGAATTCAGCGCGGCGACTGGGAGTTTGGGGTTGATGAATATGAGGGCATTGAAGGGGGGGCTATGGATGAATCTTTGCTGGACTTTTAGATAAAATCTTGTTCTGTATACTGCACAAGCGTGGTTTGGTTTGTTTCAGGCTGGGAATGTTTGGATAATTGAATAGATGAAATACCTTACTATGTATGCACATACAGTATGTGGAAGGCTGAATAGATGCTCTATTTTTGGTCCTTACAAGCTTTGCCAAGCTTTCTTCGTGTGACCAATCATGCGCATTTTATTTCTTTTTCCTTTCTTCGCATGATCCACGCGAGAAATCGGAGATCACAGAGATTAGAGATCAATCATTCTTTCATGCCGAAGAGCACGATGACCGTAGCGTCCCGAGTCCCGACTAACTCCGCTACCTCCCCGATCTCTGTGGTCAACAATCCGATCAGTTCGCTTCGTCTTCTATACATGACGTCATATCTCGAATGACGGCTTCTTCATCAGACACACTACTAAGTTAGGAGTACGTACAACGGAATACAGACTATCGTGCGCAGCAGATCTGGAATGCAGCCATGTATACGTATACCAGTGACTGGCAAAATCTTATACTTTTCTTGTAAAAAGACAGCTATGAGCGGATATATATCCTAGATGGAGGCGTACTCGGCAACGTCGGCACTTGGTCCGGTCGCGCTCCCGATTTACGGCTGTCGATGAGCTTGCGTACTCATTTTTTTCTTTCCTCGCTTCTACAAGTATAAATATTCATCTCTGTGGAAGGCATTACGTCGTTTTCTCTGTTTGTTCATTGAGATCATTCGATATGTGTTCCCGTATATAATCGAGATCTCACCGTCGACGCCATACAATATACCAACTATTTACCCGTGAATGTGATATAGTTATCGACCCGAAAAAACAACATGCCAATCCTCCAACCCATCACAACAGACTCCTCCGAGGACAGCGACTCCTCCTCCTCCCAATCTCCCCGGCCCGCATTCCACAACACCCGCACTCGCGAATCGCACTACAGCATCCAAAGCTATGGCGAAGACGCCGTGCCCATCCCCGACCATGTCGCTCCATTAGAACTCGAAAAGACCAACACCGCGGGCTCGACTTCCTCGCGATTCAATCAACGCGCCCAATCCATGGTGTCGCGCATTCGAAGTCGAGATCCGGGACAAATCGCAAAGTTCACGCATCCGTTGTCGCATACGAAGACGGGTTCGGATGTATTGGTTGATTTTGATGGGGTGGATGATCCGTATCATCCGAAGAATTGGGGGTTCAGGAAGAAGTGCATTACAACGGTGTTGTATGGAATGACTACTATGGGTATGCAGAGTACTCCTACGAGCTTTGGAATATCCTGACTGATCTGTTTCTCGGATAGGCGCAACTTTAGCAAGTGCCATGTACGTATGCTTTTCGAGGTTGATTTGCTACGTCTAACGAATATAGATACACACCCGGCACACAACAAATCAGTGCCGAATTCCACGTCGGCACAGAAGTCAGCCTCTTGGGTCTTACTCTCTTACTGCTAGGCTTCGGCTTCGGCCCTCTCCTCTGGGCCCCCCTCTCCGAACTCTACGGCCGCAAAGCAGCCGTCATGACACCCTATTTTATTGCTGGCATATTCGCATTTGGCACCGCAACGGCAAAGGATATTCAGACCGTGCTGATTACGAGATTCTTCACCGGGTTTTTCGGGTCGGCGCCTGTCACCAACACGGGTGGTGTGTTGGGCGATATTTGGTCGCCGCAGCAGAGGGGTGCGGCGATTGTGGGATATGCGATGGCTGTTGTAGGTGGACCGACGCTTGGCCCGATTATTGGGGGTGCGGTTTGCCAGAGTTATTTGGGGTGGAGGTGGACTCAATACGTCAGTACCCTTAAGTATCTGTCAGTACCTGTGTAGCATGCTAATGGCATACAGCTCACCGGCATATACATGCTGTTCATTTTGACATTGGATATCATCTTCCTCGACGAATCCTACCCGCCCGTCCTCCTCGTCTACAAAGCCCAACGCCTCCGCCATGAGACAGGCAACTGGGCCCTGCACGCCAAACACGAAGAATGGGACGTCAGCGTCAACGAAATGGCAAACAAGTACCTGGTACGCCCATTTGCGTTGCTCAGTACACCCATCTGTTTCGCCGTTGCGCTGTACGCTTCTTTCGTGTATGGTATCTTGTACCTGAATCTCGCTGCATTTCCGATTGAGTTCATAGATGAGCGCGGCTGGGGCCAGGTCGTGGGTGAATTGCCCTTTTTATCGATGCTGGTCGGTATCATGATCGGTGCAGGCGTCAATCTGCTCAATCAAAAGTTTTATATTAGTCGGTTCAAGAAGAACAACAACCGTCCTGTCCCCGAAGCTCGACTCCCACCTATGATGATCGGTTCTATTGTCTTTGCCGCTGGCATGTTCATATTCGCCTGGACATCCAGCAAAAGCATACACTGGATTGGCCCCGTTATCGGCGCTGCATGCATGGGATTAGGGTTCTTCACCATCTTCCAAGCAGCCATCAACTATCTGGTAGACACATTCCCACTTACTGCCGCCTCCGCCATCGCAGCCAATACCTGTCTACGAAGTATATTCGCAGCTGCATTTCCCTTATTCACGGATGCGATGTATAATAATTTGGGCATTGATTGGGCGGCGAGTACACTGGGGTTTATCTCGGTTGCGTTGATTCCGATTCCGTTTTTGTTTTATGTTTTTGGGAAGAGGCTTAGGGCTAGAGGGAAGTGGTCGCGGGCTTCGGTTTATGAGTAGTTCGAGCGTCGTGGTTGTATATACCTTTTATTCGTTGTATATGGACTTGCACCCTTCTAGTCCGGCATATATTTCACTACCAATATATAATGATAATGAACATCTTTTCAGGGACGGATCTTGAGCAAACTTCAATATATGGATACGCTTAGGCATCCGCTTCATTCGTATCTATTCTACATACAACGTACTCATAATCCATCTAGATGCATCTTTGTCATATTAATAAGCACCCCAAAATAGATATTTTTATGCGCAATGCAGATATGAAACAAAGACTATGCAACCTCAGGATGCGAAGTGTGCCACTTGCGCATTGCCTCCCTAGCAGCCGTCACCTTGAGACCAATCCTCGTATCGAGATCATATGACTCCCATTTCGCCGCCTTTTCGAGATGCTCATCGCACTCCTGGACTTGTTTCCTTTCAGCCGAAACGATCTCGTCCTCCGACGCTTCTTTTTCTGCGGGCTCCGGATCCCAGGGCGAGGCATGCGTGGGTACGTAGCTGGGCCGCTCCATCCATAGATTAGCCGCAAGCTCAAAATGGGCTGCGGGGAGAACCCAGTTATCGCGTAGATGGCCCTTGAAAATGTTCTTGTCAAGGACCAGGATATTTTGTTTCAAAATCTCCTTTGCCTCTGCGTGCTTGCGTTGTGCGCGCAAGATGGCGGCTCGGAGGAGTTGGGAAATAGCCTTCTCGTCTTCCTCCGGATGTAAAACGTCCTCTTCTGATTGATCGAGTCGACGAAGGGACTCTTGCAGTCCCTCCGCTCCCATGCGGCTGTACCCATTCCAGAGGAAGTTCATTTCTTCGATCGGATCGACTCCCACAGCGTCAACGAGATCTACTTTCAGTCCCTTGGCGCGGGCTTCCCACTTCGCGATTTTGCGTGTAACGAAGACTTCGAATGGGAGCTGGCGGGCCATTAGGCGCTTTTTGCCTGCTACTGTTGGTGCTTTGCGAATGCATTCTGTAGCCTTTTCAGCGTATATTTTGGCCGCAGCTGGGTCGGTGTCGGATGTCCGGCGGTATAGAATCACATAGGCAGATCCGGCAATGTAGTAATACAGAGCAGGCGACCAAGAGTTGAGATCAACGCACTAATTGAGTCAGAAAATTTTCATCAACGCTTAGTGGAATACTAACCTCTAAGAAAAACTTGGCACAGTCCTCGTAGTTGTGCAAGAACATCGAGTCCATACTCTTCTCAAACGCCTGCAAAGCCTCGACCTGCTTTAGTGGACTCTTTTTGCTGTTCTTCAGCATATCCACAGCGCCTTCGACATCGCGGTGACCGCTCTTCATTCGAGCTTCTTCAAGAAGCCACAGCTGGCTGTTGGGGTATCGCGTCCTCATCGTAATGAGTAGCGTCTTCAAACGATCTGTGGGATAGCCTTCGATTCCCAAGTCGTCACCCTCAGTGGCATCAGGAATGATATCCAGTAACCGCACAAATCCGTTGTAGTAACCTAGGATTCCAAGTCCAGCAACAGCTCCAATCAGAGTGCTAGACTTGCTCGCTTGCCAAAGCATACGCAAACCTCGCTCTTTATCGCCTCGAAACCCGACAATTGCGAGCAAGCGACTGAATGTGGGTGGAAGCGTGGAAAGCATTGCAAGTAACATACCCAGACACAAGCTGGCACCGGTATGAATGAATGTATCGATGGGATGACTGAAAAGATCAGCCAATTCTGGATCATGTGTAAGACTTTCGCCTAACGGTGTACCCGGCTCGCTTGAATGAGTGGAAGCGGGTTCACTGTGAGGTTCGTCGTCTGTCAATTTGAGTTCTGCGATGCTTTTATGCAGATCCTGATCGGATTTGCTGATATGCGCGCCAGCTGGCCTCGGTTTTGGTCTTACGGGTGATTTCTCAACCAACAAAGCTGCCGGAGCGGTTCGAGCTTTGCGAGTTTGCAGATAGCGTTCCTCCATGCGCACAATTCCGTCCAAAGTAGCGTATGCCTTTCGCATTTTGTAAAACCCCTTCAAACTCTCTGTAAGGCTCTCGTTGAGTACTCCGACGACGGCAGTCATGATCTGCGCCATTGCTTGGCAGAGGGCATACTCCGTGCCTACATCGTAGATTTTAGAATGGAAAGCATCGGGCGCGCTCGAGGTGTGGGCTACTCGCTGTTGGTCGTTGTATGCACTGGTTTCAGCATCCGAGAGCCGCTCGGCAGCTACAACATTTAGTCTCATACTTGGAAAGCGAAGGATGAAGCCTACCTTCGCGCATTATCTCCTGTTCAAACCCGAGTAGAGCGCGGAGGAAGCCAACAACGCCTTTTCCTGTCTAAACTATATTAGAGATACAAATAACTGCTTGACCGGACGAACATTATACCTTGTGGAAAGATGAGTCACCGTTACTGAGACCATTCTCGGCGCCATCGACATCGTCATCCAGAATGAGTGTGGCCGCTAATAATCGTGTTAACTCTGCCTTTGTTTCGTCAACAGATTGTCATGAGTGTACCTTCCAATGCCTGCTCAACTGCATTCCAATAACTACATGTCAGCCAATTGTCCAATACAAGTACACGTAGACAGATTACTGACGGTCTTGGATTTGCGTCGCCAACTCCAGAGCGAGCGGCGACGCAGCGTCAGGTTTGCGGCCATACAGCCACGATCCCATGCGATTCATATTGATGCTCTCGCTTATTGTCTCGTGGTGGTGATAAGGCACGCGACAGGCAAATTACCTGCAGCGGAACGATGATGTCAGGTATACCGGTAGTCAATTCCTCTCATCCACACGAAGTGCATTCAAGGTACACGAGGAGCTGAGAGAATCAAGCAAATGCTCATAGCCATGGGTATGTTAATGGTGATGATCAAATACCCCTAGTCCAGAATCGTACGCGAGGGTATTGCCAAAATCTTATAGAAAGGCAGTGGTTGATAAGAACAGGAAAAACGAGGGCGGATACCTCGGATGGTAGCGGACTTAAGAGCTAGCTCCCGGTATGTATGGTTGATGGTTGATGGTAATGATGGAGTCCTCCGAGGCGAGTGGCGAGAAGAGAGAAGAAGCGGGAGAGGAGGAGAAGAAGAAATGTAGAGGAAATGTCCAAGGCTGCGTATATAAGAGTTCGTGGTACAGGCGATGGGGCTGACTCGGCCTGACAATGACTGATAGCAGGACAGCGTCAAGACTAGCAAGGGATTAGTGAGCTAGCCTGGTGGCGGAGAGCTGAGAAGAGACGGATCAGAAACGCTGCCCCTCGTATGCATGAGCCACTAGAAGTATATCTTTGGCGAGTTTGTTGTATGTACAAATGGACGAAAACTTATGAAATTGTTTCGATATCAAGTAAGTGAGCAAGTGAGCAAACAAGTAGGTAGGTTCAAGATCGCCGTGCATAAACGAGATCTAGATAGCTCAGGTGCCAGCCAATCAGCGCCTGGCGTCGGAGCTGCCTTAGGTTCGTGGCACGCACCGGCCGTAACTGACCGCTTTCCCTCTCATTCGGCAGACTGACGGCATCATCTCTAGTATCACATCAACAACTAGCTACTCTCTACACATACTCCTGCATTCAATCACCAACAGAGCATCCCAGTGACTTTCGACTATTATCCATTTGGTACAAAAGACTCGCGACGATAGTGTGCTTGACTCACGCCTCTCCCACGCCCGTCCATCCTCACATCATCACCATCCCCGCAATGTCAGACACCAGCAAGGCGCAAGCCGAAACTACACAACCAACTCAACAAAAGAAGACCACGCAAGTGTTAGAGGAGGACGATGAATTCGAAGACTTTCCGGTAGAGGGTGAGATATGTTCCCGCTTTAGTGTAGCACTAGTTGCTAGGTGCACGGAGCTTTGAAATCACCTTTTATGGCAGGACACTGAACTAACGATTGTGGATGACTAGACTGGCCACAAGAAGAAACTGAGCAGGGACAAGGTTCGAATGCAAATGGCGCCAACACACATCTCTGGGAAGAGAGCTGGGACGACGATGACGAGAGTGAAGATTTCTCTAAACAGCTCAAGTACGCTGCCACTTTCTCTTTCTCTCTTCTTATTACAGGAGTGATCTTTTTTCCCCACGGTTATTAACACTCTTCTTACAGGGAGGAAATGAAGAAAGTTGAAGGCGCCAAATAGACGAGAAGCCCGCGAGTGGTGGTACGTGGCACAAAGAGAAACACTTTGGGAGGAGAAATCCTATATAGAGGCCGAGCTTCGATTGAGTCGAGACTCGAAAGACATTGGATCGATGAACTTCCTTGTGGAATATGAAGCATGAAATGTCAGGTATCGGATTACTACTAATGACTACTATAAATCATCATGACGAACATATCATTTCACTTGACACGGACAATTTGTCTTATCATAGGGCAAAGCAACATCTTTTCGATGTAGAGTATGATTAAAGACTTGATGCAGTTTTTTCTGCGTTTCAGAACAAATATCAGAAATTGAGCCCCAAGACAGATTGGTATTCATTTTCATTCGCTCGAGACAGGATCTAAATAGAGCATTTCCAAACTTTGCATTGTGGAAACGACTCGAACATGGAAAACAGAGAAAAGAATTGTATTATATATTTGAACATTCGCCACCATCTCCATCACTCTACTTTTGAAGAGTTTACTTACTTGACAAAGCCGAAACACCAGGCAAATCCTTACCCTCCAACAGTTCCAAAGAAGCACCACCACCAGTCGAGACATGGCTCAACTTGTCCTCAACCTTGTACTTGGCTGCAACGGTAGCAGTGTCACCACCGCCAATAATGACGATAGTCCCCGACTGAGCAGCCGCAACGGCAGCGTCGAGGGTAGCCTTTGTTCCGCTGGCGAAGGGCTCCAACTCAAAGACACCGCAAGGACCGTTCCAGAGGATCGTCTTAGCTTCACCGATAGCCTTCTTGTAGGATTCGACACTCTTGGGACCGACATCAAGACCAAGCCAGCCGTCGGGAATACCTTCGGCGTCGGTGGCACTGCCGACCTCGGCATCGGCGCCGAATTTGCTAGCGGTAACGTAGTCGACGGGCAGGATAACTTCGACGTTGTGCTTCTTGGCTTTTTCAATAATATCGCCAACGGTCTTGCTGCCGGCCTCATCGAAGAGGGAGTTACCGATCTTAACGTTCTCAAGGGTCTTCTTAAAGGTGAAAGCCATACCACCGGTGATGATTAGGCTATTGACTTTGGGGAGAAGGTTATCGATGAGCTGAATCTTATCAGAAACCTTGGAACCTCCGAGAATAGCGAGGAAGGGGCGCTTGGGGCTCTCCAAGGCCTGAGCAAAGTAATCAAGTTCCTTCTTCACGAGGAAACCGGCAGCCTTTTGGGGGAGGTCAATTCCGACCATGGAGCTGTGAGCACGGTGGGCGGTTCCGAAAGCGTCATCTTCTGCATGTTAGTTTTCATACACGAGCGAAAAAGTAGGACTTAGGCTCCTTACTGATATAAACATCCCCAAGAGCAGTTAATGCCTTCCTGAATTCCTCAACCTTGGCCTTGTCGGCCTTGACCTTGTTACCCTGCTCATCCTTGGAGCTACCTTCCTCCTCAGCGTGGAATCGCAAGTTCTCCAACAAAATGACCTGACCACCGGAGGCCTTGTTGACAATTTCCTCTGTCTCAGGGCCAACACAGTCCTTTGTGAAGATGACGCTGCGACCGAGGAGCTTCTCGAGCTCGGGGACAACGGGCTGCAAGCTGTATTTGGCGTTAACTTTGCCGTCGGGACGACCAAGGTGAGACATCAAGATGACGGCCTTGGCGCCGTTGTCAATAGCATATTTGATGGTGGGCAAGGCACCGACAATTCGCTGGTTGTTGGTGACGTTCTTCTCGGCGTCGAGGGGGACGTTGAAATCGACCTGTACGGCTTATAAGCATTGACCTTGGAATTAATGTATATAACTCCTATTCAGAGCCTGATATATCTTACGCGAATGAGGACACGCTTGTCCTTGACGTCGACGTCGGTGATAGCAAGCTTGTTGGAGAGAGACATGTTGATGGTCTGATGTGATGACGTCGTAGAAGGTGAGCTGACGGGAGTCTTCAAAGCTTTCCTTCACGGCTCAATGAGTATTTTGTGACTTGGAATAGGGAGAGCTGTAGAGAATTGATAAGAGAGAAGTCCTTTAGATTTGAGAATTGTTATATTTCATCAAGAGCGAGAGCATAAATTGTTGCTAGCGGGGTACTTCAACGCAAAGAATCCTCTGGTGGGGCTTCGGTGAGACGGTCGACAGATCGGGCTGATGCGGGACTGATGCCAATACTCGTCTCGTGGAGAGCTGTGTATAGCTACCAGTTGCTCAATCAGAATACCGGATCGGATCGGGTCGATTTTCCCTTTGATGTTCCTAGGCGAAATATCCGAGGATGGACATCATGGGGTCTGGGCACTTAGGGCTTGTATGTAATGGGCATCGGAACTGTACTATGTATAAACCGAGGCAATGGAGCTCAAATGACAATCAATTGATAATAGTTTCAAAACGCCATTAAGAATACATAGAACGCCTTGGAAAATCCCTTCACTAACATGCCCTACCTATAAAACGCATTGTGTCAAAATTTCTTTTTGAGTTGTAGATCAGCAAATCCCACTATAATTGTAGAACGCCCCGTCTATCCCGCAATAGTATAAGCCCCTGGCGCAGATGCTCGAATCAAATGCCAATTGTCAAGGACGCTTCCCAAACTCAGCCATGTGGATGACCCCAATTTCCGAAGCAAAACATAGAAATTTACTCCTCTTCGGACGAGTTGGTGAGCGACAGGTATGCTGTCCATGCAATTCCCACAGTGGAGACGAATGGCTATACCACCTGTTAGAAGGCTTCTTGGCGATGATTAGACAAATGGACTTACAATCTGAAATTGAATGGGAACGACACGGAAGTTGAGAACCTGGACTGCAGGCCATAGAATAAAGTTGGCCTTCAATGTAGGCAGGTAGACATCACGGAACTTGTTCATCAGTGCCCTTCGACCTCCACCTTCAGCTAGTGTCATGAAAGTGAAGAAGCAGAATAGACCTATTAGACCGTCAGTATTAAATGGGCACGGCGACAGCTGCAAGATACGTACCGAAAGGTGCAAACATAAGCTGATCAACAGCAACTCTCTTAAATGCAGGACCAGTTGCCGATGTTTTTGTGATAGGGAAGGCGCGCGATAGGAATCGGAACCATTGAAATTGAATAGGAGCCATGAAGAAACCGTACGCCATGAATCGTGTCAATCGTTCAAAATCAAATGGTGCAGGCCGATTCTTCGCATATCCCAGCTCGCCCCATTGAGGAGGCTTCTCTTTGTCAAAATCTTGTATTTCGATTGATATAACTCCGCTATCTGGGTCTACCGATCGCTTCATAGATCGCATCCGAAACGCTGTAATTGTCTGTGCCACTGTATCTGCGATTCCACCGAGAACCTAACGCGATGTTTAGTATGTGCGTCATCATCGTCCAGGATATGGTTTTTGCAAAAAACTTACGGCGTTCGTCACCATCGTTGTTAACACTATGACCAACAGTTAGCTTAAGAAGTAGAAGTTAAAAGTAGCACAAAGCCGACTTGCCTGGCCTGTCTGCATAGTAAGAATTGAATTTGGCTGCTAGCCTCATGGTAACCGCCATCTCGATGAGGAACAGAAGTGTGTGCAGCAGGGGCTATGTCATTATAGAAGCAAATCGTTAGTAAGGGGAAGACAAAAAGGGTGTCTCTATAGAATAGACAAACATACCAAACGTCCATAGATGTACCTTCGGTTCAACCCATTCAAAGCCCTCCGGCGAGTGGTATCAATGCGGTCAAGCAAGTTGGAAGACATCGCGAGGAGTGTGTCGTTCGTCGAAGCCTCTGGAAATCGAATGCTAAATATGGGCCGGCAACCTCACGATGACGCAGATAACTGATAAGGCTCTAAGGCAGAAATGTCTAGACGCCGACCGGGCGGGGCCGCTTGATACCTAGGATTAAGGACACTGATGGCTGCGGTGACCCCAGAATTAGTATGGCATACGAACCGGTCGCTGTTGAGTTGTATCTTCTCGAAGATAGACACGGCGTCTATATATGGCAGGTAAGATTGAAGGATGACTCTGATGAAGAGAATAGAGAAAGGATGATGGTTGACAGGTTGCATAGTCACAAAGTCTGGGGCGTCTCATCTGAGGGCCAAAAAGGGCGAGAGGCCGCTTAGTTGACGAATCATGGCGCCCTATGCTGGCGCCTAGCGGGTGGCTTGCTGGCCTTGGCATCAAGGTCGCTTACTATGTACATAGATCAATTATTTTGCTCCTTCCTCGTAAACATCATGGGTATCTTATTCGATCACAGACTGCTCTACACATCATACAGGACATAGCCTTCATCAAACGTACATACATATATACACGCAGAAAGATCCCTTCGCGATCCTACTTGACCGCCACGATGTCGGGAAGGTCTCTAATATCTATCGTCTCATTCGTGTTCATATCAACAAGTCGGATTGCTTCCAGATGAAGTGCGCCAGTCGCTAGAGGGAGGAGAATAATTTCGGTGGAATGACATGTGCCAGGAAGAAGCGGTCTATTAATTATAATTTGTTAGTACGTGACTGGGAATTGACGTTCACAGGAGGAACACAAGTGCTTACCCCAGTCGCAAGTCGGTACTTAGACAAACCAATTCTGCATCCTGCCCCGCTGCATTCTTTTGCATGGCATGGATAATGTTCTCATCTGTGACAGCCTCCGCCAACTCTTCATCCTTTTTGTCTTTCTTGCTGGAAATAGATGATGAGGATGGTCGCGCTACATGTCGGCGAAAGTCTACCCGTTTCCTTCGAGGAATTGCCATCATGGTGAATTTCCGAGGAGCGCGGGAGCGATTGACAATAAAGACATCCCACTGGAATGGCTTCCCAATCTCGACATTGACGGGTCCAGAAAATGAGATGGTAACTCCTCCTTGAGTGAAAGAATGAGCCCGCTCTCTGTAGGAACTTCGATTCACTGCGCCTGTAGACGGCGCTGCGCTTTGTCCAGAAGTCATGGACAAACTTGCAGGACGGTTGTTACGCTGCATGACCTGACTGGGCCCGCCGAAAGTAGGATTCAATGGAATAGAAAAGTCCACGTTTGTCCGCCATTGCATAAAAATTCGTGGTTGACATTCTTCTGTGAGCTTGATGACTCCTTCTAGGGAGATGTCGAGTGTGCTGACGAGGGCTGTTGTCGAAAAGTATGCATCCGGTCCATATTCAGGGACGAGTTTGTATATTAGGGTGACATCATCTCTAGGTCGTAATGTGATAGGAGGTTGAAGCTCGGGCACCCCCGATATATTTTCGACCTGTCCATCTGATAAAATAATCTCTGCCTTTTCAAAAACGACGTCACAACTTAAGAATGGCGTTACCTCTAGGTCGAGACTAGCAATTGTGATCGGTCGGCTGGAGAAGGTATTCATTTTGGAACACCGGATGCGTGCGCTGGCCGCCGGTACAATACGTATAGGATGTTGGCTTTGTTGCCATAAATTATAAACAGGCGCTTCCTTCTGCGCAGCAGGAATGACACGCAGTAGCCGGGACGCGGGGAGGTAGGGAGTGGTTGACTTGAGGGCGGGATCTGAAGATAGTGCCTGTAGAACATTTGCTGAGGCTGGCACAGTACGTGGGAGATATTCGTCGGTATGAAATGACTGATCGGAGGTGTCCGCTGCGTTCAACGAGGCCGCGGCCGAGAATGCAATGCATGGATGTTGTATGCGTATTCGGGGACGATCTGCTAGAGTCAGATTGAGTTTCTGGCTGCACTAGAGCGTATTGACTTACGAAGAAACGCATCGACTTTCCATATGACATAGACATGATTTCCGCTACCCTCGTCTCCTTCAAAAACGTTGACCACGACCAATGGGTCTTCCTTGTTATTCACATTTCCCGCAAATACCACATCCTTCGCCGGAGCCGGATCTTCTGGACCGGGCGGTGTCGGATTGAAGACAAGCGCATTCACACCCAGTTCTAATCGAGGTAGATGGGCTTTTAGTGCATTTTCGGAGCAATTTGATAGCCTCAGCACAACGCGTACGGTGACCGTTTCATCTAAGGAGTAATAAAACAGTTAGACTAGTCGCCGTGCAAGTCAAATTGATTGCATATACCAAAAAATAGCAATGAGCGCTGCGGAATCGCCGCCAGAACAGCGTCAAGATCTTCTGCGCCTCCTTCGAGCGCAGACGTTAAAGCTGCCTCGATGTCGACATTCGGATTATGGGGGACCACGGTCTCGAGGACGGCATGTCGTAGAAAGTCCCCATGCACACTGGGACCTGCCATTGCTAGGTTTCAAGGCTCATGATCAACCAGAAATATTTGATGCAAACACTAAATAAGCACTGTCGCAATATGTAGCATAAAGATTGTGTTTGTTGCTTCTTGATCTGTTCAGCATTTGTTTAGCTAGAGTTCAGTGTTCAGTGTATTGCTGGTGCAAACCATGCAAATACGTCCAAACTTCCCGCCTTGAGTGGGTCTAAGCTTAGCTGGTCCAATGTGGCTAGTGCACCTTAGGCGGCTGGAGTTTTTTGTGAGCGGTCGCGCCTTCTCCAGCGCTCCTTTCACAACTATATCGTTCAGATCTGCAATTCATCAGCACATCACGATGAATCCAGCCGGCAGTGCGCCTGGTGGCTCTAGCCTCTGGCAGGAGGCTCGGAATGCGGATGGCCGTGTCTACTACTACAATGTTCAGACGAAAGCAACACAGTGGGCAAAGCCAGCCGAGCTGTTGACTCCTGTCGAGGTAAGTCTTAAACAATCATTGAATACTTCTTCATGCTAATCATGCTTTACATATAGCGCGCTCTCTCGAGTCAGCCATGGAAGGAATATACTGCAGAAGGCGGAAGGAAATATTGGTACAACACTGAAACCAAGCAAAGCACTTGGGAAATGCCAGAAGTTTACAAAACCGCACTCGCGCAGGTTCCTTCTCCTTCCACGCAGCCAAGGTAGGTTATAATCATTACGACAAGTAGCATATATTTTCTAACGGCTCAATTTTCGATTTTAGTGCCCCCACACCAGTCGCAGGTGGTGCGCCAACATTCGTCGCTGGCGGAACTACCTCGTTTCCTCCTTACGGCCAGCACCGCGATCGGGATGATGGCGACCGCAGTGGACTTGATCGTCGCTCAGGCTACATAGGAATGGAAACAAATGGTTTCGTGACGGCTCAACAGACTGACCCAGAATACAGCTCGTTCGAAGAAGCCGAAAGCGTGTTCATCAAGCTTTTACGACGATCCAACGTCCAACCCGACTGGACCTGGGAGCAAGCAATGCGAGCCACCATCAGGGATCCTCAGTACCGTGCTTTAAAAGACCCTAAAGATCGCAGAGCCGCTTTTGATAAATTTGCGGCCGAAGTCCGTATGCAGGAACGGGATCGCGCGAAGGAAAGATTCGCCAAGCTGCGTACAGATTTCTATACAATGTTGAAAAGTCACCCGGAAATTAAACACTACAGCAGATGGAAGAGTATTCGGCCAATTATAGAGGGTGAGACTATTTTCAGATCCACCAATGATGAAAACGAGCGTCGCCAGCTTTTCGAAGAATATATTCTCGATCTTAAGAAGGCGCATGTGGAGCAAGAAGCCGTCACTCGCAAAGCAGCTATGGATGAACTCGTGAATATTCTGAAAGCGCTCGAGCTGGAACCATATGCCCGATGGTCTGAAGTGCAGAATGCGCTGCAGGCCAACGAAAGAATACAAAATGATGATAAGTTCAAGACCCTTAGCAAATCGGATATTCTGACCGCTTTCGAAAACCATATTAAGTCGCTTGAAAGAACTTTCAATGATGCGCGCCAGCAACACAAGGCTGCAAAGGCTCGAAGGGAGCGCCATAGCCGAGAGAAGTATTTGGAGCTCCTCAAAGAATTGCGTTCGCAAGGCAAGATAAAAGCCGGGGCCAAGTGGATGCAGATTCACCCGTTGATTCAGGATGATCCTCGGTATGTTGCAATGCTAGGCCAAAGTGGCTCCTCTCCTTTGGATTTGTTTTGGGATATGGTTGAGGAGGAGGAGAGGGCGCTACGAGGACCGCGAAACGATGTCCTCGACGTTCTTGATGTAAGTTTTTCGTCTGGGGCAATTTATTATCTGTCAAGAGACTGACATGTGGCTAGGATAAACGTTATGAGATCACAACTAAAACTACATATGAAGAGTTTGCATCTGTCATGGCTACTGACCGCCGTACAGCCGACATTGACACTGACATTCTGCAACTCATATTCCAGCGCGTGCAGGAGAAAGCTCAGCGACGCTCCGAGGATGAAAAACATGCAGCTGACCGTCACCAACGACGGGCTGTCGACGCCTTGCGTTCCCGTATCAAGCATTTAGAGCCTCCTGTACGACTAGGCGATACATGGGAACAAGTTCGACCAAGAGTTGAAAATTTCGAAGAGTACACTGCCCTCGAAACCGATGATTTACGTCTAAGCGCATTTGAAAAGTTTATGCGTCGCCTAAAAGAAAAAGAAGACGATGCCGAGAGGGACCGTGAGCGAGAGCGAGACCGCGGTTCTCGACGTGGTGACCATCATGAGCGTTTGGATAGGGACTCGAGGAATGGTTCGTATCGTTCCGATCGCAGAGTGAGACCTAGTCGCACCCCCGATCCCGATCCTTACGAAGCAGATCGTCGCAAAGCGCAGGCAGACCGTGAACGTTCTTACCGCAAAGTAAGCGGCCTATCTCCGGTGCGCGAAAGACGGGATGACCGCGAGCGAACCCGTGACAAAGAGCGCGAAAGAGATCGTGATCGCGGCGATCGACGCGGACTCAGTCACTACGACCGCGAGCGCCGCAACCGAGAAGAAGAGCGCGAACGACTCTATCGGACCCGTGGCGACCCACGCGGCAGTCGTGATGAGTTGGACTATGGTGGAGATACGCGTAGCACAGTAAGTAGTGACCGTCGTCGTAGACGTGACAGCGATGCAGAAAGTGTCGCCAGCCGCAGCGCCAAACGATACAGACGTGACGAACGCGAGAAAGAGCGCTCTCGGGACCGCAGCCACCGCGACAGAGAGCCAGGTCGTACCCCAGCCATCGAAGAAGAACCCAAGGCAGAGGAGAAAGCAGTGCATTCCGGCAGCGAAGAAGGCGAAATCGAGGAGGATTGAAAACCATACGCCAGCCCGTCTCTATGAGACATAATCTATGCTTCAGAAGTCCGTTTGCTACGTACTTGGGATTATGGGTTTGCTGGGTAAGTGAGAAATCTCAGCCTTACCCCGGACATACTTTTCGTCATGCTAGGCGAATCTATTGTCCTAGCTATGTTTTGATACACTTATTTGATGTAGATCTGGAGGCTAGAAGAATATGAAGCTGTAAAGTTTTTGGGGTTAAAGAAAATGGTTAATCGATTGAATCTTGTAACGAGCGTGTTGTAACTAAGTAACTGACTTTAGAAGATGAAAAGCACATGACAGGCATCCTACAATGCAGGAGTCCGTAAATAAAAACTCAATGACAGTTGCGTTGCATAAGCTGTCTCTGTAAGCAGAGTGCTGATTTATCATAATGACTTTTTGAATATTTCGACATGGTCTGCAGAGACATGTCCCTAAGATATAACCATAATGTCCACCGAGAGCCGATTAGCTGGTTGACTGCACACCAGCAATGCAAACTCACTGCTGTTCAATGTCTGCACTTGTCGAGATATCTTATCTTTTGCTTGGAACGAGCTGGATGTTTTCACAGGCAAAATGCACCGAGATACAACAGCGTGGACATCAAAAATGTAGGCAAATCGTCTTCTTCGTCATCTTCATTGTCGGCAGTGTCATCACCACAAGAAGAATGGGCCAGAGACTGCCTCCGAACGCCTGAAAATGCTCCGAACCGAACGCCGTTTTTTCTCAACAGAAACCAATGACGCCGTTTGTAAGCGTCGCGTCTATCGTACCACCGACGATCACGACGATCCTGCTGCGGAACGCCCTCTTCAACTCTCCTCTTCCAGGAAGAACTACTGATGGTTAGCAAGATTTCATGATGATAAGAACGGTATACATGAACACATACGTAGTTGCCATTCAACTTCTGCTCCTGGTCAAGCTGACTCTGGTACTTGTTGATACGAGGACGGAAACTGTTGGGATCACGACGGAAAGTAACGTCCAAGTTCTTCAAGAATCGGTTGCAACCAGTGAGGAGGGATTCAGGCTCATTGGCGTGAGCATCGATGGATGGCTTGCCGTCAAACACAATCACACGGTCAGCGAGATAAGTAGCCATGATGAAATCGTGCTCAACAATGAAAGCAGTCTTCTTGGTGTTCATGATGAATCGCTTGATGACTCGGGAAGCAGTAATACGCTCTGTAACGGCAGAATTAGCATGTAGGCCACCAACAAGCCAGACGAGGATAAAAACTTACGCTCGGCATCAAGATAAGCAGAAGGCTCGTCAATCAAGTAGATATCCGCAGGAATACCCAGAGCGAGGACAATAGCAACACGTTGCAATTCACCACCAGACAAGTTCTGAACTTCCTGGTCAATGAAATCATCGATTTTGAGAGGCTTGTAGACATCGGTCTGGAACTGGGGGTTGAGGAAAGCAGCCTTGATCCTCTTGAAGAACAACTGGCGAACTGTACCCGTGAATTTGGGAGTGATCTTCTGAGGTTTCATGCTGATGTTCATCCGAGGAATGTTTACGGTTCCGTCTGGTTTCTCGGCTCCAGCAAGCAATTTACAGAATGTGGTTTTACCGGTTCCGTTTTCACCCATCTAATAATTACCTTGGTAAGCAACAACAAAGCAGAAGTGAGGCCATATGAACATACCAGGACAACAATTTCCGAGTCAGTAAATTTACCCGTGTCAACTGACAAATGGAAGTTGCCCATTGTCTTTTCCATCTTTGGATAATGGAACGCACGGCCCTTGTCAACCAAAAATTCATCACCAGCCTCGGCGATACGGAAAGTCAACGACTCCTCACGGAAACGCAAGTTCTCTGTGGGGATATGACCATCAAGGAAGATGTTGATACCTTCACGGACGGATGACGGTAGAGTCACGACACCGTAGACAGCAGGTCGGCCGTAAAGAACGCAAACAAAGTCGGAAAGATAGTCCAAAACAGACAAATCGTGCTCAACAACGATAACATAGTCATCAGGTCGAAGCAACTCTCGGATAGTACGGGCAGCAGCAAGTCTCTTTTGTGGGGTTAGCCAAGTGCTTTTAAATATAAGTTTATGAGAATATTGGCTCACCTGGCGAATATCGAGGTAGGAACTCGGCTCGTCAAACATGTACCTATTTTTTGTCGGATATTAGCTACTGATCTCAAGTTTTTCTTCGATGAGATATCGTTGATAATGCGAGAAACACGCCAAAGAAAGCTGATACTCACACATCCGCCTGTTGCACGCAAACCAAAGCTAAGGCAAAACGTTGCAGCTCTCCACCAGAAAGGAGGTTGATGTCACGGTTCTCAACTTGATTGAGTTCTAATCGGTCTGTTAGCATTTTCGATAGTATCGCGTGCAGAGGTGATCACGAACCAAGAACGTCCATAATGCGGTCCTTGTTGTCCATTTGGGAACGAGCCTCGATTAATGGGCCGACTTCCTTCACGGGGCCCTTGACAGCCCTGGGAATCTGGTCAACATACTGAGGCTTGACGACGGCCTTCAAGTTGTCTTCCAAAACCTTCGTGAAGTAATCTGTTGATACATATGTGAGCAAAGGTTTAAGTCATATTAGCGAGAGATCCACATACTCTGAAGTTCGGATCCACGGAAGTACTTCAAAATTTCCTGCCAGTCAGGAGGGTCGTCGTAACGTCCGAGATTGGGCTTGAGTTTACCACTGAGAATTTTCAGTGCCGTACTCTTTCCAGTACCGTTGGCACCGACTTTGCACGAGTTAGCTAATGTATCGTGCTGGCGAATCCATAGATAACCTACCCAAACCGAGCACCTGACCGGGACGAGGCATAGGCAAACGATGCAACTTGAAGCTGTTGGCCGAGTAACGGTGGGTGACTTGTGTCTCGAGGTTGGTCGGCAGGTTGATAATGTGGATAGCGCCGAAAGGACATTTCTTAGGGCAGATACCGCAACCGATACAGAGGCGCTCGGAGATGAAGGCGATCTTGGACTCGGGTGTTACTTCGATACAAAGCTTGCCTGTGCGGACCACAGGGCAAGACTTTTTGCATTCTTGACGACATTTCTGCGAAAAGCACAGTGGTTAGTATGTATTGACAGTGTCAATAACTAGCATCGATGTTGAGAGCCTACCTTGGGCTTGCACTATACGTGTGACGACAATGGCGCAGTATCAGCGTTTGCTATCTTTTGAATGGTCAAGCGTCGTCGAAGTGAAAAACGAACCTTGTCGCTATTGACAATAGCAATTCTAAGCAAAGTCAGTATTCAAATCGAGGGGATTATTATCGTCAAGAGAGTGCTACCTTGTAAGTTTGTCCGACATGATGTGTTGCTCCCGTCGCGGTCTGCTTGTTGCAAATTAGCCCTCAACTAAACAATAATACAATAAATAGACTGTGATACGCGCCAGTACCTACCAGATACAGCAAGTCAGAGCAAGTTCTCCCGTGTCACAAAAGCGATCACCCAGGACCCAGAGACAGTGATGCGATGCGATATGTCTATATAGGATGGAGGGGCATCGACGAAAACCTGAACAAAATTGTGGGATGTCGCCGTGTGGAGCCCTTCCCGCACCTAAAAGAGAGTGCCTGATTGATGCCTCAGGTACTTAGGGTAATATCGTAGACCAGAAGTAAATAAGCAAGCGCTGATTGGTCCGCTGCATCCATACTACTACATAGTACATTTCATCGAGACACAAGACCAACTTAGCCCTACAAACATTGAGGCTTTGTTAACGCTTTGTCTGGGAATCCTGAAATTGCTTTTCAGGATTGAAGTATCATAGTGTTGCTTGCAAGTATAAATAGCTAGTGTTAGTTAGAATAATCAAGCAATCTCACTTCTCTCTAAAATTTCGTATGTCAACATTTACGTGCCCTACGTTCGTCTAGTAGTTAGTACTAGAGATCAGTCATCAACAGTATTAGAAATCCATACTATAATATTATCAATTCAAGTTCACCTCTTAGGCAAGTCGGATTAGCCTTACACCAATCTATGCTTCGTGATCTTGGACCGTGTAGAACCGACAATATCAATACCGTCCGAGCTGTACGTGCCGGATCTTTGCATCTAATTATCTACTATGTAAGGGAGATGTACGGTGTAATATAGTTGGAGCTTCTTGTTGGCTGTCTATATATAAACCTCCTGTTGGATTTTCCGGGGGGTTATTCACCCTCAATCTTGTGGAATTGATCGAAATTAGTACACGCTCTATATTTCGACAGAATGCTTGACTATCTGGCAAAGTGGTGTTGTTTCTTATATGGGGAACTGTCCTCTATATTGAAAATCTAAGCCTCTCGCCGTACATGTGTCTTCCTTTAATTGTTAGACCAACTGGCCAACTAGGGCTGACTCGAAGCTGACTTGGCACCTCATATGATCTCACACCTCCAAACCCCTAACTGGATCCTGAACTTCTCCCTATCTCGATGCTTAGTTTTTTGCCGAAAGAACATCTCAATCTTATGATCGCATATTATAAGGCTGTCACAGTTCCAGCCCTTCAGGATTAGCCTGGAATGAAACCACTAATCCGACGCTTTCACTCGTATAACGATCTTCCCCTTCGCTCTCTTATTTTCCATGATTTGATACGCCTGTGCAGAAATAGTCAGAGTCTAGTTCTATAACACACATATCCATTCCTCTACCTTGGATGCGTCTTCAAACTCCCAAACAGAATCAACCACCGGTCTCAGCTTTCTTTCTTGCGTCAGTTTTCTCAGTTTCTCCAAAGACTGGACATCAGGTTCAGCGCTATAGAATTCGAAATGTCTCGGGATGCCACCAAATATCAACGGACAATATTGGTTCCAAAATGCTAGCCAGACCCAATGCAGAGTTCCTTTGATGGAGTGCTCAAGCTCCAGAGAGCCGATGTTAATAAAGTTCTTACCGAGGGCTAGGTACGTTGGTGAGTGAATGAAGAGATCTTGAATACCAACACAATCAATGATAGCGTCGAATGGGGTTTGGGCATGGACCGACATAGCGAGGTAAGTATGGAGAGGTCCACATTGTTGATAATCGATCACCTCATCTGCACCAAGGCTCTTGACAAGATCAATATTAGATGCAGAGCAGGTGGCAACTATATGCCCGCTGGGTCCCAAGATATATCGAGCGACTTGGATCACCGTGGTCCCTGCTCCACCACTACTACCATTGACAAGAATTTTGTCACCGGCCTTTAGTCCAGCGCGCTCGGTGACCTGTATTGCTGTACAACCAACTCCCCCTAGAGCAGACCACTCTGCTAGCGATAGCTGCTCCTGTTCACCACTAGGAAGCTGATAAGGAACAACGTGTGCTACCGGGAGAACAGCGTATTCTGCTAGAGCTCCTGATCCATCACGCATTGATTTGGCTGGGTCCGTCAACCCAATCACCAAGTCTCCAAGTTTCAAGTCAGGTCTCCTAGACAAAACATTCTTCCCCGCTGCGATCAGTCTCCCTCCAAGCTCTATTTCCGGAATTGCCAGTCGATTCTTTTGTGAAATAAAAAATCCCAATGGACGTGGTCGAAGAGTCTGCATCAGCTGAGTACTTATGTTATTCAAAGCAGAGTAATAAACTTCTACAAGGACTTCGTCAGGGGCTAGATTGGCGATTTTTGGCGTCTCGATGTTGATTTCAAGCTTCAGGATCTCAGAAGGAAGACCTTTTGTACGATAGACCCAAGCCCGCATTGTCGATGGCAATTCCGAAGACATGTTGTTTTGCACCAGGGTGTACATAAAAGTGTCCAGATGACCTATATTAATTCGTCCAGAGGAGAGCGAGCCTTCCTTCTTATTCTTATTTCTCTTCTCATATCTGACATCTTTGCAATATTTTAATTTAGCTTTGGATATTTCTACTACATGATCGGGTGTGAGTGTTGCGCCGAACGCTTTCCTCATCGAATGAAACCAACGCCGAATTGGCCATTTATAATATGTGGTTAGTCGAGAATGGGTCATTAATAAGCTTATCATATGGCTACCCCGGACCACGGACGTACCTTCCGCACCGACTCCGCGATGTTGGTGTGCGACAGTAAAAAGTAAATGACAATAAAAAGTAAATAAGTTTACTGTTCCTGAACACTACCTTACAAATCCACCAAAAGGCTGTTGGAGAAATATATAGAGCAGGAAAAGACCATTACAAAAGCAATAGAAGCATATAACAAGAACTCCGGGCCAAAAAAATCACCGAATGGGCGGCGCAATAGGTGACGGCAACGAGGAAGAGAAAGGTCGCGACGAAACTGACTGGGTGTCACCATCTGAAGTTTTTACGACTACGACCAGATCCAAAGGAGTCGCGTTATCCATGTGTGTGAACTGGCTGTTCAATTTCATTGTCGCTGTTGCGGTCCCTCCTATGTTAGAGAAAAGAGGTTATAAGACCTATATTTTCTTCACTGTAATGTGCTTTTTGGCTGTAGATCGGGCGGTGCTATCGGTTCCAAAATCAAAGGGAAAATGTCTAGAGGAGATGGATGATGTTTTTAAAGACGGCCTGGGACAGGATGAGCAGGCCATCATGCACCAAGCAAGATTTTCAGTTGGCCAGCAGAGGTACATGTAGCTGTATTCCCAATCGCGAGCTCAAGCTTGGTGAAATAATCTTAGTTCTTCCCCATTGCTGGATGGAGTTTTATTTATACATGGATGGGTAAAGACGAAGACGACGCCCATCTACAGTTATTTTCCCAAATCAACTCAAATGTACCAGTAGGCTCGTCGTCTGATCGAGCATAGAATTAGGCTTGGATTGAAATATCTGTATTGAGACTTCTAGAGAACAAAGTAACACCAATGGAGTAAGATAAGCTCTAAAGATAATACCGAGCGTTCGCGGTCACTGGGCTAACCCTACAAACACGTCCGAACAATAACACATATGATCTTTATTGTCCTATCTATCCCAATTGAGTACCGACAACATGATGACTGACTGACAATAATCAACAGAGCCAATGGCAATGCGCCAACAATGGGAGGGCAGAGTCGCAAGCCAATTAGGGCCCGCCAATCTAGAGGTAGTCTTGTGGCCTTGTGGCCTTGCAGCCTCAGGCCACTACAAGGCTGGCCTGTTGGCAGGCGCCGCGGCCGTTCGAGCTGGCTTTCTACTCGCTGTTCCACTTCTTTCACCCACACCACCTTCCCTTGACATTCCACTACCGCTGTAACTCACCTTTGCCAGTGTCTCGCGGCTTCGCAGATCACCCATAGCAAATCTTTTCCAGCACCCTCAACAGCACCACAATTCTTATATTTTTCTTTTTCTCATCTGTTCAAGCTGTCTTCTATTCATACCTCCCCGTCGTCGGGGTCACCACGCTTGCGAAGGTAGGTTTTTTTTTGCTTTCCGTTCTGCTGGCTAGACGCGTCCTGGCTCAGTTGGAGTACTTCGATTCATCCGTCGACCCACTCGCCACGGTCCTGATATCGTTCATTCTGCCTTTGAAGCTTCTATTTTGATAGAAGGCACTCGTTCCTACCTCTGCTCCTCGTTGTGCTGGTCTTTCTGCTGCCTGATTTCCAGCCTCGTGGGTGGCCGGTCCTCTCGTCATCCATCTCCGCTCTCTCCATCGGACTTCCATCAAAAAAGATATCCGTGCATCAAATGTCGACTTACTCACTCATTCCTACACCTTTATCCTCCTGTATATGCCCTCTGTGGTCGCAAACCTCTCCTGATCACCCCCATACCAGTTTTGTCGTTCCTACTGCTCGCTTGAACTAGCAATGCTGACCTCTTGTGGTTCCCCCAGCAGATAGCATGGTGTACCCATCCGTTACCGAGTTGTCCTCCGGGACCGATGCTTCTAAGCCATTGACCAATGGCTATAACGGCTTCGATCATTTCTCCTCTTCGGAGCAGGCTAGCGACCAGGAGGACCTTGTCATGAGCGATGCCGAAAGCGAAACGTCTGATTCCTCTCACGTCAACACCAATAACAGTGCGGGAGCCGGAGATGACAATAACCGTGAATATTCTCCTGCTGGGAACTCTAGCTATGATGATTCAGATATGGAGAGCCGGGCCGGCAATGGCTCAAGAAACGGCTCCTCCGCGTCGTCATCACCGGGCTCTAGTCATGGAGTGAACCGAAAATCGGCCGTCAACGAGACTGACTACATCAGAAGCAACCCGGAACTTTATGGCCTCCGGAGGAGTGGTCGCTCTAGGACTGAACGTCGCCAGACACTAGTCGACTCCGACGAGGACGACGAGCCAAAAGCACCACGTTCAAAGCGAAGGCGCATTGTCAACTCACAGCCTCCGTCGAAAGAGTCTTCTCGATCAGTGACTCGGTCGTCTCCTTCAGACTCAGATACAGATGAGTACGGTGGTACCTCTTCGCGCTCAAGGCGTCGCCAACTACAAGCAGCGAAAGTCAGTATCCCGGCCGAGGTGCGATTTTCCAGTAGGAAAGCAACAAAGGTTGCAAATTACAATGAAGATTCCGACGATCCGTTCGAAGAGGACGACGAAGACGCCACACCAAACGATGTCGGCACAGCTCAGTATTACAACGGTCCTGGCATCGACTCCGTTCTGGATCACCGTCTCAAAGATGGAGTTGACCCGAACATCAGTGACCTCGACGTTACGATCCGTGACTGCCTCTACTATATCAAATGGCAAGACCAATCTCACTATCATGCCACTTGGGAGTCGAGTGACAGTCTGAAATATCACTCAGGCTTCCGCAGGCTAGAAAATTACTTCAAAAACAAAGTCAAGACTGACCTGTACTTGAACAATGACCCCGACGTTGCGCCGGAAGAAAAAGAAAAGTGGAACCTTGATCGCGAGCGTGACATTGAATCACTGGAAGACTACAAGAAGGTGGAGCGGATCATCGGCCACCGTGAGGGTTTAGACGAAACTGAATATTATGTGAAATGGAAACGGCTGAACTACGACTCCTGCACGTGGGAAAGTGACGCTCTAATCAAAGAAATCGCCATTGACGAACTCGACCAGTTCCTGGATCGTAATGATAAAGTTGTTTCTTGTGACAAAAGTGAAATGCAACCTAGAACGAGATCACCGCATGTGCCTATCACGGGCTCTCCACCTTTTCTGCAAAACGGCCAGCTAAAGGACTTTCAGGTCAAAGGCTTGAATTTCTTGGCTTACAATTGGTCTCGCAATCAAAACGTGGTTCTCGCCGATGAGATGGGTCTTGGTAAGACCGTCCAGACTATCGCATTCATCAACTGGCTTCGTCACGTTCGTGGTCAAGACGGGCCCTTCATTGTTGTGGTACCCCTTTCCACTATACCGTCATGGTCTGAGACATTCGAGTACTGGACACCAGATATCAACTATATTGTCTACACTGGTTCAAGTCAAGCTCGGCAGATTCTCAAGGACTACGAACTCATGAAAGATGGAAACCCACGCAAGCCGAAGTTCAATGTTATGCTGACTACATTCGAATATGCCAACATGGACTTTGACTTCCTGCGACAATTCCCTTGGCAGTTTATGGCCGTAGACGAGGCCCATCGCTTGAAGAATCGAGAGTCTAACCTTTACGGAAACCTTCTCGATTTCAAGGCCCCTGCCCGGTTGTTAATTACAGGAACACCGATCCAGAATAACCTTGCAGAGTTATCGGCCTTGATGGACTTCCTCAATCCTGGTTTAGTCGAAGTTGAGGTGGATATGGATTTGAATTCTGAACAGGCGTCTGAGAAATTGGCTAAACTTCAAAATACTTTGAAACCTCTTATGCTACGTCGAACCAAGTCCAAAGTCGAGACGGATCTCCCCCCAAAGACAGAAAAGATTATTCGCGTTGAACTATCTGATATCCAGCTTGAATACTACAAGAACATTCTGACGAAAAACTACGCTGCATTGAACGAAGGTGCCAACGGTCAAAAGCAGTCGCTGCTCAACATCATGATGGAACTTAAGAAAGCCAGCAACCATCCTTTCATGTTCCCCAATGCCGAAGCCAAACTTTTGGAGGGAGAACCACGCCGTGAGGATCTTCTACGTATAATGATCACCAGTAGTGGCAAGATGATGCTTCTCGATCAGCTTTTAGCTAAGCTGAAACGCGACGGCCATCGGGTTCTCATTTTTAGTCAAATGGTGAAGATGCTTGACATTTTAGGTGACTACATGCGATACCGAGGCTATCAATACCAGAGGCTTGACGGTACAATCAGTGCTACAAACCGTCGGGTCGCTATGGAACATTTCAACGCCCCTGACAGCTCGGATTTTGCGTTCCTCCTGTCCACCAGAGCGGGAGGTCTTGGAATCAACCTCATGACTGCTGATACTGTCATTCTTTTTGATTCGGACTGGAACCCCCAGGCTGATCTTCAAGCAATGGCTCGTGCACATCGAATTGGTCAAACCAGGCCTGTTAGTGTTTACCGTCTCGTGTCCAAAGACACGATCGAAGAGGAGGTGCTGGAAAGAGCTCGAAATAAGCTCATGCTAGAGTTCATCACCATTCAGCGTGGCTTGACGGAGAAAGATGTTCTCCCAGGTAAACACAATCGTGCTATGGGTGAGCCCACTGGAACAGACGAGATCTCGCGTATCCTCAAGCGACGTGGACAGAAAATGTTTGAGCAAACAGGGAACCAAAAGAAACTCGAGCAGCTCGACATTGACTCTGTTCTTGCAAATGCCGAGGAACACAAAACAGAGCAGACTGAAGGATTGGAAGCCGACGGTGGCGAGGATTTCCTCAAATCTTTTGAGTTCGTTGATGTGAAAGTTGATGAGATGTCTTGGGACGATATTATCCCTAAGGAACAACTTGCTGAGATCAAAGCTGAAGAAAAACGCAAAGCAGACGAGAGGTATCTACACGACGTTATCGAGCAGAATCGGCCTCGAAAACGCAATGCACCCAATGATGCGTTGGATGAGCGGGAAGAACGGAAAGCCAAGCGTCGCGCACGAGCCCAAGTCAACATGGAAACTGCTGACGGATCGGACTCCGATACCCAAGATCCGAAGCGCTCGCTCAAGGAGAAAGAACTTCGCCATCTCATTCGGGCATTTTTGCGCTATGGGGATATCGACGAACGGGAAGAGGATGTTGTACGCGAAGCTCGTCTGGTTGGGCGTGATAGAGACACTGTCAAAGCTGCTCTTCGAGAGATCACTGACAAGGCATCTCAGTTGGTCAGAGAGGACAGGGAAAAGTTAGAGGAGATGGAAAGGTCAGGTAAAATCCCAACAAAGAAGGAGAAGAAAGCGGTTCTTTTCGATCACCAGGGTGTCAAACGAATCAACGCCCATACCATTGTCGAGCGACCCGAGGAGATGCGTGTACTACGTACAGCAACCCAAGGGTTGACTGACCAAACTAGTTTCCGGGTTCCTGAAGCCTCCAAAAAGGCCGATTACACGTGCCCCTGGGGTGCGCGTGAAGATGGCATGCTCTGCGTCGGTATCGTCCGGCACGGTTACGGAGCATGGCCAGAAATCCGCGATGATCCTGAGTTGGGTTTAGGTGATAAGTTCTTCCTCGAAGAACATCGTGTTGATAAGAAAAATGAACGCGCAAATGCAGAAGCAAAAGGAACCAAGTCGCCTGGAGCCGTCCATCTTGTCCGCCGTGCCGACTACCTGATTTCTGTTTTAAGGGACAAGAGCTCGAATGGTCATAGCCTCACCGCTAGAAAGGCTGTCGAAAATCATCACCGCAACAAGAAATTTCAAAACCTCTCGCGCCGACAGCCTAGTGTTTCTGCTTCTCCAGCTCCTTCGAGTGGCCGAAAAGTTCGTCGTGAATCAGAGAAGCCTCGCCAGCGGTCACACACGAATGGACCTCGTGAGAGTATTGAGCGTGCAAATACTCCTAGAGCTGAACCTACGAGGATCAAGAATGGGCACGCTACCGAAAAGGTGCACAAACGAAGTCAGAATGGAGTTCATGAGGATCATTCTCGACCTCGTAGTGTTAGCGCTACTGCACCTCCATCTACCATGGAAGACTCGATTTTCGAACCCAAAGTTCATTTGTTGCATAAGCTCCGTGATGTGAAGAAGAACAATCCTGGCAAAGAGGAACGCGCCAACGAGATGCGCCGTCTTATTTTGAAGATTGGCAATTTTATCAAACAGCTCCTACGCAACGAGAACTATCCCGGGTTGGAGGATAGGCTTTGGTAGATATTACCTATCACCTTATTATATAATTTTGAAACTTGACTAAACATTACCAGGGGACATGTCGCCAAAAATTGCTTTCCTCCTGGCAAAGCAACGCTCGGCGGTATCAAAACCATGTACGAGAAGGTTGTCGCCAACAACAGAGACACAGCCACTACTGCCAGGTAGAATACCTTTTTCGTCGTTACAACAACGAATGCTGCAATGTAGCCTCGCGTCTCTATCATGAGGAAATATCTCTCACCAGCCGATCTTCGAGATGAGTGACACGACCTTGTCAACTACTGTCTTTGGTAATGCCACCGTCCATTGCACTGTACTAAGATTTAATATCCCTATTTTGCAATGTTCGGACATCCAACTCAATACGACATCTACCGCTGTGGTTTGTCCTTCCACGATTCATGGTCCGACCTTTATACCAACGTTGCCACATTGCCATTCGGTGTCTGTCACCTCAAACAATCCTTCAATATCTATGATTTCAGTCGAGTTATTTGGCGGCTGAGTGTATTTCTTACCTTTGTTTTTCAATGCTCGTTCAGTGATGCATTTTCAAGCGCGGAGTTTGGGAACGAGACGTCTACATTACACAAATGTCGCATTGCATGGTCAGGCGTACAGGCATGATGACGTCTGTACGAGAGTTGAGCGCAGTGCATTTTTTACATTTCTCACATTTCTTGTTTCATCTTGACTTTCTAATCATTGCATCTTCACAATCTGCCAATTACATATTTGCCATTTACACGGACAGATTGCGAAGTGTCTTGTCTTCGTTGTTCATTTACTTTCCTGCCCATTGTTGCCGAGCAGAAAATGGTGTTATTGTACATACCTGGCGTCGTGCTTGAAATGATTTTGGTGTTGCATTTTTGGGGGAGTTCAAAAGAGAGATTTAATCTATGAGAATCTAGAGTCTTTGGGGGTGGTGAGAACTGCTGTCATGTTGACGATGTATGTACTACAAAATCTGAAGAAATGAATGATACCACTTGACTGTCTATTCCTCGTGATAATCTGCGTAACTTTTGTTGATTTTTGAACTGGTATGAATAGATATCCAGTATCATAGTACTGACGTGCAATGCATTAAATCTTTTCGGAAAATTACATGGAAGAGAAATTGTATTCCACCGAACCATAACGCCATGCAATAGGAACCAACCCAACAAAAGCACTAAATAGACTCCGGGCCATGAAACATAAGTGTACATCAAGGAATGAGTGAGAAAATAATTAAAAAGGGAACGAAGTTATACAGCATCAAGCAACGACTTCCTCAACACCATCCTGCACATTCCCAGTCTCCTTATCAGCATCACGCTGCGCGTCAGAGACAACTTTCGACAATCGTCCCTCGGCATCAATGACCTCTGTGAGCGCAGCCTCCTTCTCAAAGAATGCAGTTTTCCGTTTCGGCTCTAGGTCCTGCCACTGCTGTTTGAGTTTCGAAGTCTCAATCTCCGCCCAATGCACCTGTCGGCGAAGCAGTCGATATAGCTGACTCGGCGGAAGAGCAAGCTCATGCGCATCGAAGCCCAGGTCGGGAGTGAACTCTGGTACGGGTAATAGTTCAGCTTCCTGGCCGTCGATGTCTCCGACTCGGCTTCCTCCTCCTCCTCCCCCTTCGCCGTTTGTGGAGGATTCGGTGTCTTCGCCTTTGGGACCGAAGCTGAGTTTCAGTTTGATGCGTTGGACTTTGTTGGTTGGGGTTGCGGCGTTGGGTAGGTTGTTGAGTAGTTGGCTTTTGGGCACGGGGTCTGATGGTCGGAGGGCTTCTGTTTCGTGGACTGTGCGCATGTGTTTCGCTAGGGCATCGGAGCGGGTGAAGCTTCGGTCGCATTCTGGATGTGTCAGTAAGTAGGATGACGAAACGGTAAAAAAGACTGAATTACCTGGAAGTGCGCAGTAGAATGGCTTCTCTCTAGTATGACTGCGCATATGTGCGCGCAATGCATAGCCACTGGCATGCGTTTGCCCTTTGCGACTGCAATCGATCCATTCACAGGAGTATTTCTTCTGTCTCGTCCCGATATGATCATCATGGATATGATTAACCAGATTATCCATATTACCCAAATCGCCCGCCTCACAGCCATCCCATCGACATGCCGTGACTTGGTCACCTCCAAGACCGCTATAGTCGTCGTCCTGACCACCGCCAATCAATGCGATGAGACTAGGGGAGTTGGGGATTTCGCCGTCGGTGTCGGATGAGATGGCACTCGACGAAGGGGAGGTGGGTATCAGATCGCCTTGGATAGAGGATATGGGCGTGTGATGATCCCAGGATGCGACGCCCGTGCGACGGCGTTTGGAGGGTGGCATGCTCGATGCTGAGGGTGAGTGGCCATCTTTGTCTTGCTTGGTGTCCTCGGTCAGGTCGTCGGACGCGATGGAGGAGAGGGGGGAGCCGGGCGAGTAGGCCATTGTGGTGATGAGAGATTCAATAAACGAGGGTAAAATAATGGCCGCTCAAGCTAATTAGAAGTGTCGCGTCAAATTGTGAAGGGCTCGCGGTACAAGCGAGGTGATAGAGTTGAGGTCGAGTCAAGTAGTACGGGGGCACGTGATTGCGGTGGCTTACAAGAAGTGAAGCTTCCACAGTCGCCGGCCTTTCTTTCTTTACTCGTTACCTGCACAAAGAGTTTAAGAGACTACGTTCTTCATATAGTTATGCTCTGCTTCAAGCTCCATATAAAATTTCTCGATTTTCCCCAAAATGAATAATATTGTATATTAAAGACTATATAGACGATTGAAATATCACTCTCAGACTCAATGCGAGATCTGCTTCGCTGCTTCGTTAGCATGGAGAATTGCCTCTCGCGCCCCCGGCCAGACCTTCCTCTTGCCCGTCTCAAAGTAACGAAAAGCGTGAGCTGTCTCGACCCCATTATTCATCAGATACGACATCTTGGGGTCCTTGAAGAAGAAATTCCMCCCTTTCCATCCCCATCCCAGGTTCTCCATACCAGTGCCCGCCGCATCGTGCACAAAGCTCTGGTATTCCCATGACTTAACCATTGATGGATCAATGTTGTTGTTCAATTTCCAATTCAAGACTAACCATCGATGATGCTCATCGATTTCCTTTTCCATTTGCTGTTGTGACGGCAATGGATGGACACCACGCCAGATATTGCTAATAGCCATCGAGGAGACATCGCAGAAGGAGAAGCCATTATTCTTGCCATAAGCCGAGTAACAGAACATGGCGATCGAATCCGCATATTTGGGTGGAAAGATGTTCTTCCATAGTCTTCTCACGATTGGCCCCTCGGGACCAGCGGGTTGACTTGTCTCGATGAACGGCGTCACGGTGAAATCAGCCGTGTATCCCGTAGCACAAATCACAGCGTCGACATCATCGATGATCGTGCCATCAGTAAGCTCCACGGATCGGGGGCCAACGAATCCCTTCAACCCACGTAGCGAGGTCAGTGAACCGTTTTGCAGCGCTGGAATGACGGCCTCAGAGGCACTAGGTAGCACAAGTAACGGAGATGGGAATGGCAAAAGGTTCCATTCCGGATCCAGTTTACCCCATTTAGATTTCATGAGAAATTCTGTTCCTGCAACAGACAACCATCTCATCATACTGGGGAAGTTTCTCGTGAGGAACTGACTTATTTGGCGACGTCTGTACGACACAATGAGGTCTGTAGGCTTGTCGCCTCGCCATCTACTTATGATCGCGGTGCCGTGTCTGTGTGATACATAGACCTTTGCTGCTACCGGTAATAGCGTCTCAATGATATCCCCTGCTGTACTTCCGATTCCAACTACAACGACCTTCTTGTCCCGAAACTGTTCCGGACTAATCGTGAAAAAATTAGTTCAGCACTCAAGAGGCAGGATGAGTGACGTACGACTTGAATGCCTGTGCGTGGATCAGCTCGCACTCAAATTGCTCTTGACCTGCGAACTGCGGCATTTTCGCTTTTGTCTGATATCCATGCGTAAATGCGACCTTGTCGTATTCCTCGATCTGCGGCTTTCCGTTGATATTCAACTGTAGAAGCCATTTGGAATCTGACTCATTTCTGTATACTTGCTCGAGCTTTGCGTCAAAGACGATGTCCGGGAGTAAGTTGAAATGCTCGGCGTATGATTGCATATAAGATTGGAATTGAGCTTGAGTCAAGTGTGGAGGGTACTCTATGCACATTTAGAATTGATCATAAGCCGTTAGTGGTTGAACGAACCGTCTGGCATAGGAAAATCCGACATTCCACAAGTGTATTTGCTGATATTGGCCGTGGTGGCTATACCATAATTAGAACAGCGAACACGAAGCTTACGAAGCAAGATCTCACTTTTAAGCGCTGAAGTAACTTCCTTCTTGTCCGACCACGCCCATAATCCCCCAACTTGCGACCTCCGTTCGTAGCAAGTCACCTTGAATCCATCTTCCCGCAGGGTCTTGAGCATCGACAAGCCAGCACTACCTTGATATTCAGTTAGTTCAAAGGTAAAGGGGTCGATCGGATGCATAGAAATCGTCTTACCAGCGCCTATAACGGCTACAGTACTAGGTTGATTCATACTGACTTTCCTGGTCGTCATTTTGAGTGCATTCATGACGCAGCATGAATTATGGCGGATGGAAATATCGGAAAGCTGGAGCCGAAGCTGAAAGCTATCACGGTGTATTTAGCATGCCGACCCTTGTCCATCACAATAGACTACTGCAAGGCGTATATGATAAGACAAAGAAACGGGGGCCAAAGCTGGCTACATTCGATTGGAGCCATTATTCGAGGCAATCAGAGATGAGTTGACGAATTATGTGAGATTTTAGCTTGCATCTATCATCAATTTTTAATTAGCTAGAATCTCACATAATACGTAGAGGTAAATTAGTTAATATTCCAAGGTTTTGTAGGAGTTCTTCCGTGGTAATAATCAGAATGGTTCGTGGATCTAGGCGCCTGTCCCGACTAGGCTTAGCTTGCTACGGTGATTAAAGCTTCTTTTTTTCGTGTTGGTTTTTATCCTCTTTCTATCACTTGCAAGGACATTCGCAACATACCCTACTAACAAGTAGTAGTATTAATAATAGGTATGTCGGATAATTATCAATCACGGACCCTTCATTCTATATTTTATGATGATCAAAAAAGAGAATTCTGCAATGCTGACAATTTCCCTCTTCACGAGGCGAAGTTGGTTGTTGACAAACTCTACACTTGACCTGACTCAAACCAACACATGTTCTTTTATCGACTCATTATATTATGTGCTGAGCTAACAACATGGGAAGAATTAGGTATAATGCAGACCCAGAGACTTAATAGCGAGTTCCCTTGACCTCATACTTCTTCAACAACGCGTCAATCTCCGCCACCTCCTCATCCGTCAGCGTCTCAACACCCTGCAGATTCTGAGCAACCTTATCCTTGGTCGTCCCACCTGGAATCGGGATGATGGTAGGTAGACCGGGTTTATTACTCAAACTCCTCACCCAAGCCAACGCAATCTGTGCCGGAGCCACATATTTCCTCTTGGCCAAACTGACAACCTCCTGAATCAATTTCAGATTGTGCTCGTAGTTGCCATCCTGAAACTTGGGGACGTGCCGCCGGAAATCACCCTCGGGGATATCTGTAAATTTGGCGATTTCGCCTGTAAATGCGCCTCGGCCGAGGGGGGAGTATGCGATAACGGGGATGTCGAGTTCGGCGCAGGTTTTGGCGACGTCGTTTTCGAGGATGTCTAGTGACCAGAGGGAGAGCTCTACCTCTACTGCGGCGATGGGATGGACCTTGTGTCTGGACATAAATCAGCACAAAAGAGCGCTTGTGTTAGAGTCAAAGAACTTACGCTCGTCGGATAGTCTCAGCATCAACCTCACTAAGACCAATACCACCAATCTTCCCCTCCTCGACCAACTTGGCAAGAATCGTAACCGTCTGCTCGACCGTAGTATTCGGGTCCTGACGTGCACACTCAAAAATATCAATCTTCTTCGTGCCCTTCAGAACCTTCAAACAATCATCCACACTGCGACGAATATTCTCCTCGGAGCCATCTGGCTGCAACCCATCTTTGACGGTGCCACCCTTGATGCTAAGCACGACCTTATCCGCGTTTTGAGGATATTTCTCGAAGTACGCTTGGAGCAAGTGGCAGGAGTTGTATTTCGATGTTCCGTAGATTTCGCCGCCATTCCAAAAGTTGGCGCCGAGCTCGAGGGCGGTGTTGAGAGTTTCGAAGCAGGTTTCTTTGGAGGGCGGGGACGGGTTCCATGTCATTCCTGAGAATCATTAGCAAGGGGGATTGGATATGAAGTCTATGTTTGGTGCTTTGACTTACGCATGGTTCCGTAGCCGGTAGAGCCGACTTGCTTTCCGAGAATCGTAGGCATGTTGAGATTGTTCACTGTAGAAAACTTTATCAAAGAGACTTTTTGGGTTGGATTGCTTTGATTGACGTTTGATGATTGAATCGATTGGATTAGCAAAAGGAAATGCTGCCGAGAGATCTTTGCCCTTTTTATATTGATTGTGATTGTCTTCAAGATGCAAAAATGATGTTATCCCCGCTCGCGAAAAAATGACCTCATGCATCCAATTGGTGCTAAAATACTACATATTAACAAAAGCTTAGATCGCATTTACACTTTACTCCGGCTAGTTCCAGTCCCCTTATTTGTCAGAAATTTGTCACAATCAGTTATGGAGATCGAAATGAAGGTCTATTGGCGAGGTGGTCGTAAAGCGATCATTAGGCCGATCTGGACGGACTAACCGTTCTAAAGCCGATGTCATTCTTCTTTGCAACAATCCACAATTCCACATCGCTTTTATGCCCTAGTCCGCTCAATTGTTGGCTAGCTCTACGCGAAATGCAGATCATCAATCAATTAGAACTATTCTCATCTAACTATGGCTTTGCTTCTATGCCGATCGTTCATCTCGGYTTTTTCTTCGGATGSGAGCCACAACTACAGCTTCAGGAGGAATTGCCACATGTTATTGTATGCTAAATCTGTATTCGAATGATGAATAATCATTAATTAGATAGATAGCCCTAATTTCGAAGTGTTATCATAGCTCGTAACCGTAACATTGTTTTAATATATACATGTCCCTCAATCACTTTTCGGACTAACCACGTGTTCACCCGATCAATATGAAGGGTCAGACTTGTCTTTCGGCGTGAACATATCCAGCAATTCACTGATTTTAGACAATTGAGCTTCGTGCGAAGGCATTTGCGGCGTGGGAGTGAACGTGTTTGTCGGATCGACGTTATCACTGGTCGGCTCCTCATTCATGGGAGCATCAACGACTTCGGGGGCATCGGTGACATCCGGTGTATTTGTAGCATCTTCAGCGACTGGAGCCTCGCTGACTTCTGCGCCGTTGGTATTGGCGCTTTCTTTAGGAGAATGAGAGACATCTGTCGGCGGCAAGTTCGCTTTCGTGGTGGCGTCAGGGGGCGGGAATATGGGTAGTGGTGTCGAAGAAGGCGATGGCTTTTCGTCGTCGTCGATGTCTGGGAAGTTGGGGAAGCGAGTTGGGAAGACGTTGACTGGGACATAGACCGTTTGAACTGCAGGAGCGGCAGCATTGTTACCTTCGCTAACTGTGTTGGAAGGGATGGTGGGTGTGGCAGCGTCCTGGGTATCGTTGGGCTGCATGACTTCGATATTGTTGGCCTCGTCACCCTCCTGGTTAGGTTTTGGGGTTGAAGTAACCGTGCTATCTGCGGTCTTGGGTGTGCTTGTGGGTGTAGGCCTTGCTGGCTGCGCTACTTCGTCTTTGTTCACATTATTTACGTCGTCTTTGTCATCGTCGTCGTCGTCGTCGTCATCATGCTCATCATCGTGCTTGTCATCCGGTTTTGAGGCAGACTGAGCAGCATGTTGATGGTGGTCGTGGTCATCTTTATGATCGCTGTCTTTCTCTCCATTGACTCTCGGTGTACCTTTGGTCTTGTGATGTTTATCGTCATCATGGTCGTGGTCGTGATTATCCTTATCCTTCTTGTCTTCGTCATCGTCGTCGTCGTTGTCATGATCTTTCTTATCCTCATGCTTATCATCATCATCATCATCATCATCACCAGAAAACTTCCCCGCAGCCGCCAGTGCGCCCTTCTTCCTCGCCGCCTTTACCCATTGTTGAACACTTTTGTTGTTCGGAATCTTGTAGTCCAGATTCCTCAGGTAACTATCCACATCGAATGGGTTTCTGAATCTCTGATTATACGATTAGCCCCTCATATGAGAAGAAGCTGGATATGGTATGCTTACCGGGCTTGGTGATCTGCTTGTCAAGTGAGGCTCCGAGAGGCCCTCGATGGGTCGGTGTATAGGGTATGACTGCACGATGCCTGCGATGGCATAGAGAGCTAGTAAAGCTTTGGCGGACACCATGTTTGCTTCGGACGTCTTCCTCGATGGATGTAAACTTATAGATTGAGACTTGTGGCAAGTAGTCTGAAACCGGACTGCAGTTAAGTATGCACTCCTTCGACTCACGATTGCAAGATAACCTACAACATTTTATACAAAGAAGTCTTTACGAACTTTAAATCGAAGGATGTGGCAAGTAAAAACAATCCTATCATGAATATCTCGGCGTGGCCATTCAGATAAACATACTCATACTTCGCGAACCAACATTAAAATGTGTTGTGCTCATTCAATTCGTGTCGCGGTACGTACCAGCAAAACCGTACATCTCTCAACATTCCACCACAGAACAATTTCGTCGCCCGCCACTTTACTGGAATGTGTCACAGACACAATCTTATAGAACCCGCGTTCCCCTCCCTGTACATATCTTATCGGGGAGGAGGGGCATTGGTGATTGGGGTGGAACATTCTTTCTGGTGTCGAGGAATGTAGGGCTAGGGCTTGATATGCGGTTTTCCTCATAGTTCAGCGGGGAACAGGATATTTAATTAAGGGGTCGAGAAATTGATTGTATATCTCGTTTACGTAGTTTTTGACACAGCTACATTGCATATGAAGCAAGCTTAACTTGTTGAACTACACATTATGAATTGAAGATCCTGACTTGGAGTTGATGCAACGGATGCAATGATCGATTTGTAATCTTGTAATACATAACAAAGGAAATGTCTAGTTAGCTTCCATGTGAAAAGCCCAGACAGATAGCAAACAGCAATAAAAGTTTCGCTGTTTCAGGACATAGATCACGCCTCCCTCACACCCGAGTCCTAGATCAGGATCAACCCAAGGGAACAAAATGCTGATAAAAGTTTAGACTTTTCTTTTTATGGGGAATCAAATCGCTAGCCGTTGAAGGCCAAATGCTCGTGAGTTCTATAGTCGAGAACCCTAATAGAATATGTTTGTTGTTCATAACATCGTAAACTCATGTTGAAAAAAGTCTATATGTGTCACCATACGCCAAAGAGAAAAGAAGATTAGGGTATCATGTCCTAGCTTAGTAGCGGTAGATGTCGCTCTTGAAAGGACCAGCAGCATCCAAACCAAGGTATTCGGCCTGGACAGGGGTGAGGGTAGAGAGCTTAGCGTTGACGTGCTCCAAGTGGAGCTTGGCAACCTGCTCGTCGAGGATCTTGGGCAAGACGTAGACACCGACGGGGCGCTTGCCCTCGTTACCGAACTCAATGTACTTGGAACCGAAAGCAGCATCTCCAGCCTTGTAGAGAGCGATCTGGGCCAAGACCTGGTTGGAGAAAGAGCAGGACATGACGAAGGAAGAGTGACCGGTAGCACAACCCAAGTTGACGAGACGACCCTCAGCCAAAAGGATGATGTGACGACCGTTGGCCATGAGGAAGCGGTCAACCTGAGGCTTGATGTTCTGGACAGACTTGGCGTTGGCCTTGAGCCAGGCCACGTCAATCTCGATGTCGAAGTGACCAATGTTGCAGACAATGGCGTCGTTCTTCATGACCTCGAAGTGGCGGCCAACGAGGATGTCACGGCAACCGGTGGTGGTGACGAAGATCTGACCGTGGGGAGCAGCCTCCTCCATGGTGGTGACCTGGAAGCCAGAGACGGCAGCCTGGAGAGCGTTGATGGGATCGATCTCAGTGACAATAACACGAGCACCCATGGAAGCAAGAGCCTGAGCACAACCCTTGCCGACGTCACCGAAACCAGCGACGACAGCGACCTTACCGGCAATCATGACATCGGTGGCACGCTTGATACCGTCGATGAGGGATTCGCGGCATCCGTAAAGGTTGTCGAACTTGGACTTGGTGACAGAGTCGTTGACGTTGATGGCAGGGACAAGGAGCTTGCCTTCCTTCAACATACGGTAAAGGTGGTGGACACCAGTGGTGGTCTCCTCAGAGACACCGTAGCAGTCCTTGAGCTGTTCGGGGTACTTCTTGTGGACGAGGGAGGTAAGGTCACCACCGTCGTCGAGGATCAAGTTGAGCTTCTTGCCATCCTTGAAGGCGCTGAGCTGTTGCTCCAAGCACCATTCGTACTCCTCCTCGGTCTCACCCTTCCAGGCGAAGCTATAACCGTTAGACAGACTCGCTTAATTGAAAACGCCTAATTGTGGCAACTTACACAGGGACACCGGAGGCAGCAATGGCGGCGGCGGCGTGGTCCTGGGTGGAGAAGATGTTGCAGCTGGTCCAAGTAACCTCAGCACCGAGGGCAGTGAGGGTCTCGATGAGGACGGCAGTCTGGATGGCTGGAGGTATGTCAGAGAGTGTGTGATTTCAATCAATGCCCGGCGATAGACGTACTCATGTGCAAGCAACCGGCGATACGGGAACCGGCAAGAGGCTGGTCAGCAGCGTATTTGGCACGGATGGCCATGAGACCAGGCATCTCAACCTCGGCGAGCTCGATCTCGCGGCGGCCAAAGGCAGCGAGCGACTATTTTGTTTGTTAGCGAGGGATTCCATCTGTCTGTCCATATTCCAATGCCATTGTATAGTACGTACGATGTCGGCGACCTTGAATGTGTGGGCGGGAGCGGCCATTTTGTCTGATGTATGGACAGAGGTCGAAAAAAAGGACTAGACGTAATTGTAAGCCTCAAATGGATACTAAAGGTATGTTCACAGCTTGAGAATGATGTCTGAACTTACTCAAATGGTTATATGATGAATGGTATGTCAAGAGAGAGATGATTGAAGAGAAAAGAAAATATCAGAAAGGGTGAAGCTGGCAGATTTATTTTTCTTTATTAGGAACGGCCGGCGAAGCACAGAGGGAAGGAGGGGTATTGGCGGAGACCGAAGATTTCTACGCGGAAGGCATCTCCCCCACCAATAACAGCCCAGCCTGCTAAGGGTCTCCCAATAACATCTCCTCTCCTTTAGCACTCGACGCATCGCTTTGCCCTCTGTCCACTGTGTCCAGAGCTGGCCCCACGAAGCCTTCAATGTGGGAACATGGGGCTCGACGCGTTGGTATCATTGAATACAGAGTCTGTCCCCTGGTTAGTGCCCGAGCTACATCTAACTGGTGGCGCCGGCGTGAGATGCGATGTTTAATTCGGAGTCCGAGAGAGCTCTCCATACTCCCCATAACACTGTGTCTTTGCTGAGCTGTCCACCGGGTCCCTATCCACATCGATGCTGGTCGTCAATCTATCGTCTTCTGGGTCTAATTGATTGGAGCTAGTAAGTTTGTGGAAAGTGCAGGATACAAGTACTGGCATCTGTTTTGAGTGCTCCATCTCATACAAACCGTCCTCCCCGTTGATAAGCGGTCACTTTTTAACATGTCTAACAACACAACCACCGTTGATGACATGGCCCATCATTGTGGACGTAGAGCCACGAAGATCTTGAAAAGAGAACTGGCAGACAAAATGGAAGAAATATTTATTTGTCTATGTATTTTGAACCCTATCAACACCTTCAAGCGACCTGGAGAAAATTTTCTCTAAGCCCGGGAAAAAACCTTGACGCCGACGCAAGAAAGCAGCAAACCATCAACGAGCCGAATCAAAAACGTGGCATACATGCAGATGCAGATGTAATCGTGACGTTGGAAATGGTATCGAGTATGTCATGGAACAATTTGTATGTGTGCTAAAGGCAAGAATGCAAACGTAACGGCATTAGGAAGAAAACATCTCTCACGCATCTTCGTCTATCCAGTCGGTAATCTCCCAAGAAGATGCATCGTCCTCAATAATCAAAGCGAGTGTCTTGAAGACTATGCTGTCGTACATGACTCCCGCGGCAGCGCGCGCCTGTTTGTGCCATGGACCGGTGCCACCTGCTCGTGCATCTTCTCTGCTTCTCCAGACGCCTGCACAGACGTCAGTCTCCAAGTCTCGATACAGTTCGTCAGATACTACTTACAAGTTGCCAGGTTCTGGTGCTTCTCACTTTTGGCACCGAACCAATACTTCAACAAGCCACCACTAGCCATGGCTTCCTGGTGAGAGTGGTAGTCTAGATCGTGCAGTCGCTGGTTATCGATGACGGGTTTCAGAGTGGACCGGAATGAGACGACATAAAATCGTTGTCTTTTCCATTGGTAGCCTTCAGCTACTGAAAGATCACGCAAGAAATCAACGACCGCCTGCCAGTTGAACGATTCAACGTAAGGCGCTGTCGCATAGTCGTCACGGATGGGCTTGAAGATGGTGAAAGCTTTTGCGAGCAGCTGATAAGGTGTCTCCAGACGCTTCAAGTCGAGTAGATTCCCAGGGTCGTTATATGGTGATGCAATCAAGCGATCGTCCGAAGTTGCAACTAGTTCATGACGCTGTGTGCCGAACTGCAACTGCAAAGCGGCAGCGGCATGAAACTGTAGAAGTCCAAAGTCTTTCGTCACCAGCTCGTGGTGGAAGAGCGAGCTGGGTGCTCGGAGGGTAACCCTGGGTGGGTGAAATGTGGTAGTTGCTGTTCCGTCGACAGCAGCCATTGTTTCGTAGGCTAGAAGCCTTTGAAAGTCTAGCAGATATCCTTCACCAGATGTTACGAACCGAAACCCGCTCTGAAGCTAATTCACAGAGGTGAGTCTATTCGATGCGCAATAGACAAACTCGGGTTGATGGGAAGCGAACAACGACGGTTTTTGCCAGTTCTTCAGAGAAATAAATGAAAAGGAAAAAGACAAAAAGACGCTCCTTCCTCTCTTAAAGGTAGGTACGTCGGGGGCCAATGTATGCTGCGGTCCGAACCCTGACCCATAAAAATTTCGAGATAGTACACGCAGATTGCGATTGTAGGACGGAATGATTTTACCCCAGAAATACGAAGCCCCCTTCTCTCACCGTGTTAAATTACTCCAGGGATCTTCTAGTCTTCTAGACTAAATTATTCGTTTAGCGGTGAGACTCAAAAAGGGCGCGAAGGGAAACTCATAAAATTTCATAAAATTTCAGACCAAGCACGCCATAGCTTGCTTAACTTTTCCCATGGTTGTACCAGAATTTGGTTATGTATGGATTCGGAACCCTCTGAAGACCGACCAGAGGACGGATGGGTCGGCGGAGAGAACTCGCGGCATAGAGATTTTTTTACGCGGATATGGCTACTTTCTACTAAACAGGGCAATATTTCCCCGTGCTTTTTCTCCCTCTTGCAAGGAGAGTTTAGGTACAGCTCTCGTTATCTTGATAGGGTTATGTCTGGTGCGTTGTCCTGGTCCGGGAGAATTAGGGCTAGCGACCAGATTAGGTAGTTAGGCAACTTACAGACCAACCCCCTGGATTCTGAGTAAGCAAGTCGATCATTTTAGCCAGGTTGACCAGTAGTGCTCAAGTTAGTTGAGATACTTAATGAGTCGTCACTATTACATGCGTATAAATAAGTATTGCACAATACCGTGCGGTATGGTGTTTTGTGGCAAATGCCAAATGCCTTACCTTGGAGTAAGCACGTCATTTACCCCTTGCCATTTCCGGGGGACTGGACGGTGTTTGAATATACATAGTAGCTAATGGAGTTATGAAGGAATTACAAGTGAGCCGACGATAATTTAAATAAAGAGTATGTATATACAATGTTGGTATCTTCACCCCGAACGCCGAGCACATGCATATTGAATAAAAAGGAAGAGATTACTTCTTAAGAGGCAGTGATGGAGGCGCCATGTTACCACCTCCAGTGTTGACCTTCTTGTTCGCAGGTACGTCAGGAACCTTGAAGCCTCCATTTCCTCCAACTTGGGTGAAGGTACCACTCTTGAACCATCGATCCTCTTCTGCCTTTCGCTTACGGTTGAGCTCGGCCTGGACTTTGGGATCAACCAACTCCAAACCTTGTACCGGCGTGAAAGCAATGGAACTGGCCGTACCAGCCGTCGCGTTGAGTGAGGTGCCAACACCCGAACTGCGTAGGCCCTTGGCTTGGAGCATTGTGGCGTTTCCAGGTCCTCGAAGAGACGAAGCTGTGCCGCTGATGGGAGTGGCTGCTCCCCAGCCCTTGTTCGACTTGCTAAGTCTAGCTCGGGTTCGCTGATCGATCTGGGCTGCACGAATGCGCCCATCGTTCTCTTGTCCAAGCATACCCAATCCAACTGTACCATCTCCAGTTCCGTATCCAGCTTCCTGCTCCTCTTTGCCGAAAGCAACCCTATTTTGCGCTTTTCGTAATTCTGTCATTGCCACGGCTTCCTTTGCTTTACGTGCTCGTCGACCGCCTCGCTTTCTAGCCGGTTTGTCGTCGGGAGCGGGTAATGCTCGAGCTCCTTTGTTTGGCGGTGGCTCCGTAAGTTTGTCTAATCTATGGAAGCATTGTTGTTTGAGTTCCTCGCCCATAGACCCATCTGGACTGCTACGAGCAACATCTGCTCTCGCTGCTAATACCATCTTCGCCGACACAATCCGCATCGCCTGACGCTTGACGTCGTTCGGTATGTCTTGAATCATCGGCGAATTGTAGAGAAACCCTTGTTGTCTGATTCCGACGTTCGTTGCAAATCCCAGTCCTTCTTGCTTCTTGGAGCCCTGAGCAGCAAGATTACAGGCAGGGATTTTGGCGAGCTCAAGCAATCCACCGGCTTGATTGAGAAACTGAGCAGCAGTTTGTGAACCAATAAGAGCTGTGAGATTTGGTGCGATTTCCGTCATACGAGACTGAACGCTCTCTATACGCGCAGTGCGTTCACGGTCTAATTTGAGGATTTTTTCGCATGTATCGAGCACAACTTTGAGCTCAGCCTCTGACAGCTGTCTTCCACGAGTGGATGTTCCTTCAACCGTGACGACCATTAGCGATGGTCCATCGAGAACAGCGTTGAGCGGGGCGCCGACGAGGTTATCGGAAGATGTAGAAATTTGCTTGATATTATCGAGCGGTCCATTTTTCAAGATCGCGACAGTCTTTGCGTAGTTGATCGGGTTCGTAATCAGGGTTTCAAGCTCAGGAAATCGTGTCGAGTAGTGGTCGCGTAGATCTTTGTGCAGACGGGCCAGTTGATCTGCCGCTGACATGGCAACCTCGAAGTCGTTCTTGACTGCAACATTTTCCTGCTCGGCTTCCTCTGTCGTCTCGGGCTCGACTTCCATCTCTTGACCTTCATTTTCGACTCCATTTTCTTCCTGATCCTCGAAATCGGAATCTTCGAAGTCCCTCAACAGGTCTTCTGCGGCCGACATGATTGCGACAGTATTTGAGCAGTGTGCTGGATGTGAGATCAAAGGAATGACGCCACTAGCTTTTTTGCAAAGCTCTAAATTAGAATATATTTGGTCACGTGACTAGATTTGTACATTCAGGTGGCGGCAAGAACCTTCTATGCAGTTTTAGCGTAAGAGAAGCCGCGACAATCGATTATTTTCCAATTCGATCACGCAGCTTTCATAGCTAATAAAAGTCGCATCGCGGGGCTTCTCAAGCTCGGTGAAGGCTTTGATTGTATTTTGCTTGATTCCTCGGCTTGTCGTTATCGTTCGACTTCCGTCCTACAACAATCCGTGTCACCTATTGTCTTCGCCATGGAGATCTCACGAGGACCCCCCCGGGTCAAGAACAAGGCCGCAGCGCCTATACAGATATCTGCCGAGCAGCTGCTACGAGAGGCAGTCGACCGACAGGAGGTGGGCGTCCAAGCTCCGACGCAGCGCTTCGAAGATTTGGAGGAACTGCATGAATACCAAGGTCGGAAGAGAAAAGAATTCGAGGACTATGTTCGGCGCAATCGAATTAATATGAACAATTGGATGCGCTATGCACAATGGGAATTGGAACAAAAGGAATTTCGCAGAGCGCGATCGATTTTCGAGCGAGCTTTGGACGTCGATTCTACCTCCGTCGTGTTATGGATTCGTTATATTGAGGCTGAGATGAAAACGAGGAATATCAATCATGCTCGAAACTTGCTTGACAGAGCTGTGACCATCTTACCGCGAGTCGACAAGCTGTGGTTTAAATATGTTTACATGGAGGAGACCCTTGGTAATATCCCGGGTACACGTCAGGTGTTCGAACGATGGATGGCGTGGGAGCCAGACGAAGGTGCATGGAGTGCATACATAAAGCTTGAAAAGAGATATAACGAGTTTGACCGCGCGAGGACTATCTTCCAAAGGTTTACCATCGTTCATCCAGAGCCAAGAAACTGGATCAAGTGGGCTCGCTTCGAGGAAGAATATGGAACGAGCGACCTAGTCCGGGAAGTCTATGGACTTGCGATTGAAACCCTTGGCGATGATTTCATGGATGAAAAGATTTTTGTTTCATACGCCAAGTTTGAAGCCAAGCTAAAAGAGTACGAACGGGCTCGTGCAATTTATAAGTTCGCACTTGACCGACTACCACGCTCCAAGTCAGTCACTTTACATCAGGCATATACGACATTCGAAAAACAATTTGGCGACCGTGAAGGTGTTGAGGATGTTATTGTGAACAAACGTCGCGTTCAGTACGAGGAACAAATCAAGGAGAACCCTCGCAACTACGACGTATGGTTTGACTTTGCTCGATTGGAAGAGACGTCAGGAGATGCAGATCGCATCAGGGATGTATACGAAAGAGCAATCGCTCAGATACCGCCTTCTCAGGAAAAGCGCCACTGGCGGAGATATATTTACCTATGGATTTTCTACGCAATATGGGAAGAGATGGAGAGCAAAGACATCAGTCGTGCCAGACAGATTTATCAAGAATGTCTGAAACTGATACCGCACAAGAAGTTTACGTTTGCCAAGATTTGGCTCATGAAGGCTCAATTCGAGATACGCCAAATGGATCTCCAGGCAGCCCGAAAGACACTTGGTCAAGCACTTGGCATATGTCCTAAAGACAAATTATTTCGGGGTTATATTGATTTGGAGCGCCAACTATTCGAATTCAACCGATGCCGAACTCTTTATGAGAAACAAATCGAGTGGAATGCAGCGAACAGTCAGGCCTGGATCAAATTTGCCGAGCTTGAACGAGGATTGGAAGATATCGAACGAGCGCGCGCGATTTTTGAACTGGGCATCGAACAACCAATGTTGGATATGCCCGAGTTGGTCTGGAAGGCGTATATCGATTTCGAGGAATACGAGGGAGAATACGACCGGACGCGTGAATTGTACGAGCGATTGCTAGAGAAGACAGATCACGTCAAGGTCTGGATCAACTATGCTAAATTCGAGATCAACATCCCGGAAGGCGAAGAGGACGAAGACGAAGAGGAAGAACGGCCAGTCAGCGAAGAAGCCAAACGACGGGCTCGCAAGATCTTTGAACGAGCCAACAAAGTGATGAAGGAAAAGGAACTCAAGGAAGAGGTTAGTAAATTCTTTGGCTGGTTGTACCGTTTTTGACATTTACTAATTTGTCACTATAGAGGGTGGATCTCTTGAATGCATGGAAAGCATTCGAACAAGCCCATGGATCCGCCGAAGATCTCGCGGCGATCGAAAAGCAGATGCCACGGCGGGTCAAGAAGCGTCGCAAGTTGGACGACGATCGTTACGAGGAATACATGGACTACGTTTTTCCGGCGGACGATGCATCGGCAGCCAATTTGTCTCGACTTTTGCAGCGTGCGCATGCATGGAAACAACAACAGGGACAAAGCTGAGACGGTCAGTATCATGCTAGGTTTTGATCTGAGTGACACAGCAACCATGTGTGACGTGGTGTGTAGTATTATCGGATAATAAATTTCGAACTTCTGACTCTTATACATATATCGTAATCGCAATGAAAGGCTTGTAACTACCTGACCTGACCAATCCTGATACAACCCCGATAAATCTCTTTGAAACGGTCGCATTTGCAGTGGCTGGCCAGTGCCCCATCTAGCCCTAATCGAGAAATTTCCACGGCCCTAACTGGAGTCATCCGTTGCCTACTATGTCTACGAGTATGTACCGACTGTCCGCGCAATCGGGCTGTGTCAGCTTCTCGAAACGACGAAGACGAGGTTTGAAACTGGAGTCCACCAATTATCGTTTTGATTTCTGTTTGTTTGATCATGTTTTTGGTTGCTGATGCTTACGTACGGAACACTAAGATGTTTGATGTGTGGTAGGTAACCTTGGAACTCGGATGGTATGCAGAGATGCAGAGTCTTGAAGTAGATCGCCGAGGTTAGTGCGACTCTGCTCGATACTTTTGCGTTACCATTGCCTGGACGTGTATCTCTATAACGTTAGTCAAGCTGTAGTTATATGTATCACTACATGGGATGCTGATGTTGAACAGGACGCTCCACAGTCATCGAAGCGGCCCCCATCCATACTTGTGTTTGAGAAACCTGGGCTTGAGGGGCGGGCCAGCACGCGTAACCAGGTTGATATAAAACATTCCCATCAATGAAGTACAATTTGTGGCGTTGGAGATGGAGCTTGAATATATATCGGAGAATATTTTGAGGACATACTGCGCGAATAATTCAGGATGCATTGCTGGCAAGAAAAGCTCGCAGTGACGTAGCATGAGTACTGAATGGTGCCTCAGGCATTGTTAGCTCTAAGTCATCCGATATCTTATCGTGCTGGCTGCTCTTATTGGCGCGCTCTGTCGGAGCTTTCCCCTGGCGCACTCCAGCTAAACCACACAGGGCAAGTTTCCAATCTATTCGCTTTATGCGAGCGAGACTAACGCCAAACTAAACAGCGCCGGAGCCGTTTGTTGATTGCTGATTGGGGGGGTCCCCTATGGATTGCACGCAGAAGTTGGGCGTGAGTGGACTGCTGAGTGGCTCCGGCGTTTCACTTTGAATCATCCCGTCTGCTGGTCCCTTGCGCTTTCCCCGAATCAGGCACCAGACTGCTCCTTCCCCTGTCGCTGCCATGGCCTGCCAAGTGCTCCTTCCTGCCTCTCTACAGTCTCCCCTCTGTCTGTCTCTGTCTCTCTGTTCCCTTCTCTTTTCGTCAACGACGTAGGTGTGTGCTGCTGGTACTGCATGATTACTCGCTTTGCACCTTGCTTGCTTGCTTGCCGACTCTCCTTTCGCTTTTCACTACTCTCTATTCCCTTTCACCCTTCGTTTACGACCACGACATTTGATATTCGCTCTCTAAGGGACCTCCATCTCTCCCGTTTCGCCCATTTTCACCCACTCGCTGATCGCTCTTCCTCTCATTCGACGATCGCCATCCATCGCAGTTATTGATTGTTGCGTCCTTTCGTTCAGCGTTCATCGCGTGCTGCAGGTATCGCCTCGTTCGCATTGCCTGCCACCTCGCAGTACCGGAGCTAAGCCAATCGATTTGGCAACTCATCGCTCGGACAACCCTTCTCAATTGGACTTGACATAGCATCAAGATATACGATAAGAATTGTATGAATAGGGCATTAGACACGCCAATTGCGCGCTGTCATCGTGGTTCTCACCGTAGTTCATTCGCTAGATCGTGAAAATACACACTACTCAGGGTGGACTACGACTAGCCGAACATGCAATAATCTACCGATACGTCTGGAATATACCCGTTGGGCTGCTAGGAAATCGTCTCTCCACAGGACCTAGATCGATCTTTTACTTATCGCTCTCATTCGTTTTCGCGGCCCGTAGCTGGTATACTCGACGGCCGACTTATCCAACATGTCTTCTCCACAACCTCCAGCAGCCCTCGATGGGCGTTGTTCAGTCGTCTATAACAACACTGTCTACGTCTACACGCCGTCCGCACTACTATCCCTACCTCTCGAACAAGGTGCCGAGTGGAACTCTACAGATGCTGGTGAAGCCGTCACCGACGCCGTGTGTGTGACAGGAACCGTTGATGGCTCTGCTGATAACCAAGCTTTATACGTCGTCGGAGGCACTTCGACCAACTCGACGTATATGGGCCTTCAAAGATACTCATTCGCCGACAAAAAGTGGGAGTCTATTGATCTGGGTAGTGGCCTTAGTGGCCTCCAGAATCTAGTCAATCACAGTGCTATCTATCTCCCCGGAACTACTTCGATCCTAAGCTACGCAGGATCTAATAATGGGAACCAGGACGCCTCCACGACAACCTTTGAGATTCCCCTCACAAATATAGGGAAAATACTGAATCGTGACGGTGCCGGCATAGCGGCTGGCATCAAACCAACTTTATTACCTTGGGATGACTCGACGGCCGTTTACGTGGGAGGAACGCCTACGAATACTGAAGTTTTTCTATACCATGGTAATAGTGGCTGGGGCACTTCGCAAATCTCCCTAGCTAGCGGAATACCCAGCACTGCTGGCGTTGCAATGCAGTCAAACTCGGACGGAAGCAAGTTTTTGGAAATATTTGACTTCGCAGTCTCGCCAAACGAGATATCATACGTGGCTTTGCTACAAACCGGTGGTACTGCAGCATACCCTGGTCAAAACGTGACATTTGCCCCATCATCTACGAAGCAGAAGCGCGATTGGGGCAATATTCCGTCCTACAATAGTACTCTGGCTCCCTCAACGACACGCAGCAGTTTCTCGTTAGCCCAATCCGACAACGGCTTGGTCGTCATAACTGGTGGAAGCGGTACTGATGCCGTCACCGTTTTTAACCAAACTCAGAATGGTTGGGTCAACACTACGAAGCTCTTCTACAACGACGATGTAAGCGCAGGACTCCAACATCCAATAGGCTCATCTTCGACGACAACTGCTCCGACAACCAGCGCCACAGCTACGACGACGACATCGGCCTCGGCATCGGCATCAACTACCGCCGTAGCTGCTTCCGGTACAGGCAAGATTAGTACGGGTGTTATTATCGGTGCAACTTTGGGTTGCTTGCTAGGCGTGGCAGCCATCTTGATTGTTCTTCTGATCATCCTTCGCCGTCTGCACCGGAAGAATGGTGACCCAACAGGCAAAGGCAGCCGCCGCTATGGTCAAGATAAAGACCGACTGAGCTTCCAAGATCAGGGTATCGAACCTCTGACAATGGCTGCTGTGCCGATGGGTCGAACCCATATTCCTTCAGCTGTAGATTCTCTCAACATGATTTCTGGAAAGTTCGCAAACGAGTACCCTGGTACATTCATGGCGGATAAAACTCCAGTGACGACTCGGTCTTTGGTGCCACCTGCTAAGCCCCCCCTCACACTGATTACGTCTAATGAGGCGGATCAGTATAGAAACAAAACACTCACACCTATCAATGAGTCTAGTCATCCACGGGGTGATCGAAGCACTGATGAAGGTTGGGGCAAATATTTCCAAGATGGGGGTGACGGTCTTACGACGGACTCTCCTCGCACTACGATGAACTCGGATATTTCACAAATTACCAAGTCTGATTATCGAGGTAGCATGTGGCCGCATGAAGTGCCCGAGCGAACCACAATTGCATTGAGTGCTTTAGACGGACCTAGGCCTTTAGGACAAGTTCCTTCTGGCAGTCCAAGCACAGAGTATCTCCCATCATTCGGATCGCGACATATACACCAAGCACAGTCGGCTCATATATCTAGCGCTGATTCAGCCAGCTTTGTCTCGGAGGAAGAGGATGACCATGACCGCCATGATGCGTTCTCTTCCGGCGTTCCGCAAAGTGTTCATGATGGAACTCAATGGACACATCAACCTTGGAACTTACGTCCGCCGAGCAGCAACTATACCGATAGCTTCTATCAATCGAGTGCACGCGAACCTTCGGGTGTGCAGGAGCCGGTCGATTCCCGATCCCATGGACGACGATCGAGCGGTATTCTCCATAACGACATGGATGAATATTCGCGAGCCCACGTCAATTCAGATATGAGCTGGTTGAATCTGCATGGGGATAAATGATTTTTTCTTTGCTATATGTTTCGATATAAAAGTCGGCGTTGACTGCCTATCAGCCACTCTCAGTTTTGATTTGTCTTGACGACACAAATCATTTTCATTCCTGGACAAAACAAAAGTTCAACATTCTCTGTATTATTTTACCCTCTCGCACCGTCGAGTTATGCATGGACATACTGCTGTTGACAAGCTTCACTTCTCTTTTCTGTTTTGAATTCTGTGTTTCACTAATTTATACCATAATAGTCCACACGACGTGTGAGACGCTGGACAGTTCCATTCACTCTGTTGTTAATACCCCGGGGGAAAGGCTTGTTTCCTCGGCTTGTTTCTTTGGTTTCTTCTCGTCACTCTTTGGGCTAAGGCATAACTGGGATTTTAGGTTTATGTGGTTTTGGTTTTGACTATGCATTGCATGTGTTCAAGCTAGCATAGTGTGAGCGATTGGACGTTCTGAGTTGACGTGTATTGTGTATATATGACTCTGAAGATTTGACAAGTCAGATAAGTGTTTGTAGTCAATACAAAGATCACGACACCAGTATCGCATAACCATTAGATTTACTAATCTAGGAAGCTGAAAGACTCGTATTCAGATTGTCAGTCAAATGACGTTCGATAAATGCCTGAGATATGCGTAGACCGTGTTGCCAATCGCAAAGTCTACTTCGTCAGCAATCAACACAATCAAAGCTAGCAGCCATTCGACAGCAATCCGAGGCGGCGGAAATAAGCATCCTTAGACCGATTAGGGCTGGAATGTGGGTATGCATAGCATCATACTCTTTCCGCCGTCTCGTCGGTTTTATGCCTAATCTCCATAACCTCACGCAGACCGCTCTACGAGAAGAGAATATATCAGGTGCTGTGCAATTGTTTGCGAAGAGACTTTGGCCTATTGGAAAGGTATAAATAGAGTCATGGACCCCCCCTCCCTTGAGATGATTTCCATCAGCCAAGACAGAAACAGAAACAAAACAACTCGAATACAATATCCAAATTGACTTCCACAATGCCCAAAAGCGTCTTCATCACCGGCGCCAATGCAGGCATCGGATTCCAGATTGTGCGAGCCCTCTACAGCTCCTCTAAAGAGTCCTACCATATCCTCCTAGGCTCCCGATCCCTCTCGAACGCGCACAAGGCCATCGAAAACATCAAGACCGAATTCCCTACATCCACAAATAACACCATAACACCCATCCAAATCGACATCGAAGACGACACCTCCATCCAATCCGCGCACGATACAATCTCGTCGCTCCTCACCGGTGGCAAACTAGACGTCCTCGTCAACAACGCCGGCGCACAGTTCGAGCACGACCTGATATCCGGCAAAATCGGCTCGGAGCGCGAACTATGGGACAAGACCTGGAGCGTCAATACGACCAGCACGCAAGTTGTGACTAGCAAATTCATCCCGTTACTGCTACGCAGCGATGATCCGCGATTACTTTTCGTTACATCAGGGACAGCTTCGTTCGCGGGCACCGCGAATCTTGCATTGAAAGTAAATCAGCCCCCGGAAACCAAGGGGTGGCCCAAACCCGGATTCGTGGGGTTACCTGCGTATCGAAGTGCAAAGACAGGGTTGAATATGTTGATGCGTGAATGGCATCGGATACTAAAGGGGGATGGGGTGAAAGTCTTTGCGTTGTCGCCGGGTTTGCTGGCTACGGGGTTGGGAGGGGATACGGAGCTTTTGAAGAAGTTTGGTGCGGAGGATCCGACTGTTGCTGGGCCATTTGTGAAGAGTGTGATTGAGGGCGAGAGGGATGCGGATGTTGGGAAGGTGGTGTCGAGGGCTGGAGTTCAGGGGTGGTGATTCGATCACCACCATTAGACAGACGTCGTGTGTCTAAATCTAGCGTAGTAAATGCTCTGAGCAATGTTGAATGCGTTTTCCTGTGTTGGTTCTCATGTAGATATCAATCTGTTTGAACGTCGACATCACAACGCCGGCGGACCGCATGAAGCACCATTTTCACCCAACATAATTTTCTAACACTGTATTAAGGTTCCTAGGTGCTTTGATATATATAGTCTATCAACAGAGTGATTTAAGGGGGGGGAAACTCTATGGTCGTAGTTGCTTTAAAGAGATAACGGGAGAAATTTTAAAATTGGGAATTGTATTTAATGGCCTATGTACTGATATGACGCACACTCACGTTCAGCATGAGGTTACATACTTAGGAATGCAGGTGGGCTTGGCGGCACGGGTTCTTATCAATTTATATATCATTCGCTGCTATTCCACAGCTGTTAACTATAACATGATTTTAATTACTCAAACATGTCCAGACCATTCACATTACGAATACTCCGGCCCACTTGCAGGACTATTTCCACCCGCTACAAGACTGTAGGACAGCAATCTAAGAATAATATTCCCCGCCCAATCTACTCTGAATTTCAACATTTTTCCAGAAAGACTTTGGTATTTGAGAGAACAATGAGTACCGGGACAGCAGTCAGTATTCAGCCGGTTGACGCGCCACTCACAGCATCGGCGACCTTCCTGGTCCTCTCCATCAAGAATAGTGACGACGATGCATTGCAAACTGTCCGCTCAACACTAGCAGACATTGCCAATCTCTCAAAGAATGTCGCCATCCGCGACCCAAGCGCTGGATTTGCATGTACCACAGCTCTCGGTAGCAATGTCTGGGACCGTCTCACAGGTCTGCCACGACCAAGCGAGCTACATCCATTTCGCGAAATAAAGGGAAAGAAGCATGTTGCTGTCTCCACGCCCGGCGATCTCTTATTTCACATACGCTCAGAGCGGCAGGACCTGTGTTTCGAGTTCGAAAGACAACTTCTCGACCAGCTCGGCGATGCTGTCGAAGTGGTGGATGAGACCAAAGGCTTCCGCTACTTTGATGTCCGCGACCTTCTTGGGTTTGTGGATGGCACAGCTAATCCCGTGGGGCCTGACATGCATCCTGCAGTCCTCGTTGCGCAGGAAGACGATGCAAATCACATTGGAGGCAGTTACATCGTCATTCAAAAGTATTTGCATGACCTCAAAGCCTGGAAGACGCTCTCCACAGAGCAGCAGGAAGCAATTATCGGCAGGACGAAAATGGATAACATCGAGCTAGATGATGCGGACGCAGATCAACAGAAAGCACATAAGACACTGACCACCATCGAAGATGAAGACGGTAACGAGCAAAGTATTCTGCGAGACAATATGCCCTTCGGCTCACCAGGATCAGGCGAGTTTGGCACGTACTTTATTGGTTACTCTAGGCGTCTCTGGGTAATTGAGCGCATGTTGGAGAATATGTTTATTGGGAATCCTCCTGGCTTGCATGATCGGATTTTGGACTTTTCGCGGCCAGTGACTGGCACTACTTTTTTTGCACCTGCTGCAAGTGTACTAAGTAAATTGGGCTAATTGAGCCTATGATTGGTATATTCATCATTCCCTTTCTTAATACTACGAGTCGAATTTATACAAATGGTATATTAAAGCGCGAATCTTGGTCAAAGCTTCCAGGTGCTATCGCGTGGTATTTGTCAACCTAAACACCCCGTTATAGTCACGGAGATTAGCTGATTTCCTTCCTTTCTTTCCATCGACCTATAAATCTGGACACACTAAACAAGACATTTACTTGATGAATTAGTCCATGATGCAACGGAATGGAAGGGAATTGCCCTATTGGATCGCCATCTTTGTCGTCCCCCGCTTCATTACCAGTGCATCTCCACCGTGCTAATTCAGAGCTTCTGCAAGATCACTGGATGACTTGATTTCCGAATCCGGAACCGTTTATCTGAACCAGAGCTTGTAGATTCCGTCAAGATCGAGCTCGTCCTATAGGCCCATTCGATGCTCTGTCTCAGCGTCATGATCGACATTTCTGCGAGAGTTATTGTAGAATGCTCGATAAGCAAGCATTCTCTCTGGACTATAACTAATACGCCAGCAGCAATTATTTTCAAGGGAAAAGACATATTGGTATTGCTTAACACACAGAMAAGCCACTATTTATCTTCAAATACGGATTAATTGGAGAAAATTTACAATCATGTCTTCAGGTAGGTTTGAAGTCTAGAATGAAGTTCAACGCTTAACAAAAGTCTGGTCAGAATCTCACCATAGCGGCACTTTTGACAAACTCTTCCACCATAAACATCGTGATGAGCATCACGAAGGTGAAGAAGGCGCACACCTCGAAAATCATGATCAATATTCTGGCGATGCTCGCCCACAGCAAGAAAGTGAGTTCAAGAGATTTGATAAAGGTCTCAAAAAGGAAGAGAACAAATTCAAGAACTATCTCCAGAAGGACGAGGAACTTGAGGAGGAGGGGAAGACCTATGGAGGTTTGATGTAGGTTTCAGACTCAGGGTCTTGCAGAATTTTGACCGCGTTCTATGTATCTATTCCAAATTGACAACATTTGAGGTAATCCTTGTCACGATTACCCATCTTTAACGAATAGGCTATTCCTCTGATAAAATATTCAAAGGAAAACAGTATCCTCGGTTGCTTCGGTATCTTATTGGACATAGCATATTCGAATGTATCACATCAAGCAGCTGCGTGCGGCGTGCGCAATGCTCGGATCGCGAAAGATGCCTAGTTAAGCTGTCTGAGTACCCAATACCATGCAGGGTTAGTACGGAGGACATGATGTACTAAAATCGAAGAATTTCTCCTCTTCAATTAGCACATATGACAGGCTGCTGGTTGGTTGATAGAATTACTCGACACGGAAGCGACGGCGTATTGTATCGCTATTTCGTACCCACTACACTTGAGAAGACCATACACCACGTTATGTTCAAAGCGTGCGCACGAGACAGGCCTTGGTTTGACAGCCTCGTTGTGTGAATGGTCCACTTCTGGAGACGACCATCTGGGGCAGTCGAAGATGTCATTGATTCTAGGTGGGTAGTGGGGATTCCACTTTGGTGAGCAAGGCCCAGACGAATCTCAACTAAATATGGTTTTATTTTGATTTGTCAATTCTCGGACTAAGCACAAGCAACTAACTAAGAATAAGCAATTAACACTTTTACTAAATAATACCATGATTTGATATGAGCTTGGATAAAATGGCCACTGGAAAATCGTAATCAAGAACAGAGTAGATCAGAACTGCACCATCACAGATTATCGGCATCGCGTGGATCATGTTCCTTATAAAACTTCAAAATCTCCTCATCAGACTGCGTATGTACGATTTCATAGCGTGAGATCGGCGCTAATGGGATGCCTTCTTTCTCCAACTTTGCAAGCCGCTCCCTAGTCAGCTGCTTGGTCTTGTTGATGCTGTAAACTGGAATGCGGTGTGCTGAGCTTGTGACGTGCAAGCCCCAATTCCAAGCAGAACGGACAGTCAAGGGCTGAGTATTGAGCGAATTATCCCAGCATCGGCATACAATCTCAATCCAGCCTTCCACGTCACATGGTAGGTCAATTTCCCAAGTGCGCCAGGTCCATTGGCCCTTTTTAGACAGCTTCTCATGCGGCACTTCATACCAGGAGAAGCCACCATCAGAAGACAGCTCGATTCTCTCAGGCCATCGGCCTCCACCAGAGTAAGCCCAGCCTTTGCAGTGAATCTTCCCGTTGTGTATGATAACATGTCCCTTCCATGGTGACATGATGGCAGAGCTAACGGGCATCTCCTGAATCTGAATGCCGCTCGTTGGCTTCTGATTATGCTTGCCAGTTTGCTGGTTGAAGTAAAGATACTCCCGGCTTTGGACTGGGGCGAGAGATGGAGTTTCAATGGCTTTGATGCGGTACAGCCATTTGACACTGCGAGCGCCGATATAGCCCATAACGACGACGCGTAGAGGGTAGCCATGAATTGCAGGCAGTGGCTCACCATTCATTTCCCATGCAAGGATAACTTCGTTGGCCTTTACCTTTGACCACGGAACGCTGACTACATAGTTCAAGACATCTAAATCCTTGAAATATGTGTCAGCTCCGTAGAATTCAAGATGCTTGCCACCATTGACAAGGCCTCCGCAGTCTTTGATAAGCTTCTTTAGACTAATGCCACGATATGTGGCAGTGCCAATGGCTCCCTCAGCCCAAGGTGCCTGTGGTACCTCGTCTCCTTGACCCGGATACAGGGCGATTTGCTCAATTCGACGGGTGCCGGAGCATTGAATTGTAACGGTTTCCTCGATCCGTGGGAAGCGAGATTCGTCCATAATATCGTCTAGGGTATATGTCTTAGGGTTCGCGACCAGACCATCCAAAGTAAAAGTAAAATCCTTCTTCTTGATGATGGGAATTCCACCGTGATTACGCACAAAGTGGAGGGGATTAGGGGTGATAGCTTTAGACGTTACCAAGCGCTTAGGAGGCTCGCCATTGTAAGGAAACTTGAGCAAGTGTAACATGTCCTTGTGCTTCTCCTTCAGAACTGTTTCCCAGGAGCTCTCGGGAGCGTCTGCCAGCTCACCATCGATAGCATGATGCCATGCCGTGAAGTCATCACCAGGCAGCACCGGATTTGTGCCTGGGATCGGACCGGTCATGTAATCCGGTGTAGGTGGGAAGGTTTGAGCGTGAAGGATTTCACGTGCTTTGGCTTTTTTCTCGGGATAGTTCTCCCACTCAACATAACTGTCAAGATAATGAGTACGTCTTTGTGTATGCTGATATTGTCCGCTGAATGTCAAACGTACCCCTTCCACCCCTTCCGCTCAGCAGCAAACAGCTTCTTCCGATCTCCGACTGCATCAATTGCAGCTTGATCTTTGGTGATTTCCGGGGGATCAACAGGGTGGATGAATACCGTTTCTTTTCCAGATTGGTCTATTATGGGCAGCTTGGCACCTTGCATGCCTTGCTCGATCCGCCACTCATCGGGACGATTGTTCGTCTCAAGAGGGGTGGTACGCGGCCGCACAACTGGAGCTTTACGTCCTGGCATCTTGAATGAATTTTTAAACGAGGTTCGTTAGTAGTGAAAGCTGTTGAGACAGTCAGTCAACTGGGGACAGAATATTAATAGATGTGACAAGGGAGGGGCAATTGGGAGGGGGGGAAGCCGCTCTATATCCATGGATCACTTTCGAAGCGAGCATGCCTAAGTCAGGCTGCCTTATCTCTGTCCAGTTGGGTGAGAGTTTGCTGAGTTGAACACATCGCTATGCAGAGTACAGCACTGAGTTACGTCACTGACCAATGGAAGAAAAGCATAAAATTGTAAGCCCAATTCAACTATCGACCGCTATACGGAGTCACCAAATGCCTCAGTATCCACAATTGTATCAATGTATCTCAATTGGAGACACCTCCCCGCATCCTTACATGATGAGAGTGGCGGCTCGCGAAGTGGTAGCTACGTAAGGGTGGTCTCATGCAAGGGGGTAGTGACACCTAAAGACTAAGAGGATGGATGGCCAAATGAGTTTCGGTCTGAGTCTGACTGGTGGGCTTTGCGGTGCTTCGTGCAATAAATCACGGTAGTGAGCTGTACAGGTACATGGATTGAAAGGAAGAATTCGAAGATCGGTAATATAGATCAACAGGGAAGTTGACAGGATTCCCTAACCCCGAATAAGCAATAGTATTCAACCAGTCAGCGACCAGAATATGAATTGCCTTCGTGATGATTTGTTGATACCACCTCTGCATGACAAGCAAATACTCAACAAATCCCGAGTGATCCGAACTCGCCCTTTCTCTCTTGATTTTGATCAACATCAACAAGAAACCCAGATCCCGGAATGTTCGGGTACTTTTAAAAGCTAGTATATGCTAATTGCTGATGCGGAACTCTGTTCTGTGGTAGTAAGCTAGTCATGATATCATTCACATCTGGTAGTGTTCCCTAATGGCAGCCGCAGATTCGCGCTCCCACATGAATTAGGCTAAGCTGATAAAGAGATTTGAAAAAAAAAAATCCAATACTGTCATACTTGTCAGAGCGGGGTAAGATGATGACACTTCGGCTGCTAATGACATCTGAGATACAACAGCTCCCACAGTTGACCACCAAAGCTGCAAAAGATAAAAGATTCTCTGGTAAACCCCAGTGACATTACTAGATTTCGTAAGCGTGATTGGACAAACTGGTGCTTCAATACACAGTCTTTATATTGTATAGATGCTAGAGAACGATAGAATGATCTTCCACGGCGTGACTTAATCCTCTTATTTACTCTTTACTGTCTAGCTCATATTATAGTGGACACTATATTATCACTAACTCTGCTCGCCAGATATACGATTCCCAAACAATCTAGTTCACCTGTTTTTTCAATTTAATGTGTCCGCGCCTACAGGCAATGTAATTGAAAACTCAGCAGCTGGCTTGCTACAGGGCCTGTATCCACTAACTGGACAGAATGCGAACCAGACACAGAGGCCACAGAACGGGCGTGAACTCATACCAGTGTTAGAAAGCAGCAGTAGTTCTAGCAGCGAGAGAGTTTGCTGACTGTAGAGTGTTATACCTGGACGAAGACGGTTGTCTTTCTTACTCCTTATTAGGCGGATTGCCGTTTAGAAGCCACATAGACAAACGTCATGTATATAGACTCTGGAATAGTCAATGTTCTGAGTAATGATGAATGCGCTTTTTCATGGCAGCTATACCTTGGAAAACTTCATGTACCTGGATGTGTGGTGATTATCTCCCTCAAAACTGGGGTTCTTTCTATTTTTACCTATACTAGTCAATGCACAACCATATTTTATAAACTTTTCTCCGGACATATTCTGTAAGATTCAGTCTTCAATGCAAACCAACACCAAACGGCTAAGCATAGCATATAGCATCCTTTAATATGACCTGGTAATACACCATCGTACCAAATGATTTGTATGCAGCAGGAGGATTCCAATTACGGGGGATATCTCTAGAGTCTATATCCACGATTTATATATTAAGAATGGGGGCTAAAGCTTAATGTCCAACGCCAGTATTTAGATCGGATTGGTTAACTCGTCTATACGAGTATGAACTACGTAGTCTGGTGAGCTAAAAGGATTGACCAGCAAAGAAAGCGATGTTGGAAACCTTAAAAACGTTTGAACGAGTCAGGCCAAATGAACTTACGCTGTCATGCGTTGCGTTAGTCAATCTGCTAGTTAATTAATCAATGACTTGTGATTGAAAGTCTAATTAAGCAATTATCTGGGGCCGTTACCTATATACACTACTTGGGTATCATACTAGTTAGTACAGGATGCTTTTTGTAAATACCAATACATATGGGTAAGAATAGAATGTCATTATCTGCATCTAGGAATAGATAGATGACTGGAACAGTTATTCCCACCGGGGACTCACCTTGCAATCAGCCACTTGTATTTCAAGCAGTAGGTTGGATTAAAATGAATAGTCTGCCTTAGATATGCAGATGTTTGGACCAGGTTTACCACCAGGAACTCACCATCGAAATCAGTTGCCGTCATTTCAGGCAGTAGATGTCGAAACTTACTTCCGAACATAGAGCCTGGTCTTGTTCTCACTTTCGAAAAGCGAGTCGGTATCACTGATTGCAAGCGGGACGGCATAGTTTTGCATGAGGCTTTGGACTCTGGGAGACGATGGCGAAGCAGACAACTGCGTCCTATCGTACTCTTCCAGCTTTCCGGTTTGATCAATCTCACCGCAAAGGATCATGGCAAATGGTTCTGCAGTCAAAATATCAGCAAGAATTTGCAGAAGAGGTATGTCCTGGTTCATGGCGAAAACAAGGGTACTCTCATCGACTTTCAGGAGTGCCTCGATTTCCTCCAATGACTCAATCCCGAAATGTTCAAGAAGCACCTTCTCATCTGCTGGAGTGTACTTGGGCTCTTGCGCATAGCAAGCAACTCCCTGATCACCGGCTCTCTGCTGTATCAAGTTCCGTATATCCTGTATCACAGCGTGCTGGGCCACGAAGTCACTAATCAGCTTCGGCTCCTTTTTCCAACCGTACCACAAGGAGCCATTCCCGAATGCGATTATTTTTTTGACTTTCTTGAGTTTGTCAATATTGATCCTCATGAATGTAGCTCGCACTGAATCTCTTGCACAACTCTCGATCCAGTTCCTGTAGGCATTCTCGCGTATATCGACAAGCTCCTTGATATCATCATCTGTAGGGGCTTGCAAGTTCCGAGCATAAGCCTCGTCAAACTCCGTTTCGAAGGTGGTAATTGGTTGCCACGAACGCAATAGGAGAATCTGAATTGGGATGTACCCCATTACCTTTAGCCTTGAAGTTGATGATTAGTTAACCTCTCATTGCTCATGGCATCTAATTGTTGTCATATATTGATCCAGTCAACAACTTACTTCGCCCCTTGTCCATGCATGTGGTATCCAAGATCCAAAGAGACCTTGACATATTTGTTCCCATCAATGTAGTCCGGAATCTCAAACACATGGTTTTTGCAGTTCCCCGATTTGTAATCCTTGAGTATCATCCACATATCCTCCATAATTCGGCGCGGAAAGAGTTTCTTCCCCTGAAGATACAGCTCTCGAATCTTTCCAGACCGATCCGGCATTGCGACGGGTCAAATTGTCTTGGCTTTTAGATGGATAGTAATGGCTTGCTAAGATGTAGCAGAATTATAAAGAATAGGTATTTTGCTTAGAATTAAGAGCAAGTATGAGAGATTGTAGATTTTTGTTCTTGATGTGAATATGCAGGGTCTACAGCAAGTTCAACATCCTCTTTATGCTCCCAAAATCGACGAGAATGACACGACTTTTGGATATGGAGTCATGTATTCGCCCTTTATGTGTCATTTTATGACGGTATACGTTTATAAAGTGTAACACAAGCTCCAAGGTGTGTAATGGAGAGACATGGTAATCCTCCTATGAGCCTCAGCAATTGAAAGTCTAATCTCTCAAAAAATTTGTTTACATAGAGTCATATAAGCTTGTCGTGTGTCATTATATCCCGAGTCTACGTCTAAAAACTGTAGTACAAACTTCAAGATGTGTTACGAATTGAAATAAAGCATTGAGAGTATTACTATGAGTCTTGAAAATTACGCGTTTGATTGTTCATTGCCTCGAGAATCCTGTCTTATAGTCATATGTCTGCTGTTCCTGTGTCATTCAATCCAATATACGTTTGCAGACTGAACTACCAGCCCTCATTTGTGTCACGAAATAGACTGAGGTACTGGGGTTTTTCCTCTGGGCTTCTGAACTGTGTGATTGAAGCCCGCTGGCTCATATAGCTTCTGTACACATTTGCTGTTCTAAGACCGGTTGAAGGCTTCCAGTACCTTCTCAACGGAATCAAAAATTGATTCATTTTCAGCCCAGCTTACTGGTTGGTGGATGAGTCATGGACTGAACCTCGAATTCGGATTTTTTACAATGATCTAAAGATACATATGTGTTACATTGAGTCACAATTGAGCCTTAGGGGATGATTTATGCAATGGTTGACTTTAAATATGCTAATTGTAGCACTGACTACATCACCGAACACCGTCAATCGACACATCTGAGTTGAGCTTCCTCGTTATAACGAACTTAACTCACAAGTAGTTGAATTCGCCCTTTATGGAAGTGAAGGTCGCTTTCAGATGAGCTTTGTGATGGGACGACTCTGCCTTTTTAGGGCTGGTATATAGGGCTAGGGCTAAACACTCGGTGTCGTTGTGAAAAGATAACATCAAGTAACACAAAGAAATGATATGTTGTAATGAAGCGGATAACTGTTTTCCAGTATCGATATTTACATCTTCGTCGCTGAATCAATCTTTTCCACCCTGCCAGAATCGAGTCGAAGTAGGTACCGATCTCACTCATAATACTACGCCAAAGTAGTTATTTAACATCGTGTCATGCCGCCTTTCAGCATCCCTCCTGGTTATTAGAGCCCGAGGACATATCGGTATTCTGGTTCAAACCTAAACCTTTATCTAGGTAATTTTGCGTCGAGTCTGGTACATAAGACGCCAAGATCAAAAGTTCCCCCAAATGACCCCTAATAGCACAATGCAGCATTGGAATTTTGAGATCCATCTCTAGGTCTCGAATACTATGATTATCGGATAGCTTTTGACTTAGCAAGTGAGCCAGGGCGCTCAGCCTCAGTTCACTGAGCATGTTCCCGATCATCTGTGAAGCTCACTGATCTGGTCAGAGCACTCAGTTCGACATTCGTATCAACTCAATGAGCCAAAACAGCGAGGAATTGAGCACTATAACGGAACAGGAAGGTCGTGCGGTGTCAAAGGACATCTGATAAGAAGTGTTTCGTAGTGCCGGTTGTAGTCATCCGTGTCAATGCTAGAAAAAATTGGAGCAACTACTCAATATATCCGTTCAATCCAATTAGGGTTATAATACGCGCATGCCTGTAAATTTTATGTCCACTCTCGGCTAAGCCTACTTCCGTTTTACTGAAGTGGTACTGATTGAGCTTCTCCTGACTTAGCTTAGTCATTCTATCAATCTGTCGTGAACTTGTAGATAACAAGATCTATTCTATATACTGCTTTGCAAAAGATGCCAACTTATTACATCCGGCTTTTGAACTCTTTCTCGTTCCTTAGTAATTTCTAGTTTAATCTCGATCATTTGGAAGGCGAGAGGTTTGAGTCGTGGTATATTTGAGGTGAACTTTCAAATTACGAATACATGGTCATAACATACGAGGGGCGTGGATGCACATTTCGTGCGCGTGCACCTATCGTTTTCCCTCGAGATAAAGAGCAGGATTCAGCCATCTCCAACAAGAGATACATAGTACTATAGCTACCCAGATATTATCAGATCAAGTGGGCGTCGGGCTCTGTTGTACAGATCGATATATCCTGGCCCCCCGGAAATCTGCAAAATGTTCCTACATCGCGAATTCCGTTCCATTGCAGAAAAATTCAGCTGCCTACTAATTCAACCAAAGGATTCTGATCTGTAAGCACGACTTGACGTACCGTCACCTTCGATCCCTAATACTACGTATATCCGTCCGATCAGTCTAGAACCGGGACGATGGGCTGAAGAAACATAGTGGAACCCTTTCGAAGGATAAAGTTCCACAACGTACGAAGGAAAGTCAAGTTTCTTGCTTTACCCCGTACACATGTAGAACCAAAGTGGGAAGGGGCCATGTTTTACGACGATAACCTCACTCTAGATTCCGGGCTGGTAACTTGTCAACCGTGGACGCTGTGGACTAGTTGCAGCTTCTCACATCAGCTTCTGTCAAGAGGCGAGTAGCTACTGTCAATCGCCGAGTATTCTGCTTCATAACTACTAGGCAATAGTCTATTAGATTAAGAAGTCGTAATCGAGTTCGTCTCGTGATGCTGAGCTGCCCTGAGCACCTGCACGCTATCAGGCGGCTTCTACGAAAAGTACCGTGTATCTGTAGCTATGGACCGAGATGGTACTCTAGATTCAATATTGCACGTTGTTATCATCTTCGAAAATCTAATAGTACTCCATCGAACGGAAATATACGAATCGAAGCTAAATGATACAAAGCACGTCCAACATTGCAGCAGTAGTGTACACTGTCTACAACACACGGGTCATTAGCATGATGATAATCCTTTGCGACGTCGGCGGCGCGGTACGTTCCCATTTGAGAAAAAATAGGGCCTCATGCGCTCTCAACGGCATACTAATGCATACTAATGCAGTCAAACCCCCGTCAATGGCCTTTAGGGAACAACTTGCTACTTAGTACGTAGTGGGAGAGACGAAAGTGAAACCGATCTTTAACCTAATTAAGATAAGTCTAGTAAGCCCTCAAAACCTTGTTTTGTTCTTTCTGTCTTCTGGATTCATTGGTGTGGGAGGAAAGAGAGGGATGTGGAAGATCCCGATGGGTTCCACTTCATTGCTTCATTCGGCAGTCCGTCCCTCGTTTCAGGCTGTAAGCCTATAACGCTTTACCTGTTTTGAAAGTTCGAAAGCTATCCCACGTGGTACGTACCAAACTTCGGAGGTGAAATCCGTTACAATACAAGCCTTGTTATAAAACCGTAATAAATACAGTACCGTTCGATGTCACTTCAGGGTGAGATGATTATATTTCCAATAAAGTTTGACAAATGATGAATAGCTAAACACACCGCGCCCTTTTTTCCCTCGGTTTGACAAACATTTAAAAATACATGTGATTCGAAGAGCTGATAATTTACTCCATGGCTCCTCTCAGCTTACTAATTCAGAACCTCAAACTAAGCAACTCCTAAGCCCCAGTTACCTTCACGTTTCTGCCCCAACAGCCCTGGAGGCTTTGAATAGACGATAGAAACTACTAATACAATCTATATCTGTGAAGCTATTGGAGCTTATCAAATGGCGTCATGTCAATCGAAGTAAGCTGTGCATACATATACATTAGATTTGGGGCCGTTCTGACTCGTGATGCATCTACATATGTACTAACACAGACTAAAGACGATATTCCCACAATTTAATCAGCATACCTACGTGTACTGGATAGAGATTGCGAGGAGCCAGCGGGTTCATAACTTCAAATTTTGAAATGCAACACGCCCATGATGCATCATTTAGATAAGGTAAGATCCACGAGTCGTACCCGTAATCAGATATACGAGGTTCGGTCCAAATTTGTCGACCTAAATCTCTGCCGTCCAACGGCTGAAAACTTCGCTATGCGATCAACACCTCTGAGAGCCAGTCACTGCCTATGCGGAAGTATTTTTAGAATATTTTTATACTTCTCTCTAGAATCAAGCTTTTGGCTAAGCTATCAAGTCAAGCTTCATTCAGGAACCCACTCAACGAACGCCAACATACATGGACAGTCCTAGCATACTTCGTACTTCGTACAGAATCAAACATTAGACAGGGTCTGAACTGTAGGAATGAGTATTTGACATCTCACTAGGTAGCTCGAGCCGATAATTGATTCATGATCGATTGCTTTTTGATATCAACTTCGTTTACCGTTTACGAATCTTGAACGTGAACTCAACGGCTAAATCTCGGCCTAGTGAGTTCTCTAATATAACGAGAAGTTAACGACCTCTTGACGGGAAAGCAGACCAATGATACCTACATGTAGGAAGTAAAGGCGGGTCAATACTCCAGATATACAACATATTTTCTTGTGATTTGAGTTTGTTTAAAGCGCCGATGAACAAGGTCATGTGTAGCTATACATGAAAACAATTGCTGGGTACTTATCCACTTACGACAGATCTTCAGTGGCAATTATCATATCATCTATTTCAAGGCGGAGCACTAAGGTTGGGAACGGCGCACAACCCAGATGATTCTTTTGATATAAACACAAAGAAAGCAAGATGGCCCTTCGAGTCGGAAGAATACCCCAAATATATGAGATTCGTACTCCGTACTTCCGATAAATATTAGCGTTGTCCACTGGCGTCAAGATAAGAGGTAAATACTGATATATCGATTGTATTGGTGACTTTGTAATTCACACATTTGCAATAAATATCAAACCTCCGGACACATCAATTCTTGATATATCGAATTCTATACCTCAGAGCATATTGACTTCAAAAAGTTCAGGGTCCTTTGTAAAGAATGTATC